GATATTTCTCACAGTCCTAGTTTTTAGAACCATATAATGTTTCACATATGCGAATATAGTTAAAATAATCCAAAACGTGAGGGAACTCAAAATGGAATATAAAGAGTAGAAAAAATGCCGATATCTGTGATAAATGTAACCAAACTGCAGGCAAGAGGAAAAAACAGTAATTAACCGAAACATGGTTAGAGACAGTATGTTGACTGGACATTGTTACGGATAAAGAAATAAGAATTGTATTTAAATATTGTGCTGTAGTTAGTGATTTCATTTTAAAAGGGGTAAAGCCATTCTGTAATTACTTATAGTGTATACTGCATTGAAGAAATAACAAAACATATTGTACATAATGAAAGGTAGGTTTCTCACTGCTGAAGAAACAAATCACGAATAAGCCAAGAGGGAAGGATAAAATCAATACTATGATTTTATGGATTCGAATCTGTAACAGTACAAACTCACGATTTTTAATAAAGATATATACCATCAACGGTATTCTACATGCTATTAGTATACATACTTAAGAGAAATAAATGGATAGAGACAGAATTAAATATCAGTGGGTGATTATGTGTCTGTGTGTGTGTGAGTAAAGGGACACATAGCTCCTCTCAGCTCTAGGCCTAGAAGCCATAAAACTCCATTAGCAATGAATGCACTTAATATCAAGAACCTTGTTTCTAAATACTATTTTCCAATATAAAAAACTAGAACTCTCTGAGGAAATGGTTGATTACAAGCTTGGGTAAGGCAAATACAAGATAAACCTAAAACATCTTGTGATACCAGAAAAAAAGAAGTTGTCAAAACATTATGGGTCAATATTAAAAGAACACAGGGGTCTAACTTAAAGGAGCTCCCAATGATCAAATCCAGAAAAAAATGGAAAATTAAAAATAGACCCCGGCCCCTCATAAAATATTAATTACAAAGAAAGGAGAACTAACTTTGCAGAGGATAAACCTGTCAGACACTACCTTAATCAAGTGATCATATTTAACATCAAGAAATAAGACATTGATATCATGTACCCCAGATATGATCCACTGAAAAGGGCACACTATTACGATTGTGTTATCTTTTGTCAAAAGTTCATAACCTTAATCTAATAATACAAAATATCAGCCGGGCGCGGCGGCTCACGCCTGTAATCCCCACACTTTGGGAGGCCGAGGCAGGTGGATCACGAGGTCAAGAGATCGAGACCATCCTGGTCAGCATGGTGAAACCCCATCTATACTAAAAATACAAAAAATTAGCTGGGCATGGTGGTGTGTGCCTGTAATGCCATCTACTCAGGAGGCGGAGGCAGGAGAATTGCCTGAACCCAGGAGGCGGAGATTGTGGTGACCCGAGATCACTCCATTGTACTCCAGCCTGGGTAACAAGAGTGAAACTCCGTCTCAAAAAAAAAAAATCAGACAAATTCAAATTGAGGACTAGTATACAAACTTATGGTCTAGCATTCCTCAAATGTATCAATTTAATGAAATACAAAGAAAGACTGAGGGAGCGCTCCCAGATTTGTAGTCAGGAGAGAGGGCAAAGGAAACATGCCAGATAAATGCAATATGGGATCGTGAATTGGGTCCTGGACGAGATGTAAAGGACATTAGCAGGATAACTGGAAAATCTGAATATGGTCTGCAGACTGGTTAATAGCATTACATTAATTTCCTGATTTCAATAATCACTGTATGTAATAATGCTGTAATAAAGATTATATAAAATGCTAATATCCAGAAAGCTGAGTACAAAATACACAGGAACTCTACTATTTTTGCAAATTTCCTGTAAGTCCAAAATTACTCCAAAATCATAATTTAAAAGTTGGGAAAAATACACAAATTTTACTAAAGAAGATTTACAATGGGATAACTTCCTGAAAAACTGGTTGCCTTCTTACGTGGTCAAATTTCAAACTGAAGTCACAACAAAATATCGCCTCACATCTACTTAACAGATAAGACTGACAATTTCCAGTGTTGGCAAAAATGGACAGTAACTAAAAATCTTCTATTACTGGTTGGGAGTGTGAAAAGTGTCCAACTCTTTAGAACACTGTCTACTAGTTTCCTATAAAGTTAAGCAAAAATCTGTCTTATGATCAAACAGTTTTTAGGTATTTGCATAAGAGATCTGCTAACGTTCAAAACTGCTAAAATCTAGAAACTACTCAGGTGTCCATCAACAAGAGAATAAACGAACTGCAATATGATCATTCAGTGAAAGATCACAATTATTTAAAAAAATTAAACTAATGATATAGGGAACATCATGGATAAATCTCAACATCATTTTGATGACTGGAAGAAGCCAGACACACAGTGTGATTCCATTTATATTAATTTCAAGAACAGGCAAAACTAATCTATGATCACAGAAATCAGGTTTTTTTTTTTTTGAGGAGGTGCTTGGTTGGAAAGAGGCAGTAGGGTAGGTTCTCAAGTAATAAAAATATTCTATCTCCTGAATGGGATATAATTACTTTTAAGAAAACTTACTGAATTATACAATTAATACATATATATCAATGCATTTAACGATGTACATTTTATGTATGTAAAAATATAAGTTATTAAAAATAATAGGGAAGCTCCACCTGGCTATGTAACCATCAACTAGACATATTGGAATATTTCTGTATTCTGTAAGTTATGAAAGAAAGTTACAGAGCAGTATAAAAGCATATGTTTGTGTATATCTATACACATTTAAAAATAAAATTTTAAAAATGTTTATGGGAGAAAAAAAAAGTGTTATGATTTCTCTAGCTTATTTGAAAATACTTAAAATTAACCCGAAGTAAGTATGGCAAAATGTTGATAGGGTGGAACTAATTCCAGTTCCTTGTACGTGCTAGTTCACTGTTCTCTTCTCCTTATATACTGTATGCTTACAATGTGTCCATAATGAAAAGTTTTATAAAATGCACAGCAAGATAAAACTTTCATTGCCAAGGACAAGTGAAAATGAATGTATTACACATATTTAAGAATTTATTAGGAAAAGAAAAGAATACAGAAACAATATATGTAAGTAAATTAGAACCTTAAAAATTAACTGATAAATTATACCAAAGACCTGATTGAGGGAGAGGGAAGGGAAAGGCTAGGTGATGCTGAATATCCACAAGCTAAACTGATTCACTGACAAGGGCACAGCAGAAATAACTAGAACTGGAATGAAAATGAATACATAATTGAAACGAGAAATTTAACAGAATGATGAAAGAGCACTTTGTGTAACTTAATGCTAATGTGTTTAAAATCTGCATGAACTGTGATTTGCTAAGAGAAAACAGGTTGAATTTAAGATACAAAACAAAGAACAAGCAATAACCATACAAAAAAAGGAAAAAAAAAAAAACCTTCTAGATTGCTTCCCTTCTAACTCCAAACCACCAAAAACAGAGGAGAGTCCAAATGATTTCATTGATGTGTTCACTTAAACAATGATAGTGAGACTACGGCTTTTTTTTTTTTTTTTTTTACCAACTCTAGAACATAGTATAAGAAAATCCTTAACACGGAGTATCTGACATCAAAACATGACAAAAATAGCACAAAAAAGAAAAATCACAGATCAATTTCACTTAGTTGTATACTTGTAAAAATTATGAATCAAATTAAAATACCCACGATTAAGTAGTAAATTAAAAGAATAAAACACGTTTTAACTACCAGTAGAGTCTGTTCATTCAAGGAATAAAAGGAAGTTTCAATAATAGTAAATTAATTCGTAGTGATAAAAATCTTTAAAAAAGAATAGTAAAATTGTTTCTGCAAAAAAAATTTAATTATATCTACCACCCGGTTTTGGTAAAAATTCCTTACAAAATATAAAAGGGGGAAGACTTTCTTAACATGATAGACAAAGTATTTCACACTTAAAATCGGCATTTTACACATCGATGATTAAGACCACCCACATCAAAATAACTTACCTATTGGGAATAAGACCTGATCCCATCCCCAGCAGAGTCCTGCCCAGCAAGATAAAACTGTAAACCAGTACGTAACATAGGCAAATAGCTCACCTAGCAGTGATTCGATCATCAAAACTCACATTAAGAACCTCCTGTCACTTCCCCACCAAGCTTAAAAGTATTGCATGATAAATTTTGCCCATTTCTAATCAGTTCCCTGCCCAAACCCCCAAGCCTCATTTCCTGCTTTTGAAACACCATTAAACCCTATCAAGGTGGTGTTTTCCCTTGCTGCAAGTAAGTTTAACAAACTCAGCTTTGCTTGATTAGCTCTTTCTGGTGGTCTTTGGGAGAAAATGACCAGCAACAATGTGCCAGTCAAACCAAAGAAGCGTTCCATTCAATCCTGATTAAATCAAGGGTGGGTAATATTTCCGTAACTGCTCAAGTGTTCTGATAGCAACGGTCTTTGGACTTTGTCAGCGTAACTAAAATCAGGATCCATATGAAGGGGGAAAATGAAAACCTTGAATATTTGCAAAGGATTTAGTCTGTACTTTGAAAAAATCTGAAAAGCAACAAGAAACAGTAAGGTGACCACTAACCCCCAAAACAAAACAAAACAAAACTTTAGATACAAAAAATGAACAAGAAAATAAATTAAAAGAAAAACTCCCATCACCAAAGTGAAAATATTAACTAATTAAAATTATTGAATAAAAAAAATGACATACCTTGTCCTTGGATACGAAGACTTAATATTTTTAAAAACCAATTTCTCCCCTCAATTAATTTATTAAAGTTGATGAAATTGCAGTCTAAACTGTAATTTCTTCCAACGAGAAGACACATGAGACAGGAGGCAGAAGAAGAGACACACAAATCCACAGAACAAAAATGGAGCCAGTCACAGATGAGTACAGCACATATGCGCAGGATGGCAGTACAGATAAATGGGGCAATTATTGGCAAATAATCGCAAGTAATGGCAAGTAACTTGGCAACTTTAAGATTTCAAAACAAAAAAATTTCTCATGATTTAAGAATTTGAATTAAAAAAACAACAAAAGAATTAGAATTTAACATAGGTGAAGGATTTTATGGACTCAGTATATATATTAATCTTTCCAAAAATGACATGAAACTCAGAAGCCATAAAAGCAAACATGGTTACACTTTGACATATAACAATCATACACATTCTTATAACAAAAACAAAGTTAAAAAGTGTGTAAAAAATAGCTATAATGGTTGACAATCCAAGTCTTATTTTCCAAAATAGTAAATGAGCTCTTTGAAATCTGGAAGAGACTAAATCCTCCTCCCACCCACAAAATCGGACATAAAGAAGAAATTAAAAAATACAGATGGCTAATAAACATGAAAAAATGACCAAACTCAAAAACAAAAGAAATACAATTCAAGACAATAGTTGGGTGATCACATTGGCAAAAATTTTAAATATTTATGAGATCCATTGTCTGTGAGGTTGTAGGAAAGCTGGCAATCTCATTCATTGCCATGTGAGGATAAAGTTGTTAACCACATTTTTTGAAGGCAATCTTGCAATAATTTTCAAAATAGGAAGTGTGCATATACTTAATCCCAGTAATTCAACTGATAATAATTTATTATGATATAATAGACAAATGCAAAATTATTTATATAGAGGGAGGTTCATTGCACAGAAATTTGGTGCTAACATAAATATCTATGAGTGAGAAATGCTTAAAACATTTAATTATATTTCATCTACAAAACATTCATGTCATCATTCAACAAATGACACAGATGTGTACGTATTACTGAAAAAGAAAAAGGCCACTGAGTAAGAGCTGTTAAATGAAAGGGGTAATTTGCAGAAAAATGTGTTACAATATGGCCACACTCCCGGATCCTTCCCCAAAATGGCTTGTGTGTTTGTGTGTGCATCTGTCCATTAAAGAATGCATGTAGCTCACTTAATAAAGGAAAACTATAGGGACAGAACTGGAAGAGAGGAGGGCATTTAATTTATATATTAATTATTTAAATATGCTTTGAATTTTTGAAAAAATCATGCAGAGTTTCTTTTTAATATATCTCTATTTTTCAGTTTACCGTGTGGCAAATGAAAATTGTAAATGTGTATTTATGGGAGTACTGAGCAATTCCACCATTTTGAGCATCTTGTGTAATATTATATCCTCTACTGAGGCTCCTGGGATTGAGTCAAGTGGCAGCAAGGGAAACAGTCACCATGCCCAAATTAAAGTCTCATCGATGACATCCCAACATGAGCATTTCTCAGTTAAGCATTTCTTATCTGCAGGAGGTATCCACTGCAACACAGGGAAGAGAGGAGACTCCATGCATAAGGAAGACTGTATCAGTGTTTTGGTGAAGCTGGCAGTAGAAGGAATGGCACCAATTCAACAACTCCACCTCTTTGTGGCCATCACCTGCAAGGACACAGTGGGGAAAAGTGGCAAAGGTGAGAAACATGTTTCCTGAGGAGTCATGGGGGTATGAAATCCCTCTTCAATCTTCCTCCTACATGTGCTGGAACAAATATACCCAGAGTGCACAGAGAAAACCTCATTTCTAGCAGCTGGTTCCATGATGAGATCAGAACAATGACACTGAAACTTCCTAATGTCAAGGATGCCAGATATTTGTGCTGCTTTTCCTCCTTCTGCTGGGCTAAAAAGTGACAGACACCAACAACCTCAGGTTTCGTGCCTGTCTCTTCCCTTCTGTTTCTTAAAGCTCTAGGTCATTCATTTATTTGGGCAGTTGTTTCAGACCAAACAGCTTGTCAACTTTCCAGTCTAACAGTTATGGAGAAGCTACTGTGCCTCCTGTGTACATCAATGTTCCAGCATCACAATGGATCAGGCCATGAGGAAGTTCAGTTTACTAGACGGGAGGAGTTAAGGAAATCCTTCCTATTAACAGTAAATGTACTGAGATGTAGAAAAAGCCACTAAGGTATATAAGAAAAGCTGCATCCCTTAACTCGTTGTGAAATCTTAGAATCAATTAGAATGCAATCACAGCATCAATCTTCATAAAATTACCACCTCGATTTCTACCCAAACATGGCTTCTCCTAGAAAGCAAGGACTATTTTAACTAACACCTTACCTTTAGCGGGTGGCCGAGGCAATGCACAGCTGAGGAGGCTCTTTGTCTGAGGGGGTGTTGGTTTAATAACTTGCTGATAACATTCACTCCCAGAAGAGTTCCCAGGAAGTCATGTTCTGAGGTGGGAAAAAAAAAAAGAACCACCACTTCCAATGAAACAAGCAATGCAGCTGGAATCTGGAAATTTCTTCTCTGCTACTCTTTCATACTGATTTAATTTGGAATCTGCCCCTTACGTACACAGTTCTGAAATCATAGCCATCTAGTCCGTAACTACACATTTCAGTGTCAGCACACTGCGTCAGGGAACTTCTCTACTGCCCATTTCCAGATCTCACTAGGTCACCCGAATCCCACCAGGAGTTACATCTCTTTTTTTTTTAAATCATATCTTCTACTGCTTAGTCGGCCAGGTTATCTGCAAAATTACTCAAGACAACCTACTTATACATCTTTTTTCAGTGAAAGTTTGTTGAGAACTTGTTCTGTGGCAGGCAATCCACAAGGTGCTTGTGTCACAAAATAAATGAACTGAAAAATGATCTGAACATAAGAAATTAAAAATCCACTGGATGAATCAATCATACAAAGAAAGAGCTGAGACATAATGGTCTTAAAGTGGCAGATTCAGTTTTGGGCTCAGATTGCCGGGGAAGAGCTGTTGTGATCACCTGCCTTTCACTCCTAAGAATGGCATCCACCCTCAGTGGCTCTCAGATGGGTTTTCATGCTATTTAACCAGAACCAAATGTCATCAAACTCAAGAAGAGCAAGATCTATCAATTTCTTCCACCCTAGGCCCATTTCTTACAAACGTGCAGTTCTCTGCCCAGAAAGTCGTACCTGCAAGAGTGGCCAACAGACCACAGGTGGGCATGGAGAGCCAGTGACCGGGGAGTAAGTTGTCAGCTCATTCTCTGGAGTTTTCCTTAATTCATTCTCTTGCTTCCTGACAAGTCAATAAAGAAATTTAGTAATATTTATCACAATGTGGTAGCTTACAATTCTACCAAATAAATTTTACCAAATTCTATTTTCAAACATACTTTCCCCAACATAATATTAGCTAACATTTCTAAGACAGATATTTTATAAATGCTGTTTTTATCATATTTGAAAGTTAAGGCAAGGGCAAGAACAGTTTCCCTTCCCTTCTATCATCAACCAACATAAAAGAAAAAGAGAAACAACATTTTAAGAAAAAAAAATGCACATATAAACCTGCATCTATATGTTCATATAAACCACACATACACATATAAACACACACATATACACACACACACAATCTAATTTAACAACAAAATACTCAGGAAGTGTGGCCATCCTGTGCTGGGAAAAATGAATGCTGCTAAGCCCTTTGTGTGTCACATGCACAGACTTTAAATACACATTGCCCTCCTTTACCCTGTAAGGTCCAATGGACACAGAGAGTGGCCAGTAAAGCCCAAAGAAAGCTTCTAAGAATTTCACTAACAAAGGACATGTTTCTAGCTCAACAATTTTCACAAGACCATCTTTACAAAAAAATACACATTTCGATAATTTCTAACTATCTGAAAAGGTTGGATTAAACTCAGTTACTCTTTTTTTTAAAATAGTGGTCTAAAATATGCCCCCAAACAATAACCTAGTGAAAGAGAATATTCACGTGCAATAATCCTAACCACCCTTCATTTAAAAGACATACATGAATAAAATATTTTGATCTATGATTTGGAAGAACGCGTGTAATACAAAATCATTTCAACAACGTCAATTTAACTTGAAAGTCTAGATATGATAAACTGATATGCCCATATTCAGAAGAACTTCCTAACTACACAGAGGCTTACACAAGATTTACTGATCTCGGCCTTGTTGACTACCTAAGAGATGAATGTAAAACTTCACATATCTCAACCTGATGTGATAATACTCTCTGAAGCCATCTGCAAAACACTGCAGCATAAATTTTACCAAATATATTTACAGATTTTCTTTAAATGTCCTGTCCCTATCAACCATTAAAATATCTAAATTGCAGATTCATGTAAAAAGTGTAAAGTTTTAACTTTACAAAAAAAGTTAAGCCAAAAACATACAATAGTTAAAACATGCATTTCTGAATAAAAACATACTGATATGAGGCTGTTTTCTTTAATTAATTTTGTTGCTGACGAGTTTATAAAAGAATTTAGAAATATTTATCACAATATGGTAGCTTACAATTCTATTTTCAAACATACTTTTCCCAAAATAATTTTAGCTAACATTTCTAAGACAGATACTTTATAAATGTTCTTCTTATCACTTCTACATCTTTTATTATAAATTAGCATACATGTAGCAGCACTAGATAATCTGTGTCCAGCAGAACTTTCTGTGGCAAAGGAAGTGTTATAATTCCATCTTACAATATCAATTATGTTGATAATACATGGTGTACAGTAACTTGAGAAAAATCACTAAATGGGTAAAGAGTGCAAACAGGGTGTTTCAGCCTGTGAATAACTGTGTTAGGGACAAGTTCCCATTCTATTTAATATAGCATCTTCAAGATAGAGAGCACCGTTTCAATTATTAGAAGAGATGTAAGATTAAAAGAAAGATGGTAATACTTACGGGTCCTGAGGGGTGCATGGAATGCCCGGAGTCCACACGCAGAGGTCAGGGAGCATGAGAGAGAGAGAGAGAAAGGGAAAGACAGAGAGACACAGAGAGAGAGAAAGAAAAAGAGACCCATGGGCCAATGCCCTTATTTGGTCAAGGGTATTATTCAAACAGGTTTTCTGCGGAGACTTTTAAGTGATGGGTTTAAAGCAAGCAGGCATGAGTTCCCTGAGGTCACACTGTGACTGGGAGGTGGACAATGGTTCTGAGGGGTGTGGTGATCAAAGGGCCAGTCAAGCAGATTGCATCAAGCTGTCCCATGGTGAAGTGGTCCAAAGGAGGCATTGGATAAGGCAGATACCTGGACCAACCACACTGAGGAACCGGGAGGAGGTGTAGAACTGGAAACTGTGCAAAGGTTGTAAGCCTTGCTTCTGGTATAAGAAAGTTAAACTTATATTCAAGATTTGGATGCCGAGGCAACACAAATTTATAAGAATTCACTACACTCTTCCAATGCCCACACCCAACAGGACATACTGCTGAGGCCTCAGGGACATTCTCTTAATCACACATCTCATTCCAGCCTAATTTAATCTTTGTTCCCAAAAAGGAGAAACTGTTCAAACATTCTTGATACCCAGCACCTTTCTGCTACAAGCTAAGCAGAGAATCTCAAACATCCTAGAGTTTACAGAAATGAAAACCATGGAGGACTTACCGTATGATTAATGTTGATATATGATTTGATTACAAGATGCTTCCCAAAATAGACCAAATTATTGCCTAGCTAAAACAATTCCCCATGGCTACAAACATAGTTGTTTAATTTATTTTTACTGCTGGGTGCTGTGGCTCATGCCTGTAATCCCAGCACTTTGGGAGACCAAGGTGAGCAGATCACCTGAGGTCAGGAGTTTGAGACCAGCCTAACCAACACAACGAAACCCCATCTCTACTAAAAACACAAAAATTACCCAAGTGTGGTGTGTGCCTGTAATTTCAGCTACTTGGGAGGCTGAGGCAGGAGAACTGCTTGAACCTGGGAGGTGGAGGTTGCAGTGAGCCAAGATCGCACCACTGCACTCCAGCCTGGACGACAGACCAAGACTCAGCCTCAAAAAATAAAAATTATTTTTACTACTCCTTGCAGAGCAGGGTAACCCATAGACAGCGTTCCCAGCGTAGCCCACAGATAAACTTAGAATGAGTGATGTTGCTACGGGATCTTCTGGAAACCTCACAGACATGAGCACTGAGACCAATGAGAATCAAAATGTCCATGCTGTGCTATTGGGTACCTGCAACGAGAACTTTTTATTTCTTTAACCATTGGGTTCTATAAAATCTGTTAATTTTCTTTTTTTTTTGAGACGGAGTTTCGCTCTTGTTACCCAGGCTGGAGTGCAATGGCGCGATCTTGTCTCACCGTAACCTCTGCCTCCTGGGTTCAGGCAATTCTCCTGCCTCAGCCTCCCGAGTAGCTGGGATTACAGGCACGCGCCACCACGCCCAGCTAATTTTTTGTATTTTTAGTAGAGACGGGGTTTCACCATGTTGACCAGGATGGTCTCGATCTCTTGACCTCGTGATCCACCCGCCTCGGCCTCCCTAAGTGCTGGGGTTACAGGCGTGAGCGGCCGCGTCCGGCAAGTGTGTTAATTGTCCAAATATTTTGTGACCTCCAAATTTATTTGTGTTGACTTCTAATTTAATTCCTCTATGGTCACACAACATACTCTAGAGGGTTTCAAACTTAAATTTGAGTACAGTTTTATAGCCTAACATGTACTCTATCCTGGAGAATGTTACAGGTATGCTTGAAAATAATTGTATTTTGTTGTTGGGTGGAGTTTTCTTTGTCTATCTATCATCTATCTCAGGTCAAACTGGCTGTGGAAGTACGTCATAACCTCAACGATGCCCGATGTAATTGACTCATCAGTGATTAAGAAGAGGGTATGAACAAAGGTTATTCTTGTTAAATTGCATGTTCATCCCCCAGTCATGTTGGTTTTCAGTTTATATAATTTGGGGCCGTGTTGTTAGTGCTGACATAATTATGATTGTTACATATTCCAGATTAATTAACCCTTCTATCATGAAATACTTTCTTCCTTTCTAGCAATACTCAGTCTCTTTTTTTCTAATGTTAGAATACCCACTTAGACTTTCCTCTGGATTCTCTGGTTATAGGGTTTTCCATCTTTTTACTTTCAAACTATGTGTATCTTTTGTTCTAAAGTGTCTTTTTTGTAGACAGTATATAGTTGCTCGTGTTTTCTTAAAAAAATGGAATCTCCTAATCTCTCTAAAAATTTAAATATAATTGCCATATGGCTCGGTTTATGTCTGTTATTTTCCTGTCTGTTTTCTATGTCTTATGTCTTATTGGTTCCACTGTTCATCCTTACCTGCCATCTTTTTTGTTAAATCTATTTTAATTCTTTGGTGGTTCTTTTAATATTTTTTGAATTATTTTCTTATTGGTGGTCCATGTGCTTATAAAATATACCTTAAATAATCACAACCTACCTGAGATTAACAGTAAATGTGTAACATTGCCTTTCATATTACTTGAAATCAATTTCAGAGAAGCCATTTGATTGCTCAGTTTGTCCAGATTTCCAAAAGATATTGAAGCCATCATCAATACAGTCATGTTTATAAAAGAAACCGTGAGCCCAAGATAGGAGACAGACACTCAACACTGAGGATTGTGTCACTCTTGGACACGATGACACCATGTTAAGTCATAGGGACAAGGATATAGGAACAATGAAACGGCCACATTGCTCACTACCATTATCATTGGAATTTATAATTCCCTAAGAAGAATATAGCAATCTCTGGACAAAATGCTTACTGTGAGAATTCCCACTGGCCTGTGAGCATGGAATGGTGTAATTATTTCTGATACTTTCTGCCATATTTCAAGGGGAATGTATAAACTCTTTCATATAACATCCACATTTTGGTCTACATGGAATTGTGGAAATAGAGTAAAAATACGGGAAGATGAGAGCGTACGTGTAAATTTGCCAAACATGCATAAGAAAGGAGGCTTCACTACGAATCTGCATATAAAATGTACTAATGTATTATTCTACCGGCATGTCTCTGATTGCGCAGAAACTCTAGGAGAGGAAGCGAGGCCTTGGATATTTTACCAGGTTATTAATGCCTTGCATTGTTTGAATTAACAGACTTTGTAAAAGCACTTCTAAGTTATTTAATAACACAACAAAAATAATATGGATATCACATGTATTAAAAATTGGAATGTTACCCTTGGAGTGCATTGTTTTGACCTTTCCTGGAGAAAGATGCTGGTGCAAATGACAAAAACAGTACTTCTTTGGTGTGCAGGTGAGAATTTCAAGTGGCAAAATGTTGTCTTCCACCAACATCACTTCCGACCTATAAAGGGGGAAATCAGGGCGCTCAGAAACAAAACATTCTAATGGTATATTTACTAACAAGACGCTGGTTGCAAGGAACCCACCAGAGACGTGCACTGGACCATCTGTATGACAAGAACAATTAATACTCGGTCCTTGAAACACGACAGTGTAGAACTCATCTTTTCTAAAACACTGGTCCCAAAGCTTCCTCAGCATACCCAACACAACACCATTCACTATGACTAGGCTCTCTCCTTACATTCATTAGAAACCCACTGAAGAGATATAAAAGTGGCCAGAAAAATCCACATTTTAAAAGGTTGGAAATTTAATCATTTCACCTCTAGGAATGTTTAAAGTAGCATGTAGCTGAAGACAGCACTTCCGTGCATACAAAATCACTCTCTCAGCTGATGAGAAAAACGAAAATCAAAGAAACTGATTAAATCCTAGTGACTGCTTGGCAAGCAAATTACATTATGCAGTGAAGACGACACGTGTAATAGCTATTTTTCAATTTTCAAATACTAGTTTCATTTCATAGAGAAATGAAAAGTGAAAACTTTCTATAAAAGGGACCTCGAGCCTGAGATGTATGGCAGATTCTGAGCACTCATCTTTCTGTCACCCGGGGACTCGCCAACCCACAGTATTAAATTACAAAGACCAGCATCACAGCTTGGATTCTGACCATCTCATTGCCCTCAAGAGCAAGCGTCATAATGTAGGAGATTATTGCAGCTCCGATGCAAGGGCAGGTATAGCTATTTCCTGCACTGTCACGTCCCAAGTGCTGACTTGCCAGGGTCTGTTTACTACCAACAGATTTACGTACCCAATCAAGAATTCAGAGTTGCAACTTCACCTCCAAACTGGGTATCTACAGATCACTGTCCAATTCAGCTTCTCTAGTGCATGGAAGCTGGTTAGTTTTCCAGTACCACAGTCCTTGCTGGGACCACACAGCTGAACAAACCGAACTCTCCTTCCATATAGTTTGCTTAGGTCAGAAAACTGTGCTGGGCCTCATGTTCAGAGAAGGTATTATTTAACTCATTGCTTTCCCAGGTTTTCAACAAGATCAATTATTATTACTGTTATCACTGATATACGCAAACTTCTAAACAAGGGGCACTGTTTACCTCAGAAACATGAAAGAAAACGAGCACTGTGGAGTAAACTTCTCTGGGACACACTGATGCACCTATTAAGTCATGGAAACCAGCTCCCTACACAGACCCAGGCTCCATGTTGCCCAGCACAGACAGTGCCTTATGGAGTATTACATAATCCCTAAAAAAGGGCAATATTTTAGCGAAAAAATACTTAGCAACCTGACCTGGCCCGTGAGGATGTTATGTATGGTTAATATCAATTATACTAATATAACTCGACTAGGACGTTTTTGATATTATTGAAAAGGAAGGAAGTAAAAAAAAAAAAAAAGGAAACAAAGGATAATGAAAGCCTTGGATGATTTACCAGATAATTAATGCCTCACACTGCTATTAACAGATCTTCACAAAACCAATTATCAACTTGACTACAGAAAACAATATAAAAGAAGCCATAAAAAGTAATTTTATTCAACCCTGGATGTTACCTTTGGAGTGCATCGTTTTGTTCTGCTTGGGGAATGGAATAGGTAAGAATGCCAAAATCAGCATTTCTTTGGGACACAGTGAGAATTCCATGCAATTCCAAAATCACTTCCATTCTGCAAGGTACAGGGAACGTCAGAGGAGTTCTGAGACAAAAGCTTCCCAAATGAATGATTCCTGGTAACAGTTTGTAATTAGCCACAGTCACTTGAGTGCCCACATAACTAGAAAATCTGCTTGTTGCTTAGAACAGGGTTAGTATAGAAAATCAGCCCCCTGAGGATTACTAACATTAAAATCTCTCCTAAAATACACAATGACTCAGTGAAAGAATATAGTTGTTAGCCAACAATGTCTACTTAAATTCCTAGAATTAGAAATTTCATAATTTCACATTAAAATATTTAATGAAGCATCTAATTTAATCCATCATCTAATGTTTAAAAACCTGCTTCCTGAGTGACAGGAAAAAGAAAAATATTGTTCTAATCCTTGAAACTGGGTTAGCAAGCAAATTACAGCATGCAATGACATAATATGAATACAACCTACTCTTCAATTTTTCAAATATTTCTTTTAGTGAAAAAGTAAGTAAGAAGCCAAGACTAATAATTTCTTTCTAATTGACTACATTGTATACCTACACATCCTGGTCCTCACTAAGAATATTGCGGCATCTACAAAAATAGTGTGAATGGTTCGAGTGCTGGCACAGCCATTTCCACAACCTAAACTCCTCTGACGCTGCTGCCCCAGAGTCTGAGTTCTAGGTGTCTGAATGCCGCCAGCCATGCATTCAAATCATTGTCATGTAATACCCAAAGATGCACTTCATCTGCTCTGACAGATGCGAGTGAGTTAGTTTTCCAGTTCCACAGGCCTTTTTGGTACCAGATGCTGACCCAACTGAATGCATCCCATGTGTTTGCCTGGTATGGTCCCTGTGCTGGACCTCAGCTCAAAGAAGTGTCTTGGTCACTCATTTTGTTCAGATTTCCAAGGTTTCCATTTTTTTAAGTCATCATCGATCCAGGCACATTTATAAAAGGGACCTTGAGCCTGAGATATATGGCAAATACTAAGCACTCATCTTTCCGTCACTCGCCAACCCACAGTATTAAATTACAAAGACCGGCATCACAGCCAGTGAACAGACCTATGGCTGACTAGCACAGCCAGGGTCTCCTTGTCATTAGAGTGTCATGACTCCCCGTAAGAAGAATGTCGGGTGCTTTCAGGACAAAATGCTTACCAATATTAGAATTCCCCTAGCCCTTGAGAATGGGGGGGGGGGGGCAGAATGATTTCCATTACTTTCCTTCACGTCACACCTCAAGTAGAAGGAATAAACTCTTTTATATAAAATCTAGTTCTTGTTCCACATTCACCTCTGAAAACAGAAAAAAATATAGAAAAAGAAAAAGTGTAAATGTGTATTTGCCAACCATGCAAATGGTATATAAATATAACAGGTTTATTATGCACAAGTATATAAAATATACTAAATTAAATCTCCACTAGGGTGTCCTAATGCTATTAGAAAGCAGAGGAAATATAAAAGTACTAGAAGACAAAAGAGACAGAAACCTCAGATGACTAACCAGATTAGTAGGGCTCACATCATTTGGATTAACAGACTACTTGAAAAACCAATTATACGGGCCGAGTGCGGTGGCTCACGCCTGTAATCCCAGCACTTTGGGAGGCCGAGGCGGGTGGATCACGAGGTCAAGAGATGGAGACCATCCTGGTCAACATGGTGAAACCCCGTCTCTACTAAAAATATAAAAAATTAGCTGGGCATGGTGGTGCATGCCTGTAATCCCAGCTACTCAGGAGGCTGAGGCTGGAGAATTGCCTGAACCCAGGAGGCAGAGGTTGTGGTGAGCCAAGATCGCGCCATTGCACTCCAGCCTGGGAAACGAGAGCGAAACTTGGTCTCAAAAAAAAAAAAGAAAAACCAATTATAATCTTACTTGCTAAAATAGAATAATAGAAATAACCCAGGAAAAATGCACTTGCTAAAAATTGCAAAATTACCTCTGAAGTGCATTGTTCTTATTGCCAGACAAGGAATTTGGTACATCTGACAAAATAAGCAGGTTAGTGGAGCAGCAGTTACAATTTATAACTCTTGGAAAGGTTTTAAATGTTATTCAAAGTACAGAGAAGAAAACATCTTAAAAATAAAGGAAACTGATGCTTCAGACAGCTCATCAGGTTAATAATTCCTAATAGTCTGTATTAACCCATTATTCACAAAACCAAATGACTTGACAGTTGTAAAAATAATAAAAATAAATTTACTGAAAATCAGATACTACCTCAGGAGTGTGTTGTTCTGTTTCTTCCCAAATTAGTTAGCTGGTACAAATGACAAAATTATCCCCTCACTGGTTCACTGGTAAAATTTCATCGAATTATAACTCACCCAATCTACAAAGTGTAGCAGAAATTAGGGAAGTTATATAACAAAATGTGTCAAATGGAATATTTAGTCACAAGCAAATATAAGAACTCACACTAGACATTCGCTAGACCATCCAAAGAATGACAAGAAAAATTATTCTTCCATCTTTGGCCACTACAAAATATAAATTTTTATCTGAGACATTAGTCTCAAAGCTTCCCTGGCATGCCCAAAGTCATTTATTACAATGAGGATACCTCTTGAAACACAATGGAAACCTTTGAGGATGTGTAAATATAGCCAATGAAATCTATGTAAAAAAGAATCTGAAATATAATCTAAATTTATTTGAGGCAGCATACAGTTGAAGCCAGCAAAACAGTGGTTTGCTTTTTGATAAGAAAAACTAAAATCAAAAAAACAAGTGTTACAATCCTAGTGGCTGAATTGGCAAGAAAATTAAAATACACTAGAATATTCTACATAGAATAACCTTTTTTCAATTTCCATGTAATTTTTTGACTTAACGGAAAATAAAAGTAAGACCAGGAGCAGTGGCTCACGCCTGTAATCCCAGCACTTTGGGAGGCCAAGACGAGTGGATCACCTGAGGTTGAGAGTTGAGACCACCCTGGCCAACGTGGTGAAACTCTGTCTCTACTAAAAATATGAAAATTATCCAGGCATGGTGGCATCCCAGGCTACCTGGTAACTTGAGGTGGGAGACTCTTTTGAACCTGGGGGGTAAAGGTTGCAGTGAGCCAAGATCATACAACGGCACTTCAGCCTGGGCAACAGAGTGAGATGTAATCTCAGAAAAAAAGAAAAGGAAAATCTCATCATATCTTGGATTTGGATGTTGACCCTCTCTCATCACCCTCAAGAGACTGATCATCAACCAGAAAATTCTGCGAGCTCAGACAAATGTGTGAATGGCTCAAGGGCAGGCACGATAATGTCCATGAGTCTCACTATGCCCTGGTTCCCAGGGTCTATGAACTGCTTCTATAAATGCTGCCAACCAAGTACAGAGTTGCTATGTCAAAAAACAGCTGGATATTTACAGACCTGAGAATAATTCGTTTGCTCTAACATATGCGGGTCAGTTCATTTTCCAGTAACCCAATCCCTGTGAACTCCCTCCACATGTCTGCCTCAAATAGTCCCAGTGCTGGACCTCAGCTCACAGAAGTGGCACAAAAATGATTTGGTCACTCATTTTGTTCAGATTCCGACGAAATCCATTTTTTCTTAATAGTCATCATCGATCCAGGCACATTTTTAAAAGGGACCTTGAGTCTGAGTTCCGTGGCAGACACTGAGCAGATCCGTTGCTCTGGGACACACTGACCCACGCTATGCAATCATGGAGACCAGCATCACAGTCAATGACCAGCCCACAATGGGCTAGCACAGCCAGGGTCTCATGGTCACCTGAGTGTTATAATTCCCCAAGAGGACATGTTGGTATGCTCAGGACAAAAGGCTTACCAGTATTAGAGTTCCCACTGGCCCTTGAGGATGGGAGGGCAGCATTATTCCCAATACTTTCTTTCCTGCTTGTCTTGCCTCAAGGGGAAGGATAAATTCATCCATATGAAACCCAGTTCTTGGTCTATGTTGTTCTGCAGGACGAGAGTATGTATATGAGAATCTGAGAAGTACACATGGACATTTTTTAGCCTTGCGTAAGACAGGATGTTTCATGTTATTCCAAGTAGAGAAAAGCATAAAATAAGAAAGGAGATTGATGCCTTAGCTCATAGAATATTAATGTCTGAAACTGTTAGTATTAACCAACTCTTTAGAAACCTAAATTCTTAATTACTTAAAAAAATAAAAAGGCGTCACAAAAATAAATCCACTAAAAATTGGACGTTACCTTAGCTGTGCATTGGAGTGCTCCCTCACAGCTGTGTTAGCTGGTACAAATGTCCAAATCAGCACTTTGCTGGTTTGGCAATGAACTTCCATGGAATTCTGTCTTATCTAATCTACAGGGCACAGGGAAAATTAGGAAAGTTGTGAAACAAAATTTGGTTAACGGACTTCCTTTGTAACAAGCAGTTACAGGAATTCACATTAGATGCTCATTGGACCATCTGTATAAGAAGAACAATTATGCTCACATCTTTGATGGAAATTGTATGGAAATAATGTTTTCTAAAACATTTGTCCCAAAGTTCCTCCAGCACGTACCCTTCAAAACAACTATTTTTTTTTTTTGAGACAGAGTTTCACTCCTGCTGCCCAGGGTGGAGTGAAATGGTGTGATCTCGGCTCACTCCAACCTCTGCCTCTTGGGTTCAAGCAATTCTCCTGCCTCAGCCTCCTGAGTATCTGGGATTACAGGAATGTGCCACCATGCCCAGCTAATTCTGTATTTTTAGTAGAGACAGAATCTTTCCATGTTGGTGAGACTGGTCTCGAACACCTGACCTCAAGTGATCCACCCATCTTGGCCTCCCCAAGTACGGGCTTCACAGGAACGAACCAACGCATCCAGCCACGTTACAACTTTTAATTAATTAATACAGTGGTCACCCATGGAGGACATATGAAAGTAGCCAATGAAATTCCTGTAAAAATCCAAGACTTTGAAATACACTCGCATCACTTCTAAAAACGTGTGCTCCAGCACGTAGTTGGAACTAGCACTGAGGCATGTAACAGCTTGCTTGGTTGGTGGAGAAGCAAAAAGAAACAACTCTTTGAGTCCTCCTGACGGGGTTGGCAATCAAATGAAAATATACAGGATTTCACATGAGATATTGACTATTTAATTTCCATGTAATTATTTCACTAAAAAGAAAATGAGAAGTGACAAAACCCACCATCAAAGAGGTGGGACTAGGCTTCACGTTTCAACAAAAAAACACGGGAAGCCTAAGTAACAATGGGACAGTGTTCTTGATCACCCAGCAGCCTCTCCAGGTCACCGGAAGAGGTGGGCCTAACCTCCCAGTGTAAACAAAAAGACACAGGAAGCTTACCTAGTAACCTGAAGGAGTCCCTAGAAACACAGTAGCACCTAGACAGGCAGACAAGCAACCTCATCAGGCAGCTCCCTGAGATCACAGCCAGGTAAATCCACGAAGAAGGGAAAAAAAAAAACAGCGCAAAGAAAATGAAACCATCAAAGACCAGAATATCTGTTCTCCTTCAAGGGATCACAACTCCTCAACACAGGAACCCAACATGACTGAGAAAGAGTGCAACAAATTGACAGAAACAGGCTTCAGAAGGTGGATAATAACAAACTTTTCTGAGCTAAAGGAACAAGTTCTAACTCAATGCAAAGAAACTAAAAACCTTGAAAAAAGGTAAGATAAAATGCTAACTAGAATAAGCAGCTTAGAGAAGAACATAAATGACTTGATGGAGTTGAAAAAAACAGCACTAGAACCATGTGAAGCAAACACAAGTTTAACAGCCGAATCGATCAAGCCGAAGAAAGGATATCAGAAATTGAAGATCAACTCAATGAAATAAAAAGAGAAGGCAAAACAAGAGAAAAAAGAGTGAAAAGAAACGAACAAAGCCCCCAAGAAATATGGGATTATGTGAAAAGACCTAATCTACATTCGATCGGTGTAACTAAATATGACAGGGAGAATGAATCCAAGCTGGAAAACACGCTCCAGAATATTATCCAGGAGAACTTCCCAAGCCTAGCAAGGCAGTCCAACATTAAAATCCAAGAAATACAGAGAACTCCACAAAGATATTCCTCAGGAAGAGCAACCCCAAGGCACGTAATTGTCAGATTCACCAGGGTTGAAATGAAGGAAAAAATGCTAAGGGCAGCCACAGAGAAAGCTCAGGTCACCCACAGATGGAAGCCAATCAAACTCACAGCAGATCTCTTGGCAGAAACCCTACAAGCCAGAAGAGAGTGGGGGCCAATATTCAACATGCTTAAAGAAAACAAAAGGACGAGTTCCATTTCCTTTGTAGGGACTTGGATGAATCTGGAAACCATCATTCTCGGCAAACTGAAACAAGAAGAGAAAACCAAATGTCGCATGTTCTCACTCATAGGTGGGTGTTGAACAATGAGAACATGTGGACCTAGGGAGAGGGGCATCACACACTAGGGGCTGTTGTGGGGGGGGCGGTCAGAGGAGGGACAGAGTGGGATGGGAAGTGTGTGGAGGGATAACATGGGGAGAAATGCTGGATATAGTTTGCACCTATGCAGCAACCCTACATGACCTGCACATGTACCCCAGAACCTAAAGTAAAATAAACAAATAAATGAATAAATAAGAAAAGAACTTTCAACCCAGAATCTCATATCCAGCCAAACTAAGCTTCATAAGTGAAGGAGAAATAAAATCCTTTACGGACAAGCAATTACTGAGATTTCATCACCACCAGACCTGCCCTACAAGAGCTCCTGAAAGAAACACTAAGCACAGAAAGGAATAAGTACCAGTCACTGCAAAAGCACACCAAATGGCAAAGACCAAAAATGGAGTGAAGAAAATGAGTCAACTAAAGCACAAGAAAACCAGCCAGTAACAAAATGGCAGGATCAAATTCACACATAACAATACTAACATTGAATGTAAATGGCCTAAACGCCCCAATCAAAAGACACAGACTGGCAAACTGGATAAAAAGTCAAACCCATCAGTGTGCTGTATTCAGGAAACCCATCTCACATACAAAGATACACAGAGACTCAAAATAAAGGGATGGAAGATTTACCAAGCAAATAGAGAACAAAAAAAAAAAAATAGGAGGGGTTACAATCCTCGTCTCTGATAAAACAGACTTCAAACCAACAAACATCAAAAGAGACAAAGAAGGACATTATATAATGGTAAAAGGATCAATCCAACAAGAAGAGCTAACTGTCCTAAATACATATGCACCCAACACAGGAGCACCCAGATAGCCAAAACAAGTTCTTAATGACCTAAAATGGGATTTAGACTCCCACACAATAATAGCGGGAGACTGCAACACTCCACTGTCAGTATTAGATCAACGAGACAGAAAATTAACAAGGATATCCAGGACTTGAATACAGAGCTGGACCAAGCAGACCTAAGAGACATTTCCAGAACACTCCACCCGAAATCCACAGAATATACATTTTTCTCAGCACTACATCACACTTACTCAAAAACTGACCAGATAATTGGAAGCAAATCACTCCTCAGCAAATGCAAAAGAACAGAAATCATAACAGTCTATGAGACCACAGCACAATCAGATTAGAACTCAGGATTAAGAAACACACTCAAACCTGAACAACCACTTGGAGACTGAACGACTTGCTTCTGAGTGTTGACTGGACAAACAATGAAATGAAGGCAGAAATAAACTGGTTTTTTGAAACCAATTAGAATGAAGACACAACTTACCAGAATCTCTAGGACACCTTTAAAACAGTGTTGAGAGGGAAATTTATAGCAATAAATGCCCACGTAAGAAACAAGGAAAGATCTAAAATTGGCACCCTATCATCAAAATTGAAAGAGCTAGAGGAGGCAGATTAAAAAAACTCAAAAGCTAACAGAAGATAAGAAATAACTAAGATCAGAGCCAAACTGAAGGAGACAGAGACACAAAAAACCCTTCAAAAAAAAAAATCAGTAAATCCAGGAGCTGGTTTTCTGAAAAGACCAACAAAATAGACCACTGGCCAGACTAATAAAAAAGAAAAGAGAGAAGAATCAAATAGATGCAATAAAAAAAGACAAAGGCAATATCGCCATTGATCCCACAGAAATGCAAATTACCATCAGAGATTACTACAAACGGCTCTATGCACATAAACCAGTAAACCAGGAAGAAATGGATAAATTCCTGGACACTTGTACTCTACCAAGACTAAACCAGGAGGAAGTTGAAACTCTGAATAGACCAATAACAAGGGCTGAAGTTGAGACAGCAATCAATGGCCTATCAACCAAAAAAAGTACAGGTCCAGACTGGTTTTCAGCCGAATTCTACCAGACATACAAAGAGGAGCTGGTTCCATTCCTTCAGAAAGTATATCAAACAGTACAAAAAGAGGGAATCCTCCCTAACTTATTTTATGACACCATCATCATCCTGATACCAAAACCCGGCAGAGACTCAACTAAAAAAGAAAACTTCAGGCCAACATCCATGATGAACATCGACGCAAAAACCTTCAATAAAATACTGGCAAACTGAATGTAACAGCACATCAAAAAGCTTATTCATCACGATCAAGGAGGCTTCATCTTGGGGATGCAAGGCTGGTTCAACATACTCCAGTCCATAAACGTAATCCATCACATAAACAGAACCAAAGACAAAATCACAAGATTATCTCAATAGATGCAGAGAAAGCCTTTGACAAAATTTAACAGCCCTTTATGCTAAAAACTCTCAATAAACTAGGTATTGACAGAACATATCATAAAATGATATAAGCTACTTATGAGAAACCTACAGTCAATATCATACTGAACAGGCAAAAGCTGGAAGAATTCCCTTTGAAATCAGGTACTAGATAAGAATACCCTCTCTCACCACTCCTATTCAGTATCCTATTAGAAGTTCTAGCCAGAGCAACAGATGCTGGAGAGGATGTGGAGAAATAGGAACACTCTTACACTGTTGGTAGGAGTGCAATTTAGTGCAACCATTGTGGAAGACAGTGTGGCAATTTCTCAAGGATCTAGAAACAGAAATTTCATCTGACCCAGCAATCCCGTTACTGGGAATATACCCAAAGAACTATAAATCATTCTACTATAAAGACACATGCACATGTATGTTCATTGCAGCACTGTGTACAATAGAAAAGACCCGGAACCAACCCAAATGCCCATCAATCATAGACTGGACAAAGAAAATGTGGCACATATACATCATGGAATACTATGCAGCCATAAAAAATGACGAGTTTGTGTCCTTTGCAGGGACTTGGATGAATTTGGAAACCATCATTCTCAGCAAACTGACACAAGAACACAAAACCAAACACCACATGTTCTCATTCATAGGTGGGTGTTGAACAATGAGAACACAAGGACTCAGGGAGAAGAGCATCACACACTGGGGGCAGGGGAGGGACAACGGAGGGTAACATGGGGAGGGATAACATGGGGACAAATGCCGCATATAGTCAAAAGGGGAAAAGAGGCAGCAAACTACCTGGTTATGTATGCACCTATGCAACAACCCTGCATGACCTGCATATGTACCCCAGAATCTAAAGTAAAATATATTTAAAAAAGGAAGAACATCACGAATTTGAAAAAAAAAAAAAAGGAAAATGAGAAGTAAAAACCTGTCATATTTTTGAATGCTGGTATCTCTTTGCCATCAAGTGACAAATCATCAACCTAGAACATGCTGGGCACTCACACAAGTGTCTGAATGGCTTGTGGGTCCGCACAATGATCTCCTGTAAACCCCGTAGTTTCTGTGCTGGCTCCCATGCCTGGTAGTGTGTAAATGCTACCAGCCAAGCACGTGAAGAGTCTCGATCTTACCTTCAACTACACATTGATAGGTCACTGTCCAATAATTTCCTCTACTGTATGAGAGCTCGTTCGTTTTCTAATTCCACAGGCCATTTTGGTACCAGTACTGATCAAACTGAATGACCTCCATGTGTTTGTCTGGCATGGCCCCTGTGCTGGACCTCAGCTCACAGAAGTGGCACAGAAGTGGTTTGGTCACTCATTTTGTTCAGATTCCAATGAGATCCATTTTTAAGTCATCATCGATCCAGGCACACTTATAAAAGGGACCTTGAGCCTGAGACATGTGGCAGACACTGAGCACACAGCTATCTGTCACATTTGGAGACACTGGCCCACACTAGTCAATCACATGGGGACCCGCATCACAGTCAATGAGCAGCCCATGGCTGACTAGCACAGCCAGGGTCTCATGGTCACTGCAATGTCATGATGCCCTAAGAGGAAATGCTGGTGTTCTCGGGATAAAATGCTTACCAGTATCAAGCATTTTGAGGTTTTGACGTCAGACGTATTCATATTACACTCCATTCTGTCACTTCTTGAGGTAGACAAAATAACTTTCATATAAAAATCTTTGCTGGTTCCACGCTAAACTATAAGAATAGAGAAAAGGTGAGCAAAGATGTGTAACACAGACATTCATTATTTGAATGGCCTGGGGGTGCCCACGCTGTAGGCTTTCTCACATGCATAGCTTCATTGTTTCCTGTGCTGAAGAACCCTTTCCCATACTTCACGAGGCTACTGACTGACTGACCCAGGTTATCCCATATGCCGGAGCTGCCTAACCTAAGATACTCTCATCATTCTTACGGTCCAGAGTCTCCACCCTCTACACAGACCCGGCATCTCAGAGTAGAGAAAACCCTTCACCATCCCAGGAAGTACGAGTAGGTACTAGTTGGAAGCCCAGTAACATCAGATAAGCTAAGTGATCAAAACATACCCCACCTCACCTCTGATAGCTAGGTTGCCTGCAAAAAACATGGCCTACAAAAGCAGGACAGGAATTAAACCTAAACAAGGAGCATGCCTGCTAAAATAAAACATTTGAATAGATTAAGATTCCCCTAACGTAAAAAGGAAAAAAATGCAGGATAAACTAAAACATCGCCCATCTAATGAGAACTGGAAGAATCACAATTGGAAGGAAAATCATAAGGAGGATAAGTAAAGACGGTTAGCCAAGCCAACCTCGAGGTTAGCCAAATATTGTGGTTATTGGGTAAGAAGCTAGAAACAGTCAAGGCAAAAATGCCTTCGCAATTAATCATTAAGCTTCTTGAAGAAGAGTAAAAACTAGAAATCTCAGAGAGGTAGAAGTTTTTTTTTTTTTTTAAAGAACCAAGTGACAAAATGGAACTGAAAAATTAAAAAATAATAGAGTAGTAATTTAGCATAGAACAATGAAATTTAGCCAATTTGGACCTGAAAGAAAATACTCTTAAAAAAAAAAAAAAAAAAAAAAAAACCAACAGTTTCATGGACCTGTGTGTGACACAAGGACGTTGACTGAAATTAATTATAATGTTCTTTTTTTTTTTTTTTTTTTTTTTTTTGAGAAACAGAGTCTCTGTCAGCCAGGCTGGGGTGCAGGTGCAGGTGCAGTGACGTGATCTTAGCTTGCTGCAATCTTCATCTCCCAGGTTCAGGTGATTCTCCTGCCTCAGCATCCTGAGTAACTGGGACTACAGATGCATGACACCATGTCTGGCCAATTTTTTATTTTTGGTAGAGATGGGGTTTTGCGATGTTTGGCCAGGCTGGTCTCAAACTGTTGACCTCAGGTGATCCACATGCTTCAGAGGCTGAGGCAGGAGAATCACTTAAACCTGGGAGGTCAAGGCTGTAATGAGCCAAGATTGCATCACTGCAGTACAGCCTGGGAGACAGAGCAAGATTCTATCTCAAAAATATGATAATTATTTTCAACATCAGCTCTCTGTGTCACACACAGGTTCATGAGGCTATGTTCAGTTTCTTTCAGAGTATTTTTCAGAGCAAGACTTCATCTAAAAAAAATAATAAAGAAGTAAAAGAAGGTGTGATGAAAATGTCACACAAAATAGGGGATACCAATAAAAAGATAGGTATTTTTTAAAAGAACCAAATGAAAATGTTACCTATAAGAAACTGACTAAGGACATAGGTTAAAAATTAAAAGAAGAGGAAGACATACAAGTAGAATCAAAAGGCTAACATGTTTACAGTAATTACCAGGCAAAACAGCCTTCAAAACAATATATCAGGAATTAAGAGAGAGACTACAAAAGAATCGAAGTAATTGATCACAAAAACGTAACAATACTACATATGTATGTACCTAAAACAAGATCTACAAAATATACAAAGCAGAAACTAATAAAATTAAAAGAGCAAATAGGAATTAGATAACATCAACATCACAATCACACAATTTGATTTTTTTTTGCTGGGGGACAGAGTCTCGCTCTGTCACTCAGGCAATCTCTGCCTCCTAGGTTCAGGCGGTTCTCCTGAGTCTCCTGCCTCAGCCTCCCAAGTAGCTGGGATTACAGGCGTCTGCCACCATGACTGGCTAATTTTTTGTATTTTTAGCAGAGACAGGGTTTCACCATGTTGGCCAGGCTGGTCTTGAATGCCTGACCTCAAGGGATCCACCTGCTTTGGCCTCCCAAAGGGCTGGGATTATAGGTGTAAGCCAACACACCTGGCCCCAATTTGATTTTCCTGGCATTAAAGGAGCCGTACAACGTAACAGAAGAATGCGTACTCTTTTATTATGCACATGAGAGCATTAATAAAGACGGACTTATTGGGGACAAAAAAGATAATGTTACTAAAGCTAACCTAATTGCATTTTTATCAAATATCTAATATGGACATCACAATATAAATCAGTAAAACACCTGAAAATACAATAATACTGAAAGTAAAACAATGCATTCTAAGTAACTCCTAGGTTGGTGAAGATTTCACAAGGGAAACTAGAGAACACTTGGAAAAGAATTAAAATAAACATAAAAACATTTGTTGTTTCCATGTAGACACTCTGCTAGCACTAGTAAAAGAAAGCCATAAAGAAAATTCACATGCCATGAAGAACGTAAGTAAAACTTCCTTCTGCATCTAGAGACACATTTTAGAAAAAAAGAATACTTAAAAACATGGGCAGTCCAGTTGCTTCTTACCAGCTCGATGGCTTATTTATCCAAAGCACTCTCTCACATCTTCAAGTGTGAATGAAAACGTAAATCTTCTTTAAATCCATATTTGCGTGAGTTTTCATGGCAACCACACCTGTGAAGGGTACAGGAAGCACATGTCCCCTTAATTATGGACGCAGGCATTGGTCAACAATCATGAAGCCATGTTGTTTTGTATAATACACGTTACGCCTTTAACGGAATTAATAACATTTAAAATAGAAACCGTTTTCACTTCACTCGGAAAAAAACTTTAGCATAAAATTCTCTGATTTCAATCTCAGCAAACGTGCAGAGTATCAATCCATTTCAAAAAAGCTCACACCTGTAATCCGAGCACTGTGGGAGGCTGAGGCAGAATAATCCCTTGAAGCCAGGAGTTCAAGACCACCCTTGGCAACAAGAGACACTGTCTGTACAAAATTGTTTTCTGAAAATTTATCCAGGCATAGTGGCCTGCGCCTGTAGTTCCAGCTATGCAGAAGGCTAAGGAGGGAGCACAGCTTGGAACCAGGAGTTCGAGACTGTGGTGAGCTGTAATTGTACTACTGTACTCCAGTCGGGGTGACAGAGTGAGACCCTGTCTTAAAAAAGAAGAAAACGAAACAAACAAAAAAAAAAGGGATGGCAACTTTGACTAACCGCAGGAAACAGAGATTGCCACGGACCCCTGGCCTAGAAGACACTGCTTCTCACGGGTGCTACCTGACAGTCTGTGTACATTCGTTCTCACAACAGATCTGACAAGAGCATCCACCTCATGTCTTGGAACTAACAAAGTGGAATGCACTGGACCAATGCAAAATTACCAGATAATAAAATTTCTGCAAAAAACATGCAGTACCTCCAGGACGGACACCAGGCAGGAACAGCGGCAATTCAACTGGAGTGGAGAAGCCTGGCTCAAATGACTTAACTGTTCCCCACCATTTAACGGGTACACTGGCGAGTCCAAAGGAGAACGGTAAAGCTGTATGCAGAACACTGCAGAATAACAATCTTGAAGTACGTGCGCACTTCTGCTTTTCCCTTTCATTATCACAAACAGCAAACAGAAGATGTCAGAGGAAAACTTTTACCTGCACCCATGTTTCTGCAAGTACCATCATCACTCCTGGCATAGAAGAACCTCGAAAGCAAACACAAATCCTACTGAAATTGCCACTACTAGAGTGGTGAAAAGCCAAAGACCTTCACTGGCGCTCAAAATGTGTACTCTGAGGAACCAAAACATTATGTGTCACAACATGTTATTTCTAGATGTCACTCCAAACTGATTAACCCTGTCATTAAAACAAACAGAACACCAACTAAAAACCAGGGAGGCTTTGATGCACTGGCAGCCATGTATTTTTTTTTTTTTTTTGGAGACAGAGTCTTGCTCTGTCACCCAGGCTGGAGGGTAGTGGTATTCTGCCTCCTAGGTTCAAGCAATTCTCCTGCCTCAGCCTCCTGAGTAGCTGGAACTACAGGTGTGTGCAGCCACACGTGGCTTAATTTTTGTAATTGTAGTAGAGATGGGCTTTCTCATTTTGGCCAGGATGGTCTTGATCTCCTGACCTCATGATTCACCTTCCTTGGCCTCCCAAAGTGCTGAGAATTACAGGCATGAGCCACCGCACCCAGCTGGCAGTCACAGATTTTACACTGGAAATAAAATCTCCTGTTTTGCTCACTGAAATGCGCTGAACACAATTGATAAATCAAACCATCACAAAAAGTGTGTGAGATAGCTATACGGGTGAAAACAAGGATTTGATCTCCCAGAATAGCGGCACACAAACAACTATGGTAGGACAGAAGTCAGTCTAGATATGAAACACTACACCCCGAATTAGCTGTGAAGGGTAAGGCTGCACCAGTGGTTTACCTACGCCTCTCTGGAAAACACAACCATCCTGGAAACTGAAGCATGTCTTCTAGGCTCCATTTGCAGACACTTTAACATAAACCATGGAAAAACTGAAAAGCTACAGAAAAATAAGCCAACAAACAACAGATAAAGCCAACTATGTATTATACAAATAATTAGCATAACTGGAAATTCTTCTGGCTTTACCAGTACAATCTTTTGGGTTATCCCTCCAGAGATAAACAAAAATGAGTGGTTAAATATTCTGTGACTTGAGAGTGAGAGAAAATGGCATCACTGAGTACAGTCACACAAACACTGACCCCAATTCAAGGTCACACGGATCACTGACATGCATATTTGGTCCCTTACTAAAATACGAAGAGGCCATGTTGCAGAATGTATTTGTGTATCTTCTAAAGCCAGAAGAGGCAAAAACCATGAAGACATATTAGAACCCCAACAGTATAGGAAAATGACAAGTCTTCTTTCTATGCAGCTCCACACTCTCTTACATATGGGGTCTGTATCTGCGCTGGAAGCATATCAAATCAAAGTCCACATTTGAACAGAAAAGGTATATGCACTAACAAAAATAAAATGTAAAATTTCTTGTAGGATCCTCCTGGCCCCAGGAGGGGGACCTTGCTTTTTCTCTTATTCTGACCAGTGGCTGAGTACAGCTGTGCGAGTTAGAAGAGTAATGACACACAGAGTCATGCGCTCCTCCACCACTGTGTTAGTTATTGATGTGGTTGGTAAAATGGAAGATGGAGGGGCTCTGCAGAGAGATGGCTAGGGAGCCCACAGCCACAGCCCTCCAAACTGGGGAGTCTTCTGTGGCTGCAGAAGCAGCGACTCCAAGTCCCACCTGTTGGAGTCAGGAATGGAGGCAAAAAAAGGAAAATCAGACCGAGCCACTTTCCTCAAACTAGCTGGGGCTCCTGGTGGCCTGTGGTGGCAGCAGTGGCAAAAGCCAGTCAGGATCCACCCGGCAAGGTGAAGGGGCAGCAGAGGTGGGAGATACGGTGTGGAGCACAGGTCGGGCCAGGCGGAGCGTGCTTCACTTGCTTATGCAGGCATTCACCTTGGAGGACCAAAAAAGGGTCTTTCAGGTTCTCTCCAGTGAATATATGCACACCCTATTATTTACCAAGGTTTATGGCCAGTGGCCTGGCCATCTTGGGTGATATGCCTAGCATTCACTGGGAACATTATGTGGACAATATTCTACTAAATTCCACAAATTAAAGTCTTCTGAAGAACCCAACTTCCTCTGAGGGATGAGGGACTGCAGAGCTAGAACAAGACCCACAGAGACGGGCTGCCAGCTGACTCTTCCCGCTCCACCTGCACACTCACTTGCTCCTGCATACAGTATGTGCACTACCCTGTCCTCACAGAGAGAAGTCCCTCACACAAGGAATCTCCTGTACACAGGAGCCTGGACAAACCCCGATGCAACCTGCGTCAACGAATGGAAGTTGTCCCTCTTTATCTACCCGCTGTTGTAGCAACGTGCTGGACCTCAGCTCGACAAGGATGACGGTATAGAGTTTTCACTCATTTTGTTCAGCTTTCCAAGGAATGCAGGTATAAAAGTCATCATTGATCCATGCACAGTCTTTGTACCTGCAAAGATGGGATATCAGGATTTTGGGAAATGGACATTTACCGTCCTGAGGGATCCACCAGCACCTGGAGAAGCCACACCACATGTGCCACACATGGCCTGGGGCTCCCTGACATCTCCAGGCATCTCCCATGACAAAGATCATCCATCACAGCCTCTGGCCTTCTTCCATGCCAGACCACCTAGGAATTAGAGGCAAAACAGGTATGCTTGAGAAAGGGAAGCAGGTACACAGATCTCAAGGGCCACATCATTCATTCCACTGTGGTTCATCCTGTATCTACTTCCCACAAGCTACTACAGAAGGAACCAGAAGCACTATAATTGGTGGGTGTGGTCTGGTTGAGTAACACCTAAGTTTTGCCGGCAGCCATAAATTACAAGATACAAACAAACCCACTGCTTCAGGCAATTTAAAAAAAACTACAAACCTCTGTAGGTCTGCATTGTTTCTGACGAAGGACTGGTATTCCAAGAACCTTTGCCAATAATCAAAGAACATGTTTCAAAGGCTCACTGATCCAAGATTGGGCAGAACAGCAGAGTAAGACTGGGGAACTTAATCTGCACTGCAAACCACAGGAAGCAGAACTTACAGAGAAGAAACATGCTCTGCTGAAGAAACAAATTAATCTCTTAAGAGAAATCCTTGCACTTAGAACCTGAATGATGGTTTCATGGAAACTCTACATGGCATGCATGAGGCTTCCTGTGTAAGAGAAAAGTTTGCCTGTGAATATCTGCTGGGCATAAAGAGTCTAATGGGAGCCCTGCAGATATAGAAAATTACCCGACACCGCCTTAATACTGGACCTAAGTCCACATGATATATTCTAATTTTGTGCTCTCCCTGTCACACAGCACCTGGCAGTGAATCCTGCAATAAGATTTAGATAGAAAACTGACTTTGCCCTTAGGCAGGAGGTCAACACTACTCCAAACCTGACCTCTAATGGCCTTCTTGTTATAGGGCCCCAAAGGACGTATCCACAGAGGCCAGACAGTGCCACTCAAACAATGGAAATTCCAGTAGTACATGGACAGCAGAATGACCCAGAGTTAGCACTGCAGAGAGTACAAGTACAACTAAGGACACAAAATATCTAAAAAAGACCTCCTGGAAAAGTTTCCAGATCACTGAGATCAGCACAGGATGGAGAGACTAACACCAGACTCAATATGTAGGCGAGAACAGGGCCACCTACGTACATAAATATACTTTGGTTCTGCTGCTCTTCACTTGAGCTACCACCCATACCACTGTTAAATCACCATGCGTTGTAATCCTAGCACTTTGGGAGGCCGAGGTGGGTGAGGTCGAGATGGAGACCACCCTGGCCAACATGGTAAAAACCTGTCTCTACTAAAAAAAAATACAAAAATTAGCTGGGCATGGTGGCACGTGCCTGTAGTCCCAGCTACTCGGGAGGCTGAGGCAGGAGAATCACTTGAACCTGGGAGGCGGAGGTTGCAGCGAGCCGAGATCGTGCCACTGCACTCCAACATGGCGCCAGGCAAGAGAGCGAAACTCTTTGTCTCAAAAGAAAAAGAAAAAAAAAATCACTACACATAATGTTTGGATAACCACAACTTTTTTTTTTTCTGATATTGGCAGAAAAGACTCCAACAAAATGTGCCCTGGAGAAAAACATGTGACTGGGGATATAAGAAAGACTGTCAGGAAACAAAAGCAATCTGCTGAAAAGCCCTTCCATGCAGACATCGGATCACATTCCATTCCCAGCACCCCAAGGCCAACATGGCATTTGTGATGTAAGGTATACCATGTGAAACAGAATTACAAATGTCGGGTCGCCATCCCTGTGTTAGGGCACCAGGTCAGTACATGCAAGGTGCTTTCTTATTCCCACCTGCAGTACTCATCACCAGACATGGGATCTTAATTTCTCTCTGGGGACACACAAATCACAAATGGAGCCAAGTACAGGGTACTTTCCAGAAAGAAAATCAGGATCAGCCACCTCCTCACAACTGACTGCCACTGCTGCTACAAAAACACCATGGGCACTAAAAAGTCCTCAGCCATGAAAAAAACATGAGCTGAAGAACAGCACAGGTGTGGCCTTGGGCTCTCTTCCCAACCATGAGGACCGTCTACCTCCGGGGAAAAAGGGAACCCAGAGCCAGGAATCAAGGACAAACCTGGCCAATCAGAGGTGGGTTCTGGCTAACTCTTCTGTGCCACCTGCACGTTCACGTAGTCCTGCAGTGTATATGCTACCCCAGCCTCACAGAGAGAAGTCCTTCGCACAAGAAGTCTCCTGCATGCAGGAGCGCCAACTGCCCTGTGACTCCCCTTGATCCAAAGTAGACCTGGATGGATAGTTTACTGTGACCCGCATCAACTAATGCCAGTTGTCCCTCCCTCTCTAGCCCGTTGGAGCAGTGTGCTGGACCTCAGCTCGATGAGGATGACGGTATAGAGTTTTCACTCATTTTGTTCAGCTTTCCAAGGAATGCAGGTATTGAGGTCATCATCGATCCATGCACAGTCTTTATCCCTGCAAAGAAGGAACATCAGGAGCTTTTGGAAAATGGACGTTTACCAACCTGAGGGATCCACCAGCATCCAAAGGAGACCACATTCCACATGTCAAGGGGCTCCCTGCCATCTCTAAGGCTCTCCCAAGATGAAGACTGTCCTTTCTTCCATGGCCATAACACCTGGGAAGTGCAGAGGAAAAACAGGTGTGCTTCAGAAAGGCAGGCAGGCACACACGTCAAGAGGCCCATGCATTTGACTCACTGTGGTGTATCCCATATGCACTTCCCACAGGCTACTCCTCTTCTGAGATGGGTATATGGGTCCACCCAGGATCGAACACACCAGGCCTGTGTTAATTTTGAAGGTACCATCAAGCTACAGAGCCCAAAGTGTAAGAACTCTTTCAACACCACCCATTTTCCACCACTGACTCAAAAGCCCTTCTCTTCACCAGCAGGGAAGACACAGACCGCAGGGCTATTTAAATAAGGAGAGTTTTGGGGAAAAACTCTTCTACAGCACAAAAGGCAACTTTCCTTCAGTCTTGAAGAATTTTCGCCCTAGGCTGCTTTAACACTTTTCACAGTGAGAAAAACATTCAGTAACAATTCAAAGTCCGCCCCAGCGTCTTCCTTGCAGGTCCAGCTCAGGGACCCCAAGGAGCACCAGACACACTGAATCCCACAGGGCTTCTGAGGCACTGTGGCTGAGAGCACCACACATTTTAAGGCACTTGCCTGTGAACATGGCCACACGGTTTGAAACCTACGCATCACTGCCTATGGACACTACATAGCCCCATCCTACGTCAAGAAGACTACTTAACAAAGAAGACTGCTGGGGAGAACTAGGAGGAATTAGAAAATAGCCTAACATCACGAGCCACTAAGGTATTTAAGCACAGAGACCATCCTGGACCACATTTCCGAGTAGAGGTCACCAGGATATGGGAAGATACCCTCATAATTAGGCACGTTGACTGCATCGAGGTGCCTGAGGGGTTCAGAGGCTAAGAATTCCCAACAAAGGATGGGTAGAAACCCTGGGTTGATATAAGCTCAAACGCCTGAGGGATACAAGCATCTCTTTGGAAGGTGTGAAACAGACCTTCCAAAGTCAGTCTGATGAGTTGCAGAAGGATGTGGATCTGCAATCACATTCCTGTCCCAGCACCCTGAGGTCATCATGAAATAAAACATGGGTACCCTACAATGCCCAAAAGAGGCTCACAGTCGTTACTACACAACCCACATGGAATGCTGTCCAGTAAACGCACATGGAGACCTCTTCCCTTCCCACTGCCAGGACCCCTCCGGGTTGCGAGACTTCGGTTTCCTGCTATGGACATAAAAGTTGAACACGGGCTCCTCTTCAGAAAGCAAATTAGCATCACCATCCTCCTGAGGACTGCCTGTCCCCGATACTACCCAAACACCATGGGAACTCCCAAGTCTCCGAATGGGGATGAAAGTGCACTATAGAAGTGCCCAGGAGTATTTTGCTGTCTTCCTCTGGGGAGTGCAGGAGCCGAGGGGTGTGAATCAAGGACACACATAGCAGCACAGAGGGAAGTGCTTCCCCCAAGCCGTGTCTCAACCACAGAAGTCCAAAATGCCCAGCTACTCCACTTCCTGCCAAGACGACCCTGTCCCAAGCGTTGATGCAGCCCGTGTCAGCACACGGCTGTTGTCCCTCTCTCTAGCCTATCATGAGCAGTGTGCCGGACCTCAGTTCGACGAGGATGACGGTATAGAGTGTTCACTCATTTTGTTCAGCTTTCCAAGGAATGTATATACGGAAGTCATCATCGATCCATGCACATTATTCATGCCCGCAAATGAGGAAACTCAGGGTGCTTTGGGATGGAATCACTTACACTCTGGAGGGTTTCAACGGCCTCTGAAGGAGTCCACACCATGTGTGACCAGGACTTCCTACCATCTCCAAGGATCGTATGAGGTGATAGTCATTTCTCATGACATAAACTGCTTTTACACCAACACCACCTGTGAAATACAGAGGAAACACAGGTGAGTTTCAGAAAGGCAGACAGCTGAATGGGGCATGAGGGCCATGTCATCTAGCCCGCTGTGATACATCTGCTGTCTGTCTGTCCATCGCCTCCCCTGTTCATGAGGCAGACCCGCAAGGACACGGGGATGCTCGGCCTGTGGCTGGGGTTGTCAGAGGGTACCATTTTGTTAAAGAACACTAACGCTGACCAGAACGCTCAACATCACTGGTTCAACACCTACAGTGCAGCTTACAAAAGACTCGCCTGACAGCCCCAGCTTGGAGCAGACGCCCACCCAATCAGACAATACATAAATCCTCATCACATACGGGATATGACATGGGCATGCAGGCAAAGAGGCTATTTGGAAGTACAATGTGTCCGCCAAGGACAAAATGAGCTGACCAATGAGAACGGTGTGGACCTGTACTCTTCCCACAACCAGAGGATCTGTCTTCCTCTGGGAATCCAGAGCTTGGACTCAAGGACAGACATGGCCACTAGAGACAGGCTACCCACAAACTCTCCCCATGCAAACGGCCATTCACCCAGTTTTTCAAACAGTGTATGAGTTATCCCGCCCTGGGAGACGGAAGTCCTGCAACCAAGGACTTTTCTGTGCATCAGAGCTCCTACTTCCCCAGGACTTCCATTTGCCCAAAGGGCAAAATCCTAAATCTGGATGGACGTGCAACCCATACCAACAAAGCGATACTGGCCCTCTCTGTCTAGCCCATTAGAGTAACGTGCAGGACCTCAGTTCAACGAGGATGACGGTATAGAGTGTTCACTCATTTTGTTCAGCTTTCCAAGGAATGTATATACGGAAGTCATCATCGATCCATGCACATTATTCATGCCCACACATGAGGAAACTCAGGGTGCTTTGGGATGGAATCGCTTACACTCAGGAGGGTTTCAACAGGATCTGAGAGTCCGCACCATGAGTGTCCAGGGGCTTCCTGCCATCTCCAAGGATCACATGAGATGACAATCATTCTTCCTGACATGAGCCTGCCTTTTATATCAACACCACCTGCGAAGTACAGCAGAAACACAAGCGTGCTTCAGAAATGCAGACAGGTGCACAGGTCTTGAGATTCACGTCATACATCTGCTATCTGCCTGCCTATGGCCTCCTCTATTCATGGACACAGAAATGCATGGACACTCAGATGCTCATCTCGGGCCTGAGGGCCCTCAGAATGCTCCATCCCACTAAGGAGCACTGACATTGAGCATGCCTCTCAACACCCTTGCTTCAACACCTGAAATGCTGCTTACAAAAGTCTTGGGCCCCTGAACCTCTAAAGAGGAAGCCACTGACCTAAATCTGGTTTGGGATCATCCAGAGACTCAGTGCCTGACAGTCTAGGTTGGACCAGAAGTCCACCTAGTCATGCAATACACACATCCTCATATCACACAGGATATGACTTGGGCATGCAGGCAAAGAGGTTGTGCTGGGTGCTAGGAACTACAATGTCTCTGCCAAGGACAAAATGAGCTGACCAATGAGAACGGTGTGGACCTGTACTCTTCCCACAACCAGAGGATCTGTCTTCCTCTGGGAATCCAGAGCTTAGACTCAAGGACAGACATGGTCACTAGAGACAGGCTACCCACAAACTCTCCCCATGCAACCTGCCATTCACCTAGTTTTTCAGACGGTGTATGAGTTATCCCACCCTGGGAGACGGAAGTCCTTCAACCAAGGACTTTTCTGTGCATCGGAGCTCCTACTTCCCTAGGACTTCCATTTGCCCAAAGGGACCCTATCCTAAGCCTGGATGGACGTGCAACCCATACCAACAAACAGATACTGGCCCTCTCTGTCTAGCCCATTACAATAACGTGCTGGACCTCAGTTCAACGAGGATGACGGTATAGAGTTTTCACTCATTTTGTTCAGCTTTCCAAGGAATGTATATACGGAAGTCATCATCGATCCACGCACATTATTCATGCCCACACATGAGGAAACTCAGGGTGTTCTGAAATGGAATACTTACATTCAGGAGGGTTTCAACAGCCTCTGAAGGATTCCACGCCATGTGGACCAGGAGCTTCCTGCCATCTCCAAGGACAACATGAGATGACAATCATTCCTCATGACATGAGTCTGCCTTTCACAGCAACAACACTGTGAAGTGCAGAGGAAACACAGGCGAGCTTCAGAAAGGCAGACAGGTGCACAGGTCATGAGGGCCATGTCATCCAGCCCCCTGCGATACATCTATTATCTGCCTGTCTGCGGCCTTCTCTCGTTCATGGATGCAGAAATGCATGGACACGGAGACCCCTCCCTCAGGCTCGAGGGCCCTTAGAGTGCACTATCCCACTAAAGAGCACTGACATTGAGCGTGCCTCTCAACATTGCTGCTTCAACACCTGCAAAGCAGCTTACACAGCCTTGGAGCCCTGAACACCTAAAGAGGAAGCCACTAACTTAAAACAGGTTTAGAATAACCCAGAGATTCAATGCCTGACAGCCCCAGCTTGGAGTGTACCATGATCTATTCATGCAATACAGAAATTCTCATAACATACTGGATAAGACACGTGCATGAAGGAAGGAGGCTTTGCTGGGTTCCTGGAGCTACAATGTTCTCCGCCAAGAACAAAATGAGTGAGCTAACCAATGAGAATGGTGTAGTCTTGTGCTCTCCTACCAACCCGAGAATCTGGGAATCCAGAGCTTAAACCCAAGGACAGACTTGGCCTCCAGAGGCAGGCTACCCACAAACTCTCCCCAGGCGACCTGCTATTCACCTGGTTTTTCAGACAGTACATGAGTGATCCTGTCCTGGGAGACAGACGTCCTTCAAACAAGGAATTTCCTGTGCATGGGAGCTCCCACTTCACTGTGACTTCCATTTGTCCAACAGAACCCCATTCTAAACCTGATGGACCCCTTGGTGCAACCCATACCAACAAACAGATACTGGCCCTCTCTGTCTAGCCCATTACAATAACATGCTGGACCTCAGTTCGAGGAGGATGACGGTATAGAGTTTTCACTTATTTTGTTCAGCTTTCCAAGAAATGTATACACGGAAGTCATCATGGATCCACATACAGGTTTCATCCTGCAAATGAGGAAACTCAGGGTGCTTTCAGATGGAATCACTTACATTCAGGAGGGTTTCAACAGCCTCTGAAGGATTCCACACCACATGTGGCCAGGGACTTCTTGCCATCTCCAAGAGTCTCACAAGATGAGGATCATTCCTCATGACACAAGCCGGCCTTTAATGCCAACACCACCTGCAAAATGTACAAGAAACACAGCAGTGCTTCAGAAAGGCAGACATATCCACAGGTAACAAGGGCCATGTCCTCCACACCCTGCAATACATCTGCTATCTGCCTGTCTATGGCCTCCCCTGTTTGTGGACACAGAAATGCATGGACACAAGGATGCTCGTCTGGGGGCCGGGTGCCTTCAGAGCACCTCATCCCACTCAACAGCATGTTCGGCAACCTCTCCACATTGTAGCTTCAATACAAGTAATGGTGCTCACAAAAGGCTCAGGGTCCTCGATGCCTGATGAGGAAGATTTTAACCTGTGTCAGTTTTAAGATAAACCAGAGACTTCCTGGGTATGAGAACCAGCTTGGAGCAGGAACTCACTTGTTAATGCAATGTACACGTCCCCACAACACATGGGATACTACATGGGCACACAGGCTACATAGACTACTCCCAGTGACCACAACTCTAATGTCTTCAACGGAGGACACAGTTAGCCAATGAATAACAAACATGTGGCCCTGTACGCTCCTCTCTACCAGACACATCTTTCTTCCTCTGGGGACCTGGGAAGCCAAGGCAAGGTCTCAGGGACAAACTGGCAATCAAAGGCAGGCTACTGGCTAACTCTTCCTAGACCTTGTGGACATTCACCTAGTCCTGCAGACGGTGCACGTGTTACACCCTCCCTGACAAAGTCCTTCAAACCAGTCATTTCCTAATGTGGGAGCCACAACTCTCCTGTGATCCCACTGACCCCTAAAACACCCGAGGCTAAGCCTGAACAGACTCCTCGGTGGCCCGTGTCAACAAACAGATGTTGGCCCTCTCTGCCTAGCCTCGGGTGGAGTAGTGTGCTGGACCTCAGTTCGACGAGGATGACGGTACAGAGTGTTCACTCATTTTGTTCAGCTTTCCAAGGAATGTATATATGGAAGTCATCATCGATCCACACACATTAATCAGGCCTGCAAATGAGGAAACTCAGGGTGGTTTGGGATGGAATCACGTACACTCAGGAGGAGTTCAACAGCCTCTGAAGGAGTCCACACCATGTGTGGCCAGGGGTTTCCTGCCATTGCCAAGGACTGTACAAGATGACAATCATTCCTCATGACATTAGCCTGCCTTTTACACCAACAACACCTGCGAAGTGAAGAGGAAACACAGGCGAGCTTCAGAAAGGCAGACAGGAGCACAGGTCACGAGGGCCACGTCATCCAGCCCCCTGTGATACATCTGCTATCTCCCTGTCTATGGCCTCCCCTGTTCACACACCTACAAATGCATGGACACGGGGATGCTTGTCTCAGGCCCAAGGGCCCTCAGAGTGCTCCATCCTGCTAAGGAGCACGGACACCTGCAGGGCCACGTACAAAACCCTTCGGGCTCTGAACCCCTAAAGAGGAAGCCACTAACTAAATCAGGTTTGGGATCACCCATAGCCTCATTGCCTGACAGCCCCAGCTTGGAGCAGAAGCCTGCCTAGCCATGGAATACACACATCCTCATAACATATGGGATACGACACGGGTGTGCAGGCAAAGAGGCTGTGCTGGGTGCCTGGAAGTACAATGTTCTCCTCCAAGGACAAAATGAGCTAACCAATGAGAATGGTGTAGCCTTGTGCTCGCCCCACAACCCAAGAATCTGTCTTCCTCCGGGAATCCAGAGCTTAGACTCAAGGACAAACTTGGTCTCCAGGGGTGGGCTAGCCACAAACTCTCCCCATAAAACCTGCTATTCACCGAGTTTTTCAGACATGGGTGAGTTTTTGCACCCTGGGAGACAGAAGTCCTTCAAACAAGGAATTTCCTGTGCACGGGAGCTCCCACTTCCCTGTGACTTCCATTTGCCCAAAGCGACCCCATTCTAAACCTGATGAACCCTCTGGTGCAACCCATATCAACAAAGAGATGCTGGCCCTCTCTGTCTAGCCCCTGCTGGAGTAATGTGCTGGATCTCAGTTCGACTAGAATGACAGTATAGAGTTTTCACTCATTTTGTTCAGCTTTCCAAGGAATGGATATATGGAAGTCAGCATCGATCCACACACAATCTTCACAGAAAGAAGGGGTCACACAAGGGATCTCCTGAGCATAGGAACCCTACTCCCCTGGGGCTTTCCCTTACCAAAAGAGAACCCCATCCTAAGCCTGGACAGACCTGTTGATTCAACCCACATCAATCAGTGGGAGATGGACCTCAGTCTCCAGCCCCTGTTGAAGCAGTGTGCTGGGCCTCAGTTTGAAGAGGATGACAGTATAGTGGTTTCACTGATTTTGTTTAGTTTACCAAAGAATCCGTGTATGGAAGTCATCATTGATCCATGCAGAGTCCTCATACCAGCAAAAATGGAACATTGGGGCATTTGAACACTTTCCATCCCAAGGTATCCACTAGCTTGAAGGAGACAATGCTACTACACACTCGCCATCACCAGGGATCTCCCAAGATCAAGATCATCCCTTGTGGTCACTGCCCTTCCTCCCATAACAACGCCACCTGAGAAGTGTAGGAGTAACATAGGTGTGCTTGAGAAAGGCAGTCAGGTGCATAGGTGGCAAGGGTCATGTCATTTGTCCTGCTGTTCTGTATCTACCTCCCATGGGCCACCCCTCTTTCTGCACATGTGCATGGGTATGCCCAGACATGAAGGATGAGGCAGGCATGAATTTTGAAGGTACCATCAAACTGGAGAGCACTAAGCGTGAAGAACACTCTCAACACCAACTACTGCCACACCTCTGACTCGAAAGCCCTTCTCGTGGTCATCAGAGAAGATAAAGGCCATGGAGATACTTTAATGAGGACAGTGGGTCTCAGAAATTTGAAAGACACTTTTGCATGTAGGGCAGAGAAATGCTTACCGTCCTCAGCCACCCACCAGCACAGAGCGCACTGCAGATGTCAGGACACACTGAATCAAGGACCCAACGCAGGCTCTGTTGGTCAGAAGAATTGCCCATCTTCCTTGCCAGCAAGCAGCAGAGCTCTCATGACGGCTGCTTCTGAGAAGTGTAAAGAAATCAAAGGCATGCATGAGAAATGGCCCAAGTCAACTGGTCACCACTGGACAAGGTGGAAGATGTCCCTCACTCCTATAGTTCCTGGGGGAGGCGATGTCCCTCACTCCTACATTCCCTGGGGAGGCAATGTGCTGGACCTCAGTTCCGATGAGAGCGACGGTATGAGTTCTCACTCATTTTGTTCAGCTTTTCCAAGGAATGTTTTTTTGGAGGACTCATCATCGATCCAGGCACATTTGAAGAGGCAGGACGTTTGACCACAGGCTGGGCAGTGCCTGTCTTGGAAATGTGAAAGATGCCCTCACTTAGCACAAGGGCAGAGGAAGGCTTACCGTCCTGAGCCACCTGCCAGCATGAGGTGCACCATGGATACCAGGCCACACTGACTCCCCAACTCCATGGGGACTCTGTTGCTCAGAAGAATTGACCATCTGTTGTGGCAGCACGTGGCGGGCCTCTCAAGGCAACTGCCCCTGAGAAGTGCAGAGATAACACATGCACGTTTGAGGAACTAGCCCCGGTCCACTGGTCACGTCAATGTCAGTCTTTCCCAAGGGGCAACTCATACACCTCTTTCTTCACCTTGTCCCTCACTCCCACAGTCCCCAGGGGAGGCAATGTGCTGGACCTCAGTTCCGATGAGAGCGACGGTATGAGTTTTCACTCATTTTGTTCAGCTTTTCCAAGGAATGTTTTTTGGAGGGCTCATCATCGATCCAGGCACAAGAGGTAACCGCTTCTTATGCAAAAGGCAGCTTTCCTTTGGCCTTGAAGCATTTTCACCCCTGGGGTCCTTCATACTCTTCCCATCCAGAAACATGTAAAAATCACAAATCAACCTCCACGTGCAGTATACAGGGGCAGCCCAGGGACCCAGAAGAGAAACAGGCATTCTGAATCCTACAAGACTTCTGAGGTGCTGCAGCTAAGAAAACCAGATCTTACAGCACTTGCCTGTGAACATAACATCAGCGTCCAAAACCTATCCAGCATTGGCTTACAGACGGTAGCCCTGTCCTACCACCCAACTACTATTTCCCAAAGAACACTGCTGTGAAAAAACTAGGAGGAATTTGAAAAAACACTAATATCAGGAGACACTGAGTTATATAAGCAAAGACGCCTTCCCTGTTCGCATTTCAAAGCAGAAGTCACCACGACATGGGGAGTGACCTACTCTTATAAACCCCAACTGCATCAAGGTGTCTGTCAAAGGCAAATGACATCAGGCTTCCCAAGCAAACCATCCTAAGAAGATCACGAAATGGACCATGGGCACCCTACAATGTCCAAAAGAGGCTCACAGTCAAGCGCCACGACCCACATGGAATGATGGCCAGGAAAGGCATGTACAGACCTCTCCCTTTCCCATAGCCAGTACCCTTCTGGGGCCATGGAATTTGGAATTCCTCCTACAGATATACAGGTTCACTGTGGAGAGCTTCCCTAGCCTCCTCTCCAGAGAGCAAATCAGGATTGCCACCAGCTTCAAGATGGCCAGCCCTTGATGCCACCCAAACACTACAGTAAGTCCGATGTCCCCAGCCGCAAGTTAAAGAGAGCTGAAAAAGTGCCCAGGAATGGTATTGTGCTGTCTCCTCATGCGGAAGAAACTGTCTTTCTCTGGGGATGATGAGGTATGAATCAAGGATAGACCCAGCCATGCAGTGGTGGGCAACTGGATACTGCCTTCCTGTGGCAGCTGTAAGTCCACCTTCTCCTGCACACTGGCAGGATGCTACCCCACCTTCTCATGGGGAAGTCCTTCAACAAACACTCATCCAGGGCAGTACAAAACACCCAGCTACTCAGCTTCGCTGAAAGACAACTACATCCTAAGCCTTGGTGCAGCCCATGACAACAAACAGATCTTGTCCTGCTAAATGAAACCCCTGATGGAGAAGCACGCCGGACCTCAGGTTGATGACGACGATGGTACTGAGTTTTCACTCATTTTGTTCACCTTTCCAAAAAAATGTATATATGTTAGTCACCATCAATCCACACAGTCTTTGTCCCTGCAAGTGAGGAAAATCAGAATGTTTTCAGAAGAAATGACTTACATTCAGGAGAAATCCAAAAGGCTCTGAAGGAGCCCAGACCATATATCCAGGGGGCCCATGGCATCTCCAAAGATTACACAAGATGAAGACCATCCTTCTTGAACAAGGGCCTTCCTTCCAAGCCAATGCAACCAGGGAGGCGCAGATGAAGTGAGCGTGCTTCAGAAAGATAGAAAGGTACACAGGTCAGGAGGGCCATGTCATCCAGACCTCCGTGGTACATATGAAAACTGCCTGTCTATGGCTTCACATGTTCGTGTACACAGAAACACTTATACAGAGTTGCACATGTGGATTCTGGGTACCCTGGGAGTGCATCATGCCACTAAAGAGCATGGACATACATAGAGCATCCCAGTCAACACCATGGTTTCAACATGTGCAATGTTCACACCAAAGACTTGGTGGCCTGGATGCTGAAAGCCGAAAACGTGTACAACTACTCAGTTCAGGATAAGATAGAGATGACAAGCCAGTCAGCCCAAGACTGGAACAAAAGCAAAAACATTCATGAAATCTGTACTTCCTCAACATGAAAAAAATAAACGTTGGTGAAAGGCTGTGACTGGTGACCGGAACCTGGCTAAAAACCAATTGCACAAGAAAACAAAACCTAACATTAAGGGTGAAACCAACGTCATACCAAGAAGAATAAGACTAGAAAAAGTAATGGGCTGCCAAAGTATGATTCACAAATACTTTACGATAAAGAATTTTACTACGGTCAAAATGTCCACAAGAATTGAATGCCAATGCCTGGGTAGTGAAGTCTAATGTGAGGTGGAAAAGTGACGCACGAACCACAATAAGCCAAAGTGGGCAACGTGCTGGACCTCAGTTCCGACGAGAGTGCCAGTATGAGCTTTCACTCATTTTGTTCAGCTTTTCCAAGGAATGTTTTTTTGTAGGACTCATCATCGATCCAAGCACATTTGAAGACGTAGGGCATTTGACACCGCAGGCTGGGCAGTGGGTGAGCTGATGACCTCAAAGACCTTTGGTACCCTGCAAAACCCAGAGCTGTACCACTGAGCAATCGGCACAGACCATCCTCTCTAGGCCAGAAACCTGCCATGCCATTAGTGGGCTACTGAGAAACAGCTCCCTGTGGGTCTTAAAAATCCCACAGACACCCTGACTCAGCAAGAGGGGTGAAGGAATGCTTACCATCCGGGCCACCCACCAGCACCAGGACCACTGTGGAAGCCAGGCCTCACTGAAACCAGGACTCCACGTGGCCTTTGTTGTTTGGAGGAATTGACCATCTTCTTTCCAACAGGTGCTGTGCCTCCCACAGCAACTGCCCCTGAGAAGTGTAAAGAAATCAAATGCACGCTGAAGAAATAAGTCCAGGTTCACTGGTCACCACTTCAATACCACTCTTTCCTATGGAGCAACTCACATGCCTGCTTCTCCTGGGCCTCCAGGCTTATCTCCATCTCCATGAATGTACCTGACTATGCCACTCTGAAGCATGTGTGGCTGGTACGTACGTCCCCATTGCTGCGTGTTATCTGCCCATGGCTGTGTAAGACTGTGTGTGTGTGTGTGTGTGTGTGTGTGTCACAACACCACAGTGGGTGGTTATAGTCTGCAGCCTCCAGACCAAGGTCTGTGGGTGTCAGCCTGACCCTCGCACTCACTGTGGTCTGCCCTCAATGACCCCTGCTAGCTGAGCTGTCATCTGCCAGAAAAATCCATGGAAAGCCCATCACTGCCAAATGACAGCCCCAGACCACTGATGACATGCATGTCCATGTGAGCCCTCTATTGCCGTTTCTCTGGAATACCTTCCTGCCCAGGCCTCTGCTACCACACCATGAGCATCTCACAGCTCAGGGGTAAAGAAATAACTGCCAGGGTGGCAGCGGGGCCTGTGACCAACCTGGGAAGGAGTGGGTTGTGCTGGACCTCAGTTCCGATGAGAGCGACGGTATGAGTTTTCACTCATTTTGTTCAGCTTTTCCAAGGAATGTTTTTATGGGGGACTCATCATTGATCCAAGCACATTCAAAGAGGCAGGACATTTTACACTGCAGGCTGGGCAGTAGGTGAGCCGAAGACCTTAAAGACCTTCGGTACCTGGTAGAACCCAGAGCTGGGCCACTAAGAAATGGGCACAGACTGTTCACTTTAGGAGTGGAACTCACCATGCCATTAGTGGCCTCCTGACAAACAGCTCTTTGTGGGACTCAGAAATCTGAAAGAAACCTCTGCATGCAGGGAAGAGAGATGCTTACCGTCCTGAGCCAGCTGCCATCATGGGGTGCACTGCAGATGTCAGGCCATGCCGCATCAAGAACTCAACGCGGCCTCTGTTGGTCAGAAGAACTGCCCATCTTCCTTGCCAGCAAGCAATGGACCTGTCACGACAACTGCTCCTGAGAAGTGTAAAGAAATCAAATATGCGCCTGAGAAATGGGCCCAGGTCCAATGATCAGCACTTAATTCTCTTCAATGTGCTGGACCTCAGTTCCGATGAGAGCGACGGTATGAGTTTTCACTCATTTTGTTCAGCTTTTCCAAGGAATGTTTTTTTGGGAGGACTCATCATTGATCCAAGCACATTGGAAGAGGCAGGGCATATGGCACGACAGGCGACAGGCTGGGCAGTGGGCAAGCCCATGACCTTAAAGACCTCGGCCGTGCCCTTAATGGCCTGCTTAGGAACTGCTCCTTGTGGGTCTCAAAAATCCAAAAGACACCCAGCACTCATGATGAGGGTCAGAGGAATGCTTACCATATTGAGTTGTCCACCAGCATGGGGCGCACCATGGAGGCCAGGCCACACCAAAACCAGGACTCGGTGGGGCCTTCATTGCTTGGAAGAATTAACCATCTTCCTTGCCAGTAGACAGGGCCTTCCACAGCAACTGCTCCTGACAAGTGTAAATAAATCAAATGCATTCTTGAGGAAACATACTCAGGCCCACTGGTCACCACTGGACACCCTGGGTGGCAGAACCTATGGGAATCAGTGAAGCTGTCCCTCCCTCCTACATTCCCCGGGGGAGGCAATGTGCTGGACCTCAGTTCCGATGAGAGCGACGGTATGAGTTTTCACTCATTTTGTTCAGCTTTTCCAAGGAATGTTTTTTTATAGGACTCATCATCGATCCAAGCACATTTAAAGAGACAGAACGTTTGACACCACAGGCTGGGCAGTGGGCAAGCCGATGACTTTAAAGACCTTCGGCACCCTGTGGGACCCAGAGCTATGCCACCGAGCAATGGGCACAGATCGTTCACTTTAGGAGTGGAGCTTGCCATGCCATTTGAGAAACAGTTCCTTGCAGGTCATGGAAATCACAAAGACACCCCACTTAGCACATGGGGGAAAAGGAATCATTACCATCCTGAGCCACACACCAGCATGGGGGGCACTGTAGATGTCAGGACACATGGAATCAAGGACTCAACATGGCCTCTGTTGGTCAGAAGAATTGCCCAACTTCCTTGCCAGCAAGCGGTGGACTTCTCATGACAATGTGTCCTGAGAAGTGTAAAGAAATCAAACAGATGCATCAGAAAGGGGCCCAGGTACACTGGTCACCACTGGACACTCTGGGTGGTGGAACCTATGTGAATCAGTGGAAGCTGTCCCCCACTCCTACAGTTCCGGGGGGAGGCAATGTGCTGGACCTCAGTTCCGATGAGAGCGACGGTATGAGCTTTCACTCATTTTGTTCAGCTTTTCCAAGGAATGTTTTTTTATAGGACTCATCATCGATCCGAGCACATTCAAAGAGGCAGGACGTTTAACACCACAGGCTGGGCGGTGGGTGAGCCGATAACCTTAAAGACCTCGACCATGCCCTTAATGGCCTGCTGAGGAACTGCTCCTTGTGAGTCTCAGAAACCCAAAAGACACTCTAACTCATCATGAGGGGCAGAGGAATGCTTACCGTATTGAGCTGTCCACCAGCACGGGGTGCACTGTGGCTGCTAGGTCACACCAAATCCAGGACTCCATGGGGCCTGCATTGCTTGGAAAAATCGACTATCTTCCTTGCCAGCAGACTGCAGGCCCCCATGGCAAGTGCCCCTGAGAAGTGTAAAGAAACCAAATTAATGCTTGAGAAACGAGCCCAGGTCCACTGGTCACCACTCCAATGTCATTCTTTCTCACAGAACAACTCGCAGGCTTGCTTTTCATTAATCTCCATCACCATGAATATACCCGACCTGTGTCACTCTGTGGAAGCATCTGTGACCGAAGTGACAGAATGCACTCACTGCCGAATCTATCTGCCTGTGGCTGTGCATGCCTGTGTTTGTATCTGTGTGCGTGAGAGGAAGTGTTGTCTGTGTATGTATCTCTCCCTCATGCATATGTGTTTACCACCACCACAGGGGCAGTCATAGTCTGCAGCCTCCAGAGCTGAACGCCCCCACAACCCAGAGGCTCAAGGCCCAGGCCTTTAATCAGCAGGATGTAAACTTTGACCTCGAGGCCATGCAAACACAGGCCGGAGGTTCCTTCTCTATCAGCCACCACCCCTGGGATGAGCACACACTCCTCTTCATGGGCCATGCACTGTCGTGACCAGACACTCTCTGGTCACCATCTCAGGTGAGGTGCACATAGTGGAAAACGAGTCACGACCACTGCTGGGTAGGGTTGCCTTAGCAAACTCCAGCACATTGGTCTGAAACTTGACATCAAGGCCAGCAGTGGTCTTCCTAACCAGGCAAACCACCTCAAAACACGGGCTTTCTCCCCTCCACTCAGTTCATGTGCCCAAGCTGTGCCCTCAGGACACCCAAAGAGACTGGCTGCTTCTCCAATGGGAGGTTTCTGCCTGACCCCCCACCCGACACCCAAGAACCAGGTTGACAGGACACATCGCCTGTCATCAGTCTTGCGGTGGACACATCTACAGCACTTCTCTGCACTGACCTCTGAGGTGACATCCCCTCACACAGCCAACCACACTGCACTGCCACCCACCACAATGCCTACAAGTCAACACTGCCTCAACACCACTGGGTCTACATGCACGTGTCTCCTACGTGAGTTACAAGCCATAGAACCACCAATCCTTTCCAGCTCTCCTAAGTCAACCATGTGCCCTTAAAAGTGGCATGCCTGTCCTGGCTACCCTGAGACATCAAAACAGTTAAGGGAACTGAAATGCTTCATCATGCCTACAGTGTAGCAGAATCCAACACTGGAACACTACCAACATGCAGAGGCATGGAGGCATCCCAAGTCAGAGAGACTCTGTGGCCAATGCCCCTGGGACTGCACACGTGCTGCCCGGAACACATGCCGACCTCCGTGGATGGCCCCAAGCATGACTGCAGCCCACTAGAGTCCTGGGCCAGGGCTAGCACCAGACCACATTTCCTCTGGATGCCTTTGGAATGGAAATTGATTTCCAAGTGGCAAAGAGGAACCAGAGCAGTATATGCTCACATGAATTGCAGCAGGTGGGGCTGCCGGAAAATGTGGGCCAGGAGACCATTTCCAGGAAGATGTGTACAACAGTGGAGCCCACTACTCTGCTTGGAAGACCAGAAGTGATCCAGGGCTATGGACACTACCACAACACTCACTTGCTCAGAGACAAGCCCTCAAAGACCCACCATGGCTGACCTGTGGTCCACCAGAGAAATCCGTGGAAAGCCCATCACCGCCAAATGGTAGCCTGAGACCACTGATGACATGCCTGTCCACAGGAACCCTCTACTGCCTTTTCTCTGGGGTACTGTCCTGCCCAGGACTTGGCCACTGTAACATGGACATCTCATGACTAGGGATGTGAAAAAGTCTATGCCAGGGGGCACCTGTGACCAACCCCGGAAGGAGGGCTACAGAGGATTTAACTGTCTGCACCAACATCCATTGCTCTGCACTCTCCACCATCACCTTGGAACTCCCCTGTCATCAGCAAATGGAAAATGATGACCAAGGTCTGCCTGAAGCCTGGGCCTCGTGCTCTCCGCAGTAGGGGAATCGGAACGCGGTCCTGTGCGCAGATGCCCACCGTGAGGTTTGGGACTCCCTTCCTGGGAGTCCACCAAGCCAAGGTCAGCCATACACTGCCCTAGGTCGAGACATCTCTGCCTATTTCCACGGCCACCAAGACACCACGAAGTAGCCGGTCATCCCCACAACTTTCCCATCAGTCTATGTTCCACAGAGAGAATGTTCCTAATGTCTATGATGGGAGACTTGGAGCTGTAAACGCCCTGGGTGGTGGAACTCTGGGGACTAGTGGAAACTGTCCCTCACTCTTACAGTCCCTGCAGGAGGCAATGTGCTGGACCTCAGTTCCGATGAGAGCGACGGTATGAGTTCTCACTCATTTTGTTCAGCTTTTCCAAGGAATGTTTTTTGTGGAGGACTCATCATCGATCCAAGCACATTTCAAAAGGCAGGATGTTGAACATCACAGGCTGGCAGTGTGTAAGCCAATAACCTTAAAGACCTTTGGCACCCTGTGGAACCCAGAGTCGTGCCACTGAGCAATGGGCACGGACCATTAACTCAGGAAGTGGAACTTGCCATGGCATTAGTGGCCTGCTGAGATACAGCTCTTTGCAGGTCTCAGAAATTTGAAAGACACCTCTGAACGCAGGGCAGAGAAACGCTTACCATCCTGAGCCACCCACCAGCACGGGGTGCACTGTAGATGTCAGGCCACACCGAATCAAGAACTCAATGCAGCCTCTGTTGGTGAGAAGAATCGATCATCTTCCTTGCCAGCAAGCAATGGACCTGTCACGACAACTGCTCCTGAGAAGTGTAAAGAAATCAAATATGTGCCTCAGAAATGGGCCCAGGTCCAATGATCAGCACTTAATTCTCTTCAATGTGCTGGACCTCAGTTCCGATGAGAGCGACGGTATGAGTTTTCACTCATTTTGTTCAGCTTTTCCAAGGAATGTTTTTTTTGGAGGACTCATCATCGATCCAAGCACATTTGAAGAGGCAGGACATTTGACAAACAGGCAGGGCAGTGGGTGAGCCGATGACCTTACTGACCTTTGGCACCCTGCGAAACCATAGCTATGCCACTGAGTAATGGTCACAGACTGTTCACTTTAGGAGTGGAACTACCATACCATCAGTGGTCTCCTGAGAAACAGCTCACTAGTGTCATGGAAACCCAAAAGATATCCTCACTCATCACAAGGGGCAGAGGAATGCTTACCGTCCTGAGCCACCTGCCAGCACAAGGTTCACCATGGATGCCAGGCCACACTGACTCCACAGAAGAATCGATCACGTGTCATGCCATCAAGCAGCAGGCCTCTCGAGGCAACTGCCCCTGAAAAAGTGTAAGGATATCAAATGCATGCTTGAGGAATGAGCCCAAGTCCATTGGTCACATCAATGTCATTCTTTCCCAAAGGGCAATTCGTACACCTGCTTCTCCTTGGACTCCATGACTGACTTCCATCTCCATGAATATACCTTGCACGTGTCACTCTGTGGACACCTGTAAGTGCATGTGACTGAACGACTGCACACACCTGTTGCTGCATCTATTTGCCTGTGGCTGTATACAAGTGAGAGTCTCTGTGTGGGTGTGTGTCCCCCTTATGCACACGTTTGTCCCATCATAGTCTGCAGCCTCCAGACATGAATCAACCCACAAAAATCAAAGGCTCAAGGCTCCCACCTTCAATCAATAGGATGTGAACTTTGACCTTGGGGCCATGGGAAAAGAGGTCCAATGACCTCGTATTACAACCACCACCTCTGGCACAAGCACATGCTCTTTCTCACGGGGCATATGATGTTGTGACCAGACACTATCTCTGGCACCTAATGAGGTGAGGTGCACCTGAAGGAAAACCAACCACCACCAAAGCTGGAGGGCACCTTTGCAGAGCCAGCACGTCACTCTGAAACACAAGGCCAGAGGTGGTCTTCCCAACCTAGGGAAAGGACCTTAAGACCCATGCTTCCTTCCACTCAATCCTTGTGCCCTCATTGTGCCCTCTGGACACCCAAAGAAAACAGCTGCCTTTCCACAAGGACATCTTCGCCTGAACCACCACGACAGGACACACAGGCTGTCATCATCCTTGCACTGGACACATCCACAGTTTCCCTGCACTGACCTTGCAGACAACGTCCCATCACACAGCCAAACTGAGTGCACTACCACCCACCCTAATGCCAGCAAGTCAACACACATGCAGGCAGTGACTAAGTGAGCTGCAAGATGTACAACCACCAATCCTTTCCAGTTTCCCTTGTCAACCATGCGCTTTTCACAGTGGCGTGGCTGTCCCACCTGCGCTGCGACTTCAAGCCAGCTAAGGGAGCTGAAATGCTTTGCTGTGCCTCGGACTAGTGGAGTCCAACTCCCACCTGCACTGCAACTTCAAGCCAGCTAAGGGAGCTGAAATGCTTTGCTGTGCCTCGGACTAGTGGAGTCCAACTCCCACCTGCACTGCAACTTCAAGCCAGCTAAGGGAGCTGAAATGCTTTGCTGTGCCTCGGACTAGTGGAGTCCAACTCCCACCTGCGCTGCAACTTCAAGCCAGCTAAGGGAGCTGAAATGCTTTGCTGTGCCTCGGACTAGTGGAGTCCAACTCCCACCTGCGCTGCAACTTCAAGCCAGCTAAGGGAGCTGAAATGCTTTGCTGTGCCTCGGACTAGTGGAGTCCAACTCCCACCTGCGCTGCAACTTCAAGCCAGCTAAGGGAGCTGAAATGCTTTGCTGTGCCTCGGACTAGTGGAGTCCAACTCCCACCTGCGCTGCAACTTCAAGCCAGCGAAGGGAGCTGAAATGCTTTGCTGTGCCTCGGACTAGTGGAGTCCAACTCCCACCTGCGCTGCAACTTCAAGCCAGCTAAGGGAGCTGAAATGCTTTGCTGTGCCTCGGACTAGTGGAGTCCAACTCCCACCTGCGCTGCAACTTCAAGCCAGCTAAGGGAGCTGAAATGCTTTGCTGTGCCTCGGACTAGTGGAGTCCAACTCCCACCTGCGCTGCAACTTCAAGCCAGCTAAGGGAGCTGAAATGCTTTGCTGTGCCTCGGACTAGTGGAGTCCAACTCCCACCAGCGCTGCAACTTCAAGCCAGCTAAGGGAGCTGAAATGCTTTGCTGTGCCTCGGACTAGTGGAGTCCAACACTGCAACACCATCAACACGCAGAGGTGTGGAGTCGTGCCAAGTCAAGGGACTCTCCATGGCCACACCCCGAGATTCAAATGCACTGCCCAGAATGCACATGGAAATGGATAGTCCCATGCAGGACTGGAGCCCACAGGAGACTCCTGGACCAGGGCCAATCACTCTGGATACCTTTGGGTTGGAGAATGGGGATGACAGAGAGCAGCATTGCACACCAGAGCTGCAGCAGGCGGAGCTGCCCAGTGATGCAGGCCAAGAGACCATGTCCAGGAAGATGTGCACCACGGTGGAGCCCACCACCCTGGAAAGACCAGAAGTGACCCAGGACTATGGACACCATCCACACACAGAGACATGTCCTCAGAGACCCACCCTGGCTGACCTGTCGTCCACCAGAGAAATCCAAACCAAATGAAAGCCCACTGCAGCTGATGACACTTGTTTCCACCAGAGCCCTCCAGCATCTTTTCTCTGGAATACCATCCCACCCAGGCCTCCACACCATACATAGACATCATGGCTCAGGAGGCAAAGAAATCTGAGCCGGGGAGCCCCTGTGACCAACGCTAGGGGAGGGCTGAAGAGACGCTGGCTGTCTGCCACGGCCCCCATTGCTCTGCTCTCTCCTCTATCACCCATGCCACTCTCTTGCACTCAGCTAACCAAAAATCTAGACCATGTTCTGCCTGAGGCCTGGGCTTCGTGCTCTCCTTGGTAGCAAAACTGACACCCGGTCCTCTGTGTGGAGACACCTGCTGTGAGGTCCAGGTCTCCCTTCCTTTTGCTCACCAAACTCAGGCCCCTAGACTTGTGATATTTCTGTCTGCTTCCATGGCCACCATGCCATCACACAGTGGCCGATGCCCCCACGACTCTCCCACTCATGTACCTCACACGGAGGAAATGTTCCTACAACTTTGGCCTGTGGATGCCCTAGTTGGGGAGAACCTATGGGAATCAGTGAAGTTGTCCCTGCGGGAGGCAATGTGCTGGACCTCAGTTCCGATGACAGTGACAGTATGAGTTTTCACTCATTTTGTTCAGCTTTTCCAAGGAATGTTTTTTTGAGGGGCAGTCATCATCGATCCAAGCACACTATGAAGAGGCAGAATGGCACCACAGGCTGGGCGGTGGGTAAGCCGATGACCTTAAAGACTTTCAGCACCCTGTGGAACCTGGCGTCACACCACCGAGCAATGGGCACAGACCATCGACTCAGGGAGTGGAACTCGCCATGGCATTAGTGGCCTACTGGCAAACAGCTCTTTCTGGGTTCTAGAAATTTGAAAGACACCTCTGCACGCAGGGCAGAGAAATGCTTACCGTCCTGAGCCACCCATCAGCACAGGGTGCACTGAAAATGCCAGGCTATGCCGAATCAAGGATTCAACGTGGCCTCCATTGATCAGAAGAATCATCCATCTTCCTTGCCAGTAAGCGGTGGACCTCTCATGGAAACTGCTCCTAAGAAATGTAAAGAAATCAAACGCACACTTGAGAAATGGGCCCAGGTCCACCGATCACCAGTTTTCAATGTGCTGAACCTCAGTTCCAATGAAAACGACGCTACGAGTTTTCACTCATTTTATTCAGCTTTTCCAAGGAATGTTTTTACTGGGGACTCATTGTCGATCCAAGCACATTCCAAGAGTCAGGACGTCTGACACCACAGGCTGGGCAGTGGATGTGCTGATGACATGAAAAACCTTCGGCACCCTGAGGAAGCCACAGCGACGCCACTGAGCAACCAGCTCCATTCACTGCAGGAGTGGAACCACCAGGCCATTAATGGCCTGCTGAAAAACTGTTCCTTGCCGGTCATGGAACTCAGAAAACCACCCTCACTCAGCATGTGAGGCAGAGGAATGCTTACCGTCCTGAGTCACCTGCCAGCACGGGGTGCACCATACATGCCAGGCCACGCCGAATCAAGGACTCTGTGGGGCCTAAGCTGACCGAAGAATCGATCATCTTCCTTGTCAGCAGGAGGTGGGCCTCCCACGGCAACTGGCCCTGAGAAGTGCGAAAAAATCAAATGCATGCTCGAGAAACAGGTTCAGGTTCACTGGTCACTTCAATGCTATGCTTTCCCACAAGACAACTCACATGCCCCTTCTCCTTGGCCTCCATGACTGACCTCTACCTCCATGAGTATCCCTTACTTGTGGCACTCTGCAGACATCTAAAAGCACGTGTGGCCAGAACCACCGCACGTGCACACTGCCACATGTATGAACCCGTCATTGCCTGTGCCTGTGTGTGAGAGAGAGTGGGTTTGAGAGTGTGTGTGTGTGTGGAGTGTGAGTCTGAATGTGTGTGTGTGTATGTGTGTGTGGAGTGTGAGTCTGAATATGTGTGTCTAGAGCGTGAGTCTGAATGTGTGCGTGCATCTCCCTGATGCACATGTGTGTCCTAACACTGCAATAGACGATTATAATCTGCACCTTCCAGACCTCATGCCCCCAGCAAATCGATGGCTCAAGACCCCAGCCTTCAATCACTTGGATGTGAAATTTCACCTCAGGGCCATGTGGAAACAGGTCAGAGGTCCCTCACCTAACAGCCACCACCTCTGGCGGGAGCACATGCTCTTCCTGCTCCTCATGGGACATCTGATGTCATGACAAGACACTGTTTCTGGCTGCCCTCTTAAGTGAGGTGCACCTCGCAGAAAACCAACCACAACCAGCTCCAGAGAGCACCTTCGCAAAGTCCAGCACATCTGTCTGCAACTCGGCATCAAGGTCAGTGGCGGGCCTTGCAACCTAGCAAAAGGACCTCAAGACACACGCTTCCTCCACTTCACTCAGTCCATGTGCCTGCAGTGAGCCCTCAGCACAGCCGAGGAAATGTCTGCTTTTCTAGCAGGACATCCCGACCTGACGCGCCAAGGACCAGGTTGACAGGACACACTGCCTGTCATTGTTCTTATATTGGACACACCCACAGGGCATGCCTGAACCAACCTCAGAAGCAATGACCCATCATGCAGCCAATGTCACTGCACTACTACCCACCCTAACACTGTACCAACACCATCAGGTCTACATGCATGCAGCTGCTAAGTGAGCTGCGAGCTGTAAAAACACTAATCATTTCCAGCTCTCCTAACTCATCCATGTGCCCTTGAAAGAGGCACAGCTGTTCTGGCTGCACTGTGAATTCAAACTGGCTAAGGGAGCTAACATGTTTCATCATGCACAGGACGTAGCAGAATCCAACACTGGAACACGACCAGGATTCAAAGGCATGGAGGTATCCCAAGGCAAGAGACTTTCCATGGCAATACCCCTGGGACGGCACACAAATTGCCTGGAATGCACACAGACCTCCCTGGATAGCCCCATGGTTGACTAGAGCCCACAGTGGGGTCCTGGGCCTGGGCCATGGCACATTCCCTCCGGACGCCTTTAGGATGGAAGCTGCTTTCCAAGTGAGAAAAAGGATCCAGAGCAGGACTTGGTCACACAAGCTGTGGCAAGTGGGCCGCCTGGCAATGGCAGGCCAGGAGACCATTTCTTGGAAGATGTGCACAACTGTGGAGCCCATTACTCTGCCAGGAAGAACTGGAGTGACCCAGGGCCACGGACAACAGCCCAACCCTCATGATCCTTTGAACTGCCCTTGAAGACCTCTGCTGTCTGACCAGTCACCCACCAGAGACATACATGGAAAGCCCAGCACCACGGAATGACAGCCAAAGACCACTGATGGCAAGCCTGTCCATGTGAACTCCCTACCACCTATTCTCTGAAATCCCAAAGGATACGTCATACCCAGGCCTCCACCACCACACCGTGGGCATCTTGGAAGGCTGGGGAGGCAAAGAAATCCCTGCTGCAGGGCACCCTCTGACCAACACTTGAGGGAGGGCTGAGGAGGCTCTGGCCATCCTCTGTAACACCCGTTGCTCTGAGCTCTCCCCCATCACCCGTGGCACCTCCCTGTCCTCAGCTAACTGAAAATTAAGACCAAGGTCTGCCTAAGGCTGGGCTCTCATGTTCTCCTTAGCAGGGGAAAAGGGAACTGGTCCACTGTGCAAGAAAGTCTGACATGAGGTCGAGGTCTCCCTTCCTAGGAGCTCACCAGGTTCAGGTCTGTGACATACTCCTCTAGGCCTGCGGTATTTCTGTCTGCGTCCACAGCCGCCATGCATTCCCAGAGCAGCCAGTCCCTCCATGACTCTCCTGTGTACCCCACACAAAGGGAACGTTCCTAATGTGTGTGTGATGGGAGACGTTCGCCTGTGGAAACCCTGGGTGGTTCAACCTATGGAGACTAGTGGAAGCTGTCCCTCACTTGAATGGTCCCCGGCAATGTGCTGGACCTCAGTTCCGATGAGGACGACGGTATGAGTTCTCACTCATTTTGTTCAGCTTTTCCAAGGAATGTTTTTTTGGGGGACTCATCATCGATCCAAGCACATCTGAAGAGGCAGGATGTTTGACACCACAGGCTGGGCAGTGGGCGAGCCGATGACCTTGAAGCCCTTCAGCACCTTGCAGAACCCAGAGTCATGCCACGGAGCAAAGGCACACCATCCACTCTAGGAGTGGACCTCGCCATCCACTAGTGGCCTCGTGAGAAACGGCTCATTCTGGGTCTCAGAAATCCAAAAGACTGCATCACTCACCATGAGGGGAACAGGAGTGCTACCGGCCTGAGCCATCCACCAGCACAAGATCCCCATGGAAGCCAGGCCACACCGACTCCAGGACTCTGCAGAGTGTTTGTGGCTCACAGGAATCGACCATCTTCCTTCCAGCTGGTGGTGGGCCTCCCATGGCAACTACCCCTGAGAAGTGTAAAGAAATCAAATGCATGCTTGAAAAAAATGCCTGGGTCCACTGGTTACCACTTCAGTGCCACTCTTTTGACAACTTACACACCTTGCTTCTGCTGGGCTCCATGAGTGACTTCCATCTCCATGAATGCACCTTTCTAGTGGCACTCTGCACACACGTTGGAACTGCGTGTGGATAAAATGACTGCACATACCCATTGCTATGTATATTTGCCTGTGGCTATTTGCACCACTGTGTGCGTGTGTGTGTGTGTGTTTGTGTGTGTGTGTGTCTCCCTCACGCACATGTGTTTCCCAAACACATGGCTTCCCCAACATGGCAATTTGCAGTCAGAGTCTGTGGCCTCCAGGCCTGAGCCCCCACCAACCTGACAATTCAAGACCAAGGCCTTCAATCAGTAGGATGTAAACTCTGACACTGGGGCCACGCAAACACAGGCTCGAGGTCCCTTGTATAACAGCCACCACCCCTAGCATGAGCACAAGCTCCTTCTCAAGGGGCATCTGATGTCGAGACCAGACACTGTCTGTCAGAACCCCTACGTAAAGCGCACCCAGCACAAAACCAACGACAACCACCACCAGAGGCACCTTCCCAATGGCCAGTACATCTGTCTGACAAACTCAGCATCAAGGCCAGAGGTGGTCGGCCCAACCGAGGCAAACGACTTCAAGACACAAGCTTCCTCTCCTCCATTCAGTCCATGTGCCTGCACCGTGCCCTGTGGACACCCGAAGGGAATGCCTGCTTTTCCCACAGGACATCTCTACCTGATGCCCAAGGACCAGGCAGACAGGGCACACTGCCTTCCATCATCCTTGCAGGGCTCACACTCAAAGGCCTTCCTTGTACCAGCCTCTGAGGCATCATCACATCATGCAGCCACCTTGGATGCAGTACCATTTTCCGCAACAAGTGCAGGTCAACACCGTGTGACAACCACCAGCAGGTCTACACGTATGTGCCTACTGAGGGACCTGTGAGCCACAGAACCACCAGTCCTTTTGAATTTTCCTAAGCCATCCACATTCCCTTCAACATGGCATGGCCCTCCTTGGCTGCACTTGTCGTGAGGCTAAGCGAGCTAAAACAGTTCATCACACCTAGCGAGTAGCTGAATCAACACCAGAATATCACCAAGAAGCAGAGGAGTGGAGTAATCTCGAGTCAAGGGACTCTCAATGGAAGTCACCTGGAATTAAATACACAGTGCCCGGAATGCACACAGACCTCCATGGACAGCTCCAACTGTGACTGAAACCCACGGGAGAGTTCTGGGCCAGGGCCAGAACACATTCCTCTGAAAGCCTTCAAAGCTGGAAGGAAGATCCAAAGCAGTTATTTGCTCACATGAGCTACAGCATATGGCGCCACCCGGCAATGGTGGACCAAGAGACCATTTCCAGGAAGGGGTGCACAATGGTAGAGCCCACTACTCTGCTGAGAAGACCAGAAGTGACCCAGGGCCACAGGCCAGAGCCTGACATTCATGCTCCCTGGATCTGCCCTTGAAACCGTACTGACTGACGTGTCATCTACAAGAGAAATCCACGGAAAGCCCATGACGACCAGATGGCAGCCCAAGACTACTGAGGACATGCATGTCCAGGTGAGCCCTCCACCACCTTTTCTCTGGGGTACCATCCTGCTGAGGCTCAGTCAGCACACCATGGGCAACTCATGGCTCAGGAACTGAAAACATTCCTGCTGGGATTTGACTGTGGGGACCGCCCAAGACGTTTTGGCTGTCCACCATGACACCAACTGCTCTCCATTATTCCCCATCACCTTGGCACTCCCCTCTCCTCAGATAACTGAAAATCCAGACCAAGGTCTGCCTGAGGCCTGGGCCTTGTGCTGTCTTTGCAATGAAAACAAAGACCCAGTCCACTGCACAGAAATGCCCATCATGAGGTCAGGGTCTCCCTTCTGGGGCCTTTCGCCTTCTTCGATAGCCGCCAGGACATCACAAAGCAGCGGTTCCCCACATGACTCTCCTACCCATGAACCTCGCAAAACGGGAATGTTCCCAGTGTGCCTGTTATACGAGACTTTCATCAGAGGATGCTCTGGGTGGTGGAACCTCTGGGAACCAGTGGAAATTGTCCCTCGTTCCTACAGTCCCCAGGGGAGACAATGTGCTGGACCTCATGAGAGCGACAGTATGAGTTTTCACTCATTTTGTTCAGCTTTTCCAAGGAATGTTTTTTTGGGGAGACTCATCATCAATCCAAGCACACTTGAAGGTGGAGAATGTCAGACACTGCAGGCTGGGCAGTGGGCGAGCTAATGACCTTAAAGACCTTCGGCACCCTGGGGAACCCATGGCTATGCCACTGAGCAATGGGCACACACCATTGACTCAGGGAGTGGAACTCGCCATGCCATTAGTGACCTGACAACAAACAGCTCTTTGTGGGTCTCACAAATTTAAAAGACACCTCTGCACACAGGGCAGAGAAATGCTTACCGTCCTGAGCCACCCACCAGCACGGAGTCCACTGCAGATGCCATGGCACGCCAAATCAAGGACTCATTGCAGCCTCCGTTTGGCAGAAGAATAGACCACCTTTCTTCCCACCAAGTGGTGGAGCTTTCATGATTAACTGCTCCTGAGAAGTGTAAAGAAATCTAATTAAATTTGAGAAACAGCCCCAGGTCCACTGATCACCACTTCAATTCCATTCAATGTGCTGGACCTCAGTTCCGATGAGAGCGACGGTATGAGTTTTCACTCATTTTGTTCAGCTTTTCCAAGGAATGTTTTTTTTGTAGGACTCATCATCGATCCGAGCACATCTGAAGACACAGGATGTTTGACACCACAGGCTGGGCAATGCCTGCCTTGGAAATCTGAAACATGTCCTCACTCAGCTCAAGGGGAGAAGAATGCTTACTGTCTTGAGCCACATGCCAGCATGAGATGCACCATGGATGCCAGGCCACGATGACTCCACGACTCCATGGGGACTCTGTTGCTTGGAAGAATTGACCATCTATTGGGCCAGCACACAGAAGGACTCTCAAGAGACTGCCCCTGAGAAGTGCAAAAATATAAAATGCACCCTTGAGGAATGAACCCAAGTCCACTGGACACATCAATATCAGTCTTCCCCAAAGGGCAACTCGTACACCTGCTTCTCCTTGTCCCTCACTCCTACAGTCCCCAGGGGAGGCAATGTGCTGGACCTCAATTCCAATGAGAGGGACGGTATGAGTTTCACTCATTTTGTTCAGCTTTTCCAAGGAATGTTTTTTTTAGGGGACTCATCATCAATCCAAGCACTTGCAAAGAAGCAGGATGTTTGATGCAACAGGCTGGGCAGTGGGCGAGCTGAAGACCTTAAAGACCTTCAGCACCCTACAGAACCTAGAGCCATGCCACTGAGCAATGGGCACAAACCATTCACTTTACGAGTGGAAGTCGCCATGCCTTCAGTGGTCTGCTGAGAAACCACTCCTTGCAGGTCTTGAAACCCCAAAGACACCCCTACATAGCACAGGGGTACAGGAATCCTTACCGTCCTGAGCCATCCACCAGCAGGGGTGCACCATGGATCCAGGCCATCCGGACTCTAGGACTCCGGGGGCCTTTGTGTCCCAGAAGAAGTGACCATCTTCCTTGCCAGGGTATGGTGGAGGTCCCATGGAAACTGGCCCTGAGCAGTATAAAGAAATCAAATGTCTACTTGAGAAATGAGCCCAGATCACTGGACATTTCAAGGCCATTCTTTCCACAAGGCGACCCACATGCCTGCTTCTACTTGGCCTCCATGAGGGACCTCCATCTTTATGAGTATACCTGACCCATGTCACTTTCTACAGACCTAGGAAGTGTCGACACACAGGAGGCTTCCTGCTGTGTCTATTTGCCTATGGCAGTGCACACCTGTTTGTGTGTGGAATAGTGTGAGTGTGTTCCTCTCCCTCATGCACATGTGTTTCCCACCATGATAACAGGTGATTAAACACTGCAGCCTCCCAAACTGAAGCCCCCTGGCAACTCCAAGGTGGACGGCCAAGGCCTTCAATCAGTAGGACATGCACTTTGACTTTGGGGCCAGAAGGACATAGGCCTTAGGTCACTCCCCTGACAGCTACCACCCTGGTCTGAGCTCCTCCTTATGCGGCATCTGACCAGACTCCATCACTGGCAGCACTCCCAGCTGAGGCTCACCTGGCAGAAAACCAACCACAATCAGCCCTGGAGGGTGCCTTTGCAATGGTCAACCCTAGGTCTGAAAAACGGCATCAGGCCAGAGGCAATCTTCCCAACCTAGCCAAGGGACGTCAAGACACAGGCTTCCTCCCCTTCACGCACCCCACATACAAGCACTGCACTTTCAGGACACAAAAAGGGAATGAGTACTTTCCGACAGGATGCCCCCGCCCCAAGGACCAGGCTGACAGGACACACTGCCTTCCACCGTCCTTGCACTGGTCACACACACGAGGCTTCTCTGCACCAAACTGAGGCAACACCCCATCACGCACCACCACCCACCATACACCACAGCTCCTGCGACTCAACTCAATCACCCGGTCTGCATGCACACGGCTACTCATCAACTGCGACCTGGAGAGCCACCTGTCCTTTCCAACATTCCTAATGCAGCTGTGGGACCCTCGACACGGTATGTCTCTGTCCCGGATGTGCGGTGACTTAAAACTGTTTAAGGGAGCTGAAACGTTTCTCAGCCTTAGGGAGTGGCAGAATGCAACAGTGGAACATCACTAACACAGGAGGTGCACGGGCATCCCAAGTCAAGGAACTCTCTATGGCAGGAGGCTGGAATGGCACACGTGTTGCCTGGAATGCACACAGATCTCCATGGATAGCCCCTTGTGTGACTGATGTCCATGGGAGGAGACCCCAGGACCAGGGCCCATTCCCTCTGGGCGCCTTTAGGGTGGAAGCTACTTTCCAAGAAGAAAAGTGGATCTAGAGCAGTATTTCCTCACATTGCACTGCAGCAGGTAGGGCTGCCCAGTAAGGGCAGGCCAAGAGACCATTCCCAGGAAGCTGTATACAATGGTGGAGGCCACTATACTGTCAGAAAGACCACAAGAGACCCAGGGCCTGGGGCACAAGGCTGACCCTTGTATTCTCTGGGACCTGCCTTCTAAGACCCCCACTGGCCAACTTGTCCTAGACTAGAGAAATTAATAGGAAACCCATCACTACCTGACAAAAGCCTAAGACTGCTGATGGCACGCATGACCCCGTAAACCCTCTACCGCCTATTTTCTGGGGTACCTTCTGGTCCAGGCTTCCAACACAGCACCAGGGACATCTCATGGCTCAGGGAAGGAAGAAATCCTCACCAGGGGGGCTGTGTGGAGGGCCAAAGGGGCTCTGGCTATCTGCCGTGACAGCCTATGCTACGCCCTATCCCCAGCCACCCCTGGCACTCCCTTGTCCTCAGCTCATCAAAAATCAGTACCAAGGTCTGTCTGAGGCCTGAGCCTTATACTCTCCTGGATAGAAAAGAAGGACCCAGTCCCGCTGCAGACAGATGCCCACCACAAAGTCTCAGTATCCCTTCCTGGGAGCTCACTAAGCAAAGACCTGGAGCACATTCCCCTAGGACAGCAGTATTTCCATCTGCGACCATGGCCGCCACACCATTACAGAGCAGCCATTCCTCCCAGGACTCTCCCACCTATGTACCTCACTCAAAGGGAATGTTCCTAATAAGCATGTGATGGGAGACGTTGGTCTGTGGAAGCCCTGGGTGGTAGAACCTATGGGAATCTGTGAAGTTGTCCCTCCCACCCACAGGCCCCAGGGAAGGCAATGTGCTGGACCTCAGTTCTGATGAGAGCGACGGTATGAGTTTTCACTCATTTTGTTCAGCTTTTCCAAGGAATGTTTTTTTGTAGGACTCATCAATCCAAGCACATTTGAAAACACAGGACATTTGACACTACAGGCTGAGCAATGCCTGCCTTGGAAATCCAAAAAGATACGCTCACTCAGCACTAGGGGCAAAGGAATCCTTACCGTCCTGACCCACCTGCTAGCACGTGGTGCACCATCGATGCCAGGCCACACTGAATCCACGACTCCATGGGAACTCCGCTGCCTGGAAGAATTGACCATCTGCTGCGGCAGCACATGGTGGTCCTCTCAAGGCAACTGCCCCAGAGAAGTGCAAAGATATCAAATGTACACTTGAGGAACAAGCTCAGATCCACTGGTCCCACCAGTATCAGTCTTTCCCAAGGGTCAACTTGTATGCCTGCTTCTCCTTGTCCCTCACTCCTACAGTCCCCAGGGGAGGCAATGTGCTGGACCTCAGATCCGATGAGAGCGACGGTATGAGTTTTCACTCATTTTGTTCAGCTTTCCAAGGAATGTTTTTTTGTTGGACTCATCATCGATCCAAGCACATTTGAAGAGGCAGGACATCTGACACCACAGCCTGGGCAGTAGGTAAGCCGAAGACCTTAAAGACCTTCGGTACCCGGTGGAACCCAGAGCTGGGCCACTAAGAAATGGGCACAGACTGTTCACTTTAGGAGTGGAACTCACCATGCCATCAGAGCCCTGCTGAGAAACCACTCCTTCTAGGTCTTGGAAATCCCTAAGACACCCCCACTCAGCACATGGGGCAGAGGAATCCTTACCATCTTGAGCCATCCATCAGCAGGGGTGTACCATGGATGCCAGGCCATAATGACTCCAGGACTCTGGGGGCCTTTGCGGCTCAGAAGAATGGACCACATTCCTTGCCAGGATATGTGGGATGTCCCATGATAACTGCCCCTGAGAAGTGTAAAGAAATGAAGTGCATGATTGAGAAATGGGCCTAGCTTCACTCACTGCTTTAACGCCATTCTTTCCACAGGGCATCTCACATGCCTGCTTCTCCTTGGCCTCCATAATGGACCTCCATCTTTATGAACGTACCTTACCCGTGTCACTTTCTAGACACTTAGGAAGTCTTGACACCTAGGAAGCCTGTTGCTATGTCTCTCTGCCTATGGCTGTGCACACGTGTTTGTGTGTGTGACAGTATGTGTGTGTTTGTGTCCCTCATGCACATGTGTTTCCCAGCCCCACAGCAGGTGATCAGAGTCTACAGCCTCCAGGCCTGAGGTCCTCCTACAACCCAAAGGTGCAACACCAAGGACTTCAAACAGTTAAATGTGAACTCTTGACTTCGGGGCCATGAGGACATAGGTCTGAGGTCATGCACCTAACACTACCACCATTGCTCTGAACACATGCACCTCCTTTCAGGTCATCTGATAATGGGACCAGACCCCATCACTGGCAGCATTCCCAGTTGAGGCTCACCTGGAAGAAAACCAACCACAACCAGCCCTGGGGGCACCTATACAATGGTCAACCCATAGGTCTGAAAAATGGCATGAGGCCAGAAGAAATATTCCCAACCTGGCCAAAGGACCTCAAGACATTGGCTTCCTCCCTTCCATTCAGTCCACATGCCCACACAGCACGTTCAGGACACCCAAAGGAATGGCTGCTTTCCAACATAATGTCCCTGCCCCCAAGGACCAGACTGACAGGACACACTCCCTTCCAGGGTCCCTGTACTGGTCACACCTACAGGGCTTCTCTGCACCAAACTCTGAGACAACACCCCATCACGCACCCAACTTGACTGCACCATCACCTGGTATACATGTAAATGGCTACTAATGAATTGTGATCTGTAGAACCACCAACCCTTTGCAACATTCCTAATGCAGCTATGGGCCCCTCAATACGATATGGCTGTTCTGGATGTGCTGTGACTTCAAACTGTTTAAGGGAGCTGAAAGGCTTCATCAACCTAAGGGAGGGGCGGAATGCGACACTGGAACATCACCAACACGGGAGGTGCAGGGGCATCCCAAGTCCAGGAACCCCCTATGGCAGGCTGCTGGAAAGGCACAGGTGTTGCCTGGAATGCACACAGACCTCCACGGATAGCCCCATGTGTGACTGATACACAAGGGAGAGTACTGGGCCAAGGCCAGGACCAGGGCTCATTCCTTATGGACACCTTTGGGACGAGAGCTACTTTCCAAGCAGGAAAAAGGATTCAGAGCAGGGATTTGCTCACATGCACTGCAGCAGGTGAGGCCACCCAGCAACAGTGGCCAAGACACCATTTCCAGGAAGGTGTGCACAACACTGAGGCCCATGACTGTGTCAGAAAGATCTCAGGAGATGTAGGGCCACGGTGATAAGCCCGGCCCTCATATTCTTGGGGATCTGCCTTCTACAACCTCCGCTGGCCACCATGTCCTCCACTACAGAAATCAATGGAAAGCCCATCACCACTAAACGACAGGCCAAGACTGCTGATGACACACATGTGCACGTAAGCCCCCTACCACCTCTCTGAGGGACCTTCCAGTCCAGGCTTCCATCCGGCCCCACGGGCTTCTCACGGCTCAGGGAATGAAGAAATCCACCGGAAGGCCTCCATGACAGGATGCTAGGTGGTGGGCCAAAGAGGCCCTGGCTACCTGCCGCAACACCCTACGCTACACACTGTGCCCCATCACCCCTGGCACTCCCTTGGCTTCAGCTAACCAAAAATCAGTTCAAAGTTCTGCCTGAGGTCTGGGCCTTATGCTGTCTTGGAAAGAAAGTAAGTACCCAGTCCTCTGCACGCAGATCCCACCACGAGGTCCAGGTCTCCCTGCCAGGAAGCTCACCAAGCCAGGACCAGGAGGACACTCCCCTAAGCCTGTGGTATTTCTGTCCGCCTGCACCACAGCCACACCATTACACAGCAGACATTAACCCCAAAACTCTCCCACCCATGTACCTCACAAAAAACAGAATGTTCCTAACGAGCGTGTGATGGGAGACGTTGGTCTGTGGAAGCCCTGGGTGGTGGAACCTATGTGAATCAGTGAAAGGTGTCCCCCACTCCTACAGTCCCCGGGGAAGGCAATGTGCTGGACCTCAGTTCCGATGAGAGCGACGGTATGAGTTTTCACTCATTTTGTTCAGCTTTTCCAAGGAATGTTTTTTTTTTTTTTTTTTTTGTAGGACTCATCATCGATCCAAGTACATTTGAAGACATAGGACATGTGACACCACAGGCTGGGCAATGCCTGCCCTGGAAATCAGAAAGATACCCACACTCAGCACAAGAGGCAGAAGAATGCTTACGGTCCTGAGCCACCTGCTAGCACGGGGTGCACCATGGATGCCAGGGCACACTGACTCCATGACTCCATGGGGACTCTGTTGCTTGGAAGAATCAACCATCTGTTGCGGCAGCACATGGCAGGTCTCTCCAGGGCACAGCCCCTGAGAAGTACAGAGATATCAAATGCAACACTTAAGGAATGAGCCTGGTACAGTGGTCACATCAATGTCAATCTTGCCAAAGAGGCAGCTTGTACACCTGCGCCTCCTTCAGCCTCACTCCTACAGTCTCCTGAGGAGGCAATGTGCTGGACCTCAGTTCCGATGACAGCGACGGTATGAGTTCTCACTCATTTTGTTCAGCTTTTCCAAGGAATGTTTTTTTTTTTTTTTTGACTCATCATCGATCCAAGCACATTGCAAAGAGGCGGGACACAGGACACCACAGGCTGGGCAGTGGGCGAGCTGATGGTCTCAAAGACCTTCAGCACCATGCAGAACCCAGAGCCATGTTACTAAGCAATGGGCAGACTGTTCATTTCAGGAGTGGAACTCGCCATGCCATCAGTGGCCTGTTGAGAAACTGCTTCTTGCAGGTCTTGGAAATCACAAAGACACCCCCACTCAGCACAGAATGCTTACCATCCTGAGCCATCCACCAGCAGGGGTGCACCATGGAGGCCAGGCCATACTTACTCCAGGACTCTGGGGGCCTTTGTGGACCGGAAGAACTGACCATCTTCCTTGCCAGCGTATGGCGGATGTCCCATGATAACTGCCCCTGAGAAGTGTAAAGAAATCAAATGCCCACCTGAGAAAGAGCCCAGGTTCATTCTCACTTCAACACCATTCTTTCCACAGAGCATCTCACATGCCTGCTTCTCCTTGGCCTCCGTGATGGACCTCTGTCTATATGAATATACCTGACACGTGTCACTTTCTACACAGCCAGGACATCTAGACACCTAGGAAGACTGCTGTTGCATCTGTCTGCCTGTGGCTGTGCACACCGCCTTGTGTGTGGGTGCGTGTGTGACAGTGATACTGTGCGTGTTAGTCTCTCTCATGCACATGTGTTTCGCACCACCACAACGGGCAATCAGAGTCTTCAGCCTCCAGACCTGAGGCCCACCCATAAACCGAAGGCTCAAGACCAAGGTCTTCAATCAGTTGGATGTGAACTTTGACTTCAGGGCCATCAGGACATAGGCCTAAAGTCACTTACCTAACAGCTTCCACCCTTGGTCTGAGCACACACACTTCCCATGGGGCATCTGACATCGTGACCAGACCCAATCTCCGGCCACACTCCCAGCTGAGGCTCACCTGGCAGAAAACCAACCACAATCAGCCCCGAAGGTTGTCTTTGCAATGGTCAACCGTAGGTCTGAAAAATGGTATCACGCCAGGGGCAGTCAGTCTTCCCAACCTAGTCAAAGAACCTCAAGACACAGGCTCCCTCCCTTCCATTCAGTCCACAAGCATGCACTGTGCCTTCAGGACACCCAAAGGAATGGCTGCTTTCCAACAGGATTTCCCTGCCCCAAGGACCAGGCTGACAGGACACACTGCCTTCCACTGTCCTTGCACTGGTCACACACACGAGGCTTCTCTGCACCAAACTGAGGCAACACCCCATCACGCACCACCACCCACCATACACCACAGCTCCTGCGACTCAACTCAATCACCCGGTCTGCATGCACACGGCTACTCATCAACTGCGACCTGGAGAGCCACCTGTCCTTTCCAACATTCCTAATGCAGCTGTGGGACCCTCGACACGGTATGTCTCTGTCCCGGATGTGCTGTGACTTAAAACTGTTTAAGGGAGCTGAAACGTTTCTCAGCCTTAGGGAGTGGCAGAATGCAACAGTGGAACATCACTAACACGGGAGGTGCACGGGCATCCCAAGTCAAGGAACTCTCTATGGCAGGAGGCTGGAATGGCACACGTGTTGCCTGGAATTCACACAGACCTCCATGGATAGCCCCTTGGGTGACTGATGTCCACGGGAGGACACCCCAGGGCCAGGGCCCATTCCCTCTGGGCGCCTTTAGGATGGAAGCCACGTTTCAAGTGGGAAAGAGGATCCAGAGCAGTACCTGTCACATGCACTATAGTAGGTAGGGCCGCCCATCAAGGACAGATCAAGAGACCATTCCCAGGAAGATGTGCACAATGGTGGATCCCACTACACTGGCAGGAAGACTGCAAGACACCCAGTGCGTTGGGTCCAAGCCTTAGTCTCGTATTCCCTGGGACATGCCTTCTAAGACTGTGCCTGGCCAACTTGTCCTTCTCTAGAGAAATTAATGCAAATTCATCACCACCTAACAAAAACCAAAGACGGCTGATGACACACATGGCCATGTAAGCCCCCTAGTGCCTGCCACTTCTCTCCAGTACCCTTTGGCCCAGGCTTCCACCACAGCACCAGGGGCATCTCATGGCTTCAGAAATGAAGAAATCCCTGCTGGGGAGTCTGTGTGGAAAACCACAGAGAATCTGGCTATCTGCCGCAACACCCTATGCTACGCACTGTCCTCCATCACCATTGGCACTCCCCTTTCCTCAGTTAACCAAAAATCGGTACCGAGGGTTGCCTTTGGCCTGGGCCTTATGCTTTTCTGGAAAGATAACTAGGATCCAGCCCCTTCGCAGAGAAGCCCACCACACAGTCTGTGTCCCCTTCCTGGGAGCTCACCAAGCCAAGAGCAGGAGCACACTCCCGAGACTTGTGATATTTCCCTCCACTTCCACGGCTGCCAGGACATTAAAGAGCAACTGATCCCCACAGGACTCTCCCACCTATGTACCTCACTCAAACGGAATGTTCCTAATGAGCGGGTGATGGGAGACGTTGGTCTGTGGAAGCCCTGGGTGGTGGAACCGATGGGAATCAGTGGAAGCTGTCCCTCACTCCTACAGGCCCCGGGGGAGGCAATGTGCTGGACCTCAGTTCCGATGACAGTGCCAGTATGAGTTTTCACTCATTTTGTTCAGCTTTTCCAAGGAATGTTTTTTTTGTGGGACTCATCATCGATCCAAGCACATGTGAAGACACAGGACATCTAACACCACAGGCTGGGCAATGCATGCCTTGGAAATCAGAACGATACCCACCCTCAGAACTAGAGGCAGAGGAATCCTTACCGCCCTGAGCCACCTGCCACCACAAGGTGCACGATGGATGCCAGGCCACACTGACTCCACGACTCCATGGGGACTCCGTTGCTTGTAAGAATCGAACATCTGTTGTGGCAGCATGCAGCGGGCCTCTCAAGGCAACTGCCCCTGAGAAGTACAAAGATAACACATGCACACTTGAGGAATGAGCCCAGGTCAATGTCAGTCCTTCCAAAGGGGCAACTGGCACACCTGTTTCTCCTTCTACCTCACTCGTACAGTCCCCGGGGGAGGCAATGTGCTGGACCTCAGTTCCGATGAGAGCGACGGTATGAGTTTTCACTCATTTTGTTCAGCTTTCCAAGGAATGTTTTATTGTTGGACTCATCATCGATCCAAGCACATTGCAAACAAGCAGGACATTTGAAAGAGCAGGCTGGGCAGTGGGAAAGCTGATGATCTTAAAGACCTTCAGTGCCCTGTGGACCCAGAGACATGCCACTGAGCACTGGACACAGACGGCTCACTTTAGGAGTGGAAGTCGCCATGCCTTCAGTGCCCTGCTGACAAACCGCTCCTTGCGGGTCCTGAAATCCCAAAGACACCCCCACCACTCAGCGTGCGGTGCAGAGGAACGCTTACCGTCCTGAGCCATCCACCAGCAGGGGTGCACCGTGGAGGCCAGGCCATACCAACACCAGGACTCGAGGCCTTTGTGCCTCAGAAGAGCCGACCATCTTCCTTGCCAGGTTATGGGGGACGTCCCATCATAACTGTGCTTGAGAAGTGTAAAGAAATAAATGCCCATGTGAGAAATGAGCCCAGGATTACTGGTCGCTTCAACACCATTCTTTCCACAGGGCACCTCACATGGCTGCCTCTCCGTGGCCCTCATGATGGACCTCCATCCTCATGAATATACCTCACCCTTGTCACTTTCTACACACCTAGGAAGCCTGATGCTGCTTCTCTCTGGCTTTACATGCCTGTTTGTGTGTGTGTGTGTGTGTGTGTGTGTGTGCCTCATGGCATGTGTTTCCCAACACCGCAACAGACAATTAGTCTGCATCCTCAAGACCTGAAGCCACCCACAACCCAAAGGCTCAAGACCAGGGTCTTCCATCAGTTGGATGTGAACTTTGACTTCAGGGCCGTGAACACATAGTCCTGAGGTCACTCATCTAACAGCTGACACCCCTGGTCTGAGCACACACACCTCATCACTGGACATCTGATATCGTGACCAGAACCCATCTCTGGCCACACTCCCAGCTGAGACTCACCTGGCAGAAAACCAACTACAATCAGCCCTGAAGGGCATCTTTGGAATGGTCAACCCGTAGGTCTGAAAAACGGCATCAGGACAGAGGCAATCTTCCCAACCTTGTCAAGGGACCTTAAGACACAGGCTTCCTCCCTTCCATTCAGTCCACAAGCATGCACTGTGCCTTCAGGACACCCAAAGGGAATGGCTGCTTTCCAACATAATGTCCCTGCCCCAAGGACCAGGCTGACAGGACACACTCCCTTCCAGGGTCCTTGTACTGGTCACACCCACAGGGCTTCTCTGCACAAACTCCGATGCAACACCCCCATCACACAGCCAACTTGACTACACTACCACCCACCACAGCTCCTGCAACTCAACCCCATCACCAGCTCTACATGTACACGGCTACTCGGGATTGTGATCCGTAGATCCAGCAGTCCTTTCCAACATTCCTAATGGAGCTGTGGGCCCCTCAACGTGATATGGCTGTTCTGGATGTGCTGTGGCTTCTAACTGTTTAAGGGAGCTGAAAGGCTTCATCAGCCTAAGGGAGGGGCGGAATGCAACACTGGAACATCACCAACACGGGAGGTGCACGGGCATCCCAAGTGCAGGAACCCACTATGGCAGGCTGCAGGAAATGTATAGGTGTTGCCTGGAATGCACACCGATCTCCTTGGATAGCCACATGTGTGACTGCTGCCAGCAGGACAGTCCTGGGCCAAGGCTCATTCCTTGAGGATGCCTTTGGGATGGGAGCTACTTTCCAAGTGGGAACAAGGATCCAGAACAGTATTTGCTCACATGCACTGCAGCAGGTAGGTCCACCCAGGAATGGCAGATCAAGAGACCATTCTCAATCCCTTCGCAGAGAAGCCCACCACATGATCTGTGTCCTCTTCCTAGGAGCTCACCAAGACAACCCAGGAGCACACGCCCCTAGACCTCTGATATTTCTGTCCGCTTCCACAGCTGCCACGCCATTGCAGAGCAACTGCTCCTCCCAGGACTCTCCCACCTATGTACCCCACTCAAAGGGAATGTTCCTAATGAGCGTGCAATGGGAGACGTTGGTCTGTGGAAGCCCTGGGTGGTGGAACCCATGGGAATCAGTGGAAGTTGGCAGGTGTGCCTCACTCCTACAGTCACCAGGGGTGGAAATGTGCTGGACCTCAGTTCCGATGAGAGCGACGGTATGAATTTTCACTCATTTTGTTCAGCTTTTCCAAGGAATGTTTTTTTGTAGGATTCATCATCGATCCAAGCACATTTGGAAACACAGGATGTTTGACACCACAGGCTGGGCAATGCCTGCCTTGGAAATCCAAAACATGCCCTCACTCAGGACTAGTGGCAGAGGAACCCTTACCGTCCTGAGCCACCTGCTAGCATGCGGTGCACCATGTATGCCAGGGCACACTGACTCCACGGCTCCATGGGGACTCCGTTGCGTGGAAGAATCAACCATCTGTCGAGACAGCACATGGTGGGCCTCTCAAGACAACTGTTTCTGAAAAGTGAAAGATATCAAATGCATGCTTGAGGAAGAGCCCGGTCTACTGCTCACATCAATGTCAATCTTGACCAAGGGGCAGCTTGTACACCTGCGCCTCCTTCAGCCTCACTCCTACAGTCTCCTGAGGAGGCAATGTGCTGGACCTCAGTTCCGATGACAGCGACGGTATGAGTTCTCACTCATTTTGTTCAGCTTTTCCAAGGAATGTTTTTTTTTTTTTGACTCATCATCGATCCAAGCACATTGCAAAGAGGCGGGACACAGGACACCACAGGCTGGGCAGTGGGTGAGCTGATGGTCTTAAAGACCTTCAGCACCATGCAGAACCCAGAGCCATGTTACTAAGCAATGGGCAGACTGTTCATTTCAGGAGTGGAACTCGCCATGCCATCAGTGGCCTGTTGAGAAACTGCTTCTTGCAGGTCTTGGAAATCACAAAGACACCCCCACTCAGCACAGAATGCTTACCATCCTGAGCCATCCACCAGCAGGGGTGCACCATGGAGGCCAGGCCATACTTACTCCAGGACTCCGGGGGCCTTTGTGGACCAGAAGAACTGACCATCTTCCTTGCCAGCGTATGGCGGATGTCCCATGATAACTGCCCCTGAGAAGTGTAAAGAAATCAAATGCCCACCTGAGAAACGAGCCCAGGTTCATTCTCACTTCAACACCATTCTTTCCACAGAGCGTCTCACATGCCTGCTTCTCCTTGGCCTCCGAGATGGACCTCTGTCTATATGAATATACCTGACACGTGTCACTTTCTACACAGCCAGGACATCTAGACACCTAGGAAGACTGTTGTTGCATCTGTCTGCCTGTGGCTGTGCACACCGCCTTGTGTGTGGGTGCGTGTGTGACACTGATACTGTGTGTGTTAGTCTCTCTCATGCACATGTGTTTCGCACCACCACAACGGGCAATCAGAGTCTGCAGCCTCCAGACCTGAGGCCCACCCATAACCCGAAGGCTCAAGACCAAGGTCTTCAATCAGTTGGATGTGAACTTTGACTTCAGGGCCATCAGGACATAGGCCTGAGGTCACTTACCTAACAGCTTCCACCCTTGGTCTGAGCACACACACTTCCCATGGGGCATCTGACATCGTGACCAGACCCAATCTCCGGCCTCACTCCCAGCTGAGGCTCACCTGGCAGAAAACCAACCACAATCAGCCCCGAAGGTTGTCTTTGCAATGGTCAACCGTAGGTCTGAAAAATGGTATCACGCCAGGGGCAGTCAGTCTTCCCAACCTAGTCAAAGAACCTCAAGACACAGGCTCCCTCCCTTCCATTCAGTCCACAAGCATGCACTGTGCCTTCAGGACACCCAAAGGAATGGCTGCTTTCCAACAGGATTTCCCTGCCCCAAGGACCAGGCTGACAGGACACACTGCCTTCCACCGTCCTTGCACTGGTCACACACACGAGGCTTCTCTGCACCAAACTGAGGCAACACCCCAACACGCACCACCACCCACCATACACCACAGCTCCTGCGACTCAACTCAATCACCCGGTCTGCATGCACACGGCTACTCATCAACTGCGACCTGGAGAGCCACCTGTCCTTTCCAACATTCCTAATGCAGCTGTGGGACCCTCGACACGGTATGTCTCTGTCCCGGATGTGCTGTGACTTAAAACTGTTTAAGGGAGCTGAAACGTTTCTCAGCCTTAGGGAGTGGCAGAATGCAACAGTGGAACATCACTAACACGGGAGGTGCACGGGCATCCCAAGTCAAGGAACTCTCTATGGCAGGAGGCTGGAATGGCACACGTGTTGCCTGGAATTCACACAGATCTCCATGGATAGCCCCTTCTGTGACTGATGTCCACGGGAGGACACCCCAGGGCCAGGGCCCATTCCCTCTGGGCGCCTTTAGGATGGAAGCCATGTTTCAAGTGGGAAAGAGGATCCAGAGCAGTACCTGCTCACATGCACTACAGTAGGTAGGGCCGCCCATCAAAGGCAGATCAAGAGACCATTCCCAGGAAGATGTGCACAATGGTGAATCCCACTACACTGTCAGGAAGACTGCAAGACACCCAGTGCCTTGGGTACACGCCTTAGTCTCGTATTCCCTGGGACATGCCTTCTAAGACCGGGCCTGGCCAACTTGTCCTTCTCTAGAGAAATTAATGCAAATTCATCACCACCTAACAAAAACCAAAGACTGCTGATGACACACATGGCCAAGTAAGCCCCCTAGTGCCTGCCTCTTCTCTCCAGTACCCTTTGGCCCAGGCTTCCACCACAGCACCAGGGGCATCTCATGGCTTCAGAAATGAAGAAATCCCTGCTGGGGAGTCTGTGTGGAAAACCACAGAGAATCTGGCTATCTGCCGCAACACCCTACGCTACGCACTGTCCTCCATCACCATTGGCACTCCCCTTTCCTCAGTTCACCAAAAATTGGTACCGAGGCTTGCCTTTGGCCTGGGCCTTATGCTTTTCTGGAAAGATAACTAGGATCCAGCCCCTTCGCAGAGAAGCCCACCACACAGTCTGTGTCCCCCTCCTGGGAGCTCACCAAGCCAAGAGCAGGAGCACACTCCCGAGACTTGTGATATTTCCCTCCACTTCCACGGCTGCCAGGACATTAAAGAGCAACTGATCCCCACAGGACTCTCCCACCTATGTACCTCACTCAAACGGAATGTTCCTAATGAGCGGGTGATGGGAGACGTTGGTCTGTGGAAGCCCTGGGTGGTGGAACCGATGGGAATCAGTGGAAGCTGTCCCTCACTCCTACAGGCCCCGGGGGAGGCAATGTGCTGGACCTCAGTTCCGATGACAGTGCCAGTATGAGTTTTCACTCATTTTGTTCAGCTTTTCCAAGGAATGTTTTTTTTGTGGGACTCATCATCGATCCAAGCACATGTGAAGACACAGGACATCTAACACCACAGGCTGGGCAATGCCTGCCTTGGAAATCAGAAAGATACCCACCCTCAGAACTAGAGGCAGAGGAATCCTTACCGTCCTGAGCCACCTGCCACCACAAGGTGCACGATGGATGCCAGGCCACACTGACTCCACGACTCCATGGGGACTCCGTTGCTTGTAAGAATCGACCATCTGTTGTGGCAGCATGCAGCAGGCCTCTCAAGGCAACTGCCCCTGAGAAGTACAAAGATAACACATGCACACTTGAGGAATGAGCCCAGGTCAATGTCAGTCCTTCCAAAGGGGCAACTGGCACACCTGTTTCTCCTTCTACCTCACTCGTACAGTCCCCGGGGGAGGCAATGTGCTGGACCTCAGTTCCGATGAGAGCGACGGTATGAGTTTTCACTCATTTTGTTCAGCTTTCCAAGGAATGTTTTTTTTTGGACTCATCATCGATCCAAGCACATTGCAAACAAGCAGGACATTTGAAAGAGCAGGCTGGGCAGTGGGAAAGCTGATGATCTTAAAGACCTTCAGTGCCCTGTGGACCCAGAGACATGCCACTGAGCACTGGGCACAGACGGCTCTCTTTAGGAGTGGAAGTCGCCATGCCTTCAGTGCCCTGCTGAGAAACCGCTCCTTGCGGGTCCTGAAATCCCAAAGACACCCCCACCACTCAGCATGCGGTGCAGAGGAACGCTTACGGTCCTGAGCCATCCAACAGCAGGGGTGCACCGTGGAGGCCAGGTCATACCAACACCAGGACTCCAGGCCTTTGTGCCTCAGAAGAGCCAACCATCTTCCTTGCCAGGTTATGGGGGACGTCCCATCATAACTGTCCTTGAGAAGTGTAAAGAAATAAATGCCCATGTGAGAAATGAGCCCAGGATTACTGGTCGCTTCAACACCATTCTTTCCACAGGGCACCTCACATGGCTGTTTCTCCTTGGCCCTCATGATGGACCTCCATCCTCATGAATATACCTCACCCGTGTCACTTTCTACACACCTAGGAAGCCTGATGCTGCTTCTCTCTGGCTGTACATGCCTGTGTGTGTGTATGTGTGTGTGTGTCCCTCATGCCATGTGTTTCCCAACACCGCAACAGACAATTAGTCTGCATCCTCAAGACCTGAAGCCACCCACAACCCAAAGGCTCAAGACCAGGGTCTTCCATCAGTTGGATGTGAACTTTGACTTCAGGGCCGTGAACACATAGTCCTGAGGTCACTCATCTAACAGCTGACACCCCTGGTCTGAGCACACACACCTCATCACTGGACATCTGATATCGTGACCAGAACCCATCTCTGGCCACACTCCCAGCTGAGGCTCACCTGGCAGAAAACCAACTACAATCAGCCCTGAAGGGCATCTTTGGAATGGTCAACCCGTAGGTCTGAAAAACGGCATCAGGACAGAGGCAATCTTCCCAACCTTGTCAAGGGACCTTAAGACACAGGCTTCCTCCCTTCCATTCAGTCCACAAGCATGCACTGTGCCTTCAGGACACCCAAAGGGAATGGCTGCTTTCCAACATAATGTCCCTGCCCCAAGGACCAGGCTGACAGGACACACTCCCTTCCAGGGTCCTTGTACTGGTCACACCCACAGGGCTTCTCTGCACAAACTCCGATGCAACACCCCCATCACACAGCCAACTTGACTGTACTACCACCCACCACAGCTCCTGCAACTCAACCCCATCACCAGCTCTACATGTACACGGCTACTCGGGATTGTGATCCGTAGATCCACCAGTCCTTTCCAACATTCCTAATGGAGCTGTGGGCCCCTCAACGTGATATGGCTGTTCTGGATGTGCTGTGGCTTCAAACTGTTTAAGGGAGCTGAAAGGCTTCATCAACCTAAGGGAGGGGCAGAATGCAACACTGGAACATCACCAACACGGGAGGTGCACGGGCATCCCAAGTCCAGGAACCCACTATGGCAGGCTGCCGGAATGGCACACATGTGGCCTGGAATGCACACCGATCTCCTTGGATAGCCACATGTGTGACTGCTGCCAGCAGGACAGTCCTGGGCCAAGGCTCATTCCTTGAGGATGCCTTTGGGATGGGAGCTACTTTCCAAGTGGGAACAAGGATCCAGAACAGTATTTGCTCACATGCACTGCAGCAGGTAGGTCCACCCAGGAATGGCAGATCAAGAGACCATTCTCAATCCCTTCGCAGAGAAGCCCACCACATGATCTGTGTCCTCTTCCTAGGAGCTCACCAAGACAACCCAGGAGCACACGCCCCTAGACCTCTGATATTTCTGTCCGCTTCCACAGCTGCCACGCCATTGCAGAGCAACTGCTCCTCCCAGGACTCTCCCACCCATGTACCTCACTCAAAGGGAATGTTCCTAATGAGCGTGCAATGGGAGACGTTGGTCTGTGGAAGCCCTGGGTGGTGGAACCCATGGGAATCAGTAGAAGTTGGCAGCTGTCCCTCACTCCTACAGTCACCAGGGGTGGAAATGTGCTGGACCTCAGTTCCGATGAGAGCGACGGTATGAGTTTTCACTCATTTTGTTCAGCTTTTCCAAGGAATGTTTTTTTGTAGGATTCATCATCGATCCAAGCACATTTGGAAACACAGGATGTTTGACACCACAGGCTGGGCAATGCCTGCCTTGGAAATCCAAAACATGCCCTCACTCAGGACTAGTGGCAGAGGAACCCTTACCGTCCTGAGCCACCTGCTAGCATGCGGTGCACCATGTATGCCAGGGCACACTGACTCCACGGCTCCATGGGGACTCCGTTGCATGGAAGAATCAACCATCTGTCGAGACAGCACATGGTGGGCCTCTCAAGACAACTGTTTCTGAAAAGTGAAAGATATCAAATGCATGCTTGAGGAAGAGCCCGGTCCACTGCTCACATCAATGTCAATCTTGACCAAGGGGCAGCTTGTACACCTGCGCCTCCTTCAGCCTCACTCCTACAGTCTCCTGAGGAGGCAATGTGCTGGACCTCAGTTCCGATGACAGCGACGGTATGAGTTCTCACTCATTTTGTTCAGCTTTTCCAAGGAATGTTTTTTTTTTTTTTTGACTCATCATCGATCCAAGCACATTGCAAAGAGGCGGGACACAGGACACCACAGGCTGGGCAGTGGGCGAGCTGATGGTCTTAAAGACCTTCAGCACCATGCAGAACCCAGAGCCATGTTACTAAGCAATGGGCAGACTGTTCATTTCAGGAGTGGAACTCGCCATGCCATCAGTGGCCTGTTGAGAAACTGCTTCTTGCAGGTCTTGGAAATCACAAAGACACCCCCACTCAGCACAGAATGCTTACCATCCTGAGCCATCCACCAGCAGGGGTGCACCATGGAGGCCAGGCCATACTTACTCCAGGACTCCGGGGGCCTTTGTGGACCAGAAGAACTGACCATCTTCCTTGCCAGCGTATGGCGGATGTCCCATGATAACTGCCCCTGAGAAGTGTAAAGAAATCAAATGCGCACCTGAGAAAGAGCCCAGGTTCATTCTCACTTCAACACCATTCTTTCCACAGAGCGTCTCACATGCCTGCTTCTCCTTGGCCTCTGTGATGGACGCCTGTCTATATGAATATACCTGACACGTGTCACTTTCTACACAGCCAGGACATCTAGACACCTAGGAAGACCGTTGTTGCATCTGTCTGCCTGTGGCTGTGCACACCGCCTTGTGTGTGGGTGCGTGTGTGACAGTGATACTGTGCGTGTTAGTCTCTCTCATGCACATGTGTTTCGCACCACCACAGCGGGCAATCAGAGTCTTCAGCCTGCAGACCTGAGGCCCACCCATAACCCGAAGGCTCAAGACCAAGGTCTTCAATCAGTTGGATGTGAACTTTGACTTCAGGGCCATCAGGACATAGGCCTAAAGTCACTTACCTAACAGCTTCCACCCTTGGTCTGAGCACACACACCTCCCATGGGGCATCTGACATCGTGACCAGACCCAATCTCCGGCCGCACTCCCAGCTGAGGCTCACCTGGCAGAAAACCAACCACAATCAGCCCCGAAGGTTGTCTTTGCAATGGTCAACCGTAGGTCTGAAAAATGGTAACACGCCAGGGGCAGTCAGTCTTCCCAACCTAGTCAAAGAACCTCAAGACACAGGCTCCCTCCCTTCCATTCAGTCCACAAGCATGCACTGTGCCTTCAGGACACCCAAAGGAATGGCTGCTTTCCAACAGGATTTCCCTGCCCCAAGGACCAGGCTGACAGGACACACTGCCTTCCACCGTCCTTGCACTGGTCACACACACGAGGCTTCTCTGCACCAAACTGAGGCAACACCCCAACACGCACCACCACCCGCCATACACCACAGCTCCTGCGACTCAACTCAATCACCCGGTCTGCATGCACACGGCTACTCATCAACTGCGACCTGGAGAGCCACCTGTCCTTTCCAACATTCCTAATGCAGCTGTGGGACCCTCGACACGGTATGTCTCTGTCCCGGATGTGCTGTGACTTAAAACTGTTTAAGGGAGCTGAAACGTTTCTCAGCCTTAGGGAGTGGCAGAATGCAACAGTGGAACATCACTAACACGGGAGGTGCACGGGCATCCCAAGTCAAGGAACTCTCTATGGCAGGAGGCTGGAATGGCACACGTGTTGCCTGGAATGCAAACAGACCTCCATGGATAGCCCCTTGGGTGACTGATGTCCACGGGAGGACACCCCAGGGCCAGGGCCCATTCCCTCTGGGCGCCTTTAGGATGGAAGCCATGTTTCAAGTGGGAAAGAGGATCCAGAGCAGTACCTGCTCACATGCACTACAGTAGGTAGGGCCGCCCATCAAAGGCAGATCAAGAGACCATTCCCAGGAAGATGTGCACAATGGTGAATCCCACTACACTGTCAGGAAGACTGCAAGACACCCAGTGCCTTGGGTACACACCTTAGTCTCGTATTCCCTGGGACATGCCTTCTAAGACCGTGCCTGGCCAACTTGTCCTTCTCTAGAGAAATTAATGCAAATTCATCACCACCTAACAAAAACCAAAGACTGCTGATGACACACATGGCCAAGTAAGCCCCCTAGTGCCTGCCTCTTCTCTCCAGTACCCTTTGGCCCAGGCTTCCACCACAGCACCAGGGGCATCTCATGGCTTCAGAAATGAAGAAATCCCTGCTGGGGAGTCTGTGTGGAAAACCACAGAGAATCTGGCTATCTGCCGCAACACCCTATGCTACGCACTGTCCTCCATCACCATTGGCACTCCCCTTTCCTCAGTTCACCAAAAATCAGTACCGAGGCTTGCCTTTGACCTGGGCCTTATGCTTTTCTGGAAAGATAACTAGGATCCAGCCCCTTCGCAGAGAAGCCCACCACACAGTCTGTGTCCCCTTCCTGGGAGCTCACCAAGCCAAGAGCAGGAGCACACTCCCGAGACTTGTGATATTTCCCTCCACTTCCACGGCTGCCAGGACATTAAAGAGCAACTGATCCCCACAGGACTCTCCCACCTATGCACCTCACTCAAACGGAATGTTCCTAATGAGCGTGTGATGGGAGACGTTGGTCTGTGGAAGCCCTGGGTGGTGGAACCGATGGGAATCAGTGGAAGCTGTCCCTCACTCCTACAGGCCCCGGGGGAGGCAATGTGCTGGACCTCAGTTCCGATGACAGTGCCAGTATGAGTTTTCACTCATTTTGTTCAGCTTTTCCAAGGAATGTTTTTTTTGTGGGACTCATCATCGATCCAAGCACATGTGAAGACACAGGACATCTAACACCACAGGCTGGGCAATGCATGCCTTGGAAATCAGAACGATACCCACCCTCAGAACTAGAGGCAGAGGAATCCTTACCGCCCTGAGCCACCTGCCACCACAAGGTGCACGATGGATGCCAGGCCACACTGACTCCACGACTCCATGGGGACTCCGTTGCTTGTAAGAATCGACCATCTGTTGTGGCAGCATGCAGCGGGCCTCTCAAGGCAACTGCCCCTGAGAAGTACAAAGATAACACATGCACACTTGAGGAATGAGCCCAGGTCAATGTCAGTCCTTCCAAAGGGGCAACTGGTACACCTGTTTCTCCTTCTACCTCACTCGTACAGTCCCCGGGGGAGGCAATGTGCTGGACCTCAGTTCCGATGAGAGCGACGGTATGAGTTTTCACTCATTTTGTTCAGCTTTCCAAGGAATGTTTTTTTGTTGGACTCATCATCGATCCAAGCACATTGCAAACAAGCAGGACATTTGAAAGAGCAGGCTGGGCAGTGGGAAAGCTGATGACCTTAAAGACCTTCAGCGCCCTGTGGACCCAGAGACATGCCACTGAGCACTGGGCACAGACGGCTCACTTTAGGAGTGGAAGTCGCCATGCCTTCAATGCCCTGCTGACAAACCGCTCCTTGCGGGTCCTGAAATCCCAAAGACACCCCCACCACTCAGCGTGCGGTGCAGAGGAACGCTTACCGTCCTGAGCCATCCACCAGCAGGGGTGCACCGTGGAGGCCAGGCCATACCAACACCAGGACTCGAGGCCTTTGTGCCTCAGAAGAGCCGACCATCTTCCTTGCCAGGTTATGGGGGACGTCCCATCATAACTGTGCTTGAGAAGTGTAAAGAAATAAATGCCCATGTGAGAAATGAGCCCAGGATTACTGGTCGCTTCAACACCATTCTTTCCAAAGGGCACCTCACATGGCTGCCTCTCCTTGGCCCTCATGATGGACCTCCATCCTCATGAATACACCTCACCCTTGTCACTTTCTACACACCTAGGAAGCCTGATGCTGCTTCTCTCTGGCTGCACATGCCTGTTTGTGTGTGTGTGTGTGTGTGTGTGTGTGTGTCCCTCATGCCATGTGTTTCCCAACACCGCAACAGACAATTAGTCTGCATCCTCAAGACCTGAAGCCACCCACAACCCAAAGGCTCAAGACCAGGGTCTTCCATCAGTTGGATGTGAACTTTGACTTCAGGGCCGTGAACACATAGTCCTGAGGTCACTCATCTAACAGCTGACACCCCTGGTCTGAGCACACACACCTCATCACTGGACATCTGATATCGTGACCAGAACCCATCTCTGGCCACACTCCCAGCTGAGGCTCACCTGGCAGAAAACCAACTACAATCAGCCCTGAAGGGCATCTTTGGAATGGTCAACCCGTAGGTCTGAAAAACGGCATCAGGACAGAGGCAATCTTCCCAACCTTGTCAAGGGACCTTAAGACACAGGCTTCCTCCCTTCCATTCAGTCCACAAGCATGCACTGTGCCTTCAGGACACCCAAAGGGAATGGCTGCTTTCCAACATAATGTCACTGCCCCAAGGACCAGGCTGACAGGACACACTCCCTTCCAGGGTCCTTGTACTGGTCACACCCACAGGGCTTCTCTGCACCAAACTCCGATGCAACACCCCCATCACACAGCCAACTTGACTGTACTACCACACACCACAGCTCCTGCAACTCAACCCCATCACCAGGTCTACATGTACACGGCTACTCGGGATTGTGATCCGTAGATCCACCAGTCCTTTCCAACATTCCTAATGGAGCTGTGGGCCCCTCAACGTGATATGGCTGTTCTGGATGTGCTGTGGCTTCAAACTGTTTAAGGGAGCTGAAAGGCTTCATCAACCTAAGGGAGGGGCGGAATGCAACACTGGAACATCACCAACACGGGAGGTGCACGGGCATCCGAAGTGCAGGAACCCACTATGGCAGGCTGCAGGAAATGTACAGGTGTTGCCTGGAATGCACACCGATCTCCTTGGATAGCCACATGTGTGACTGCTGCCAGCAGGACAGTCCTGGGCCAAGGCTCATTCCTTGAGGATGCCTTTGGGATGGGAGCTACTTTCCAAGTGGGAACAAGGATCCAGAGCAGTATTTGCTCACATGCACTGCAGCAGGTAGGTCCACACAGGAATGGCAGATCAAGAGACCATTCTCAATCCCTTCGCAGAGAAGCCCACCACATGATCTGTGTCCTCTTCCTAGGAGCTCACCAAGACAACCCAGGAGCACACGCCCCTAGACCTCTGATATTTCTGTCCGCTTCCACAGCTGCCACGCCATTGCAGAGCAACTGCTCCTCCCAGGACTCTCCCACCTATGTACCTCACTCAAAGGGAATGTTCCTAATGAGCGTGCAATGGGAGACGTTGGTCTGTGGAAGCCCTGGGTGGTGGAACCCATGGGAATCAGTGGAAGTTGGCAGGTGTCCCTCACTCCTACAGTCACCAGGGGTGGAAATGTGCTGGACCTCAGTTCCGATGAGAGCGACGGTATGAGTTTTCACTCATTTTGTTCAGCTTTTCCAAGGAATGTTTTTTTGTAGGATTCATCATTGATCCAAGCACATTTGGAAACACAGGATGTTTGACACCACAGGCTGGGCAATGCCTGCCTTGGAAATCCAAAACATGCCCTCACTCAGGACTAGTGGCAGAGGAATCCTTACCGTCCTGAGCCACCTGCTAGCATGCGGTGCACCATGGATGCCAGGGCACACTGACTCCACGGCTCCATGGGGACTCCGTTGCGTGGAAGAATCAACCATCTGTCGAGACAGCACATGGTGGGCCTCTCAAGGGAGGGGCGGAATGCAACACTGGAACATCACCAACACGGGAGGTGCACGGGCATCCCAAGTCCAGGAACCCACTATGGCAGGCTGCTGGAATGGCACACATGTGGCCTGGAATGCACACAGACCTCCAGGGATAGCCCCATGTGTGACTGATGCCCACGGGAAAGTCCTGGGACTGGGCACATTTCCTGTGGACGCCTTTGGGATGGGAGCTACTTTCCAAGTGGGAAGGAGGATCCAGAGGAGTATTTGCTCACATGCACTACAGTAGGTGGGGCCACCCAGCAAGGGCAGATCAAGAGACCATTTCCAGGAAGATGTGCACAATGATGAATCCCACTTCACTGTCAGGAAGACTGCAAGAGACTCAGGGCCATGGGCAAGAGCCCAACCCTTTTATTCCCAGGCACCTGCCTTCTAAGACCTCCACTGGCCAACTTCTCCTCCACTAGAGAAATTAATGGAAAGCCCATGACCACTGAATGAGACTCCAAAACTGCTGATGACACAGGTGTCCAAATAAGAACCCTGCTGCCTCTTCTCTGGGGTACTTTCCAACCCAGGCTTCCACCCTGACACCAGGGGAATGTCACAGCTAAGGGAATGAAGAAATCCCTGACAGGGCCTGGACATCTTTGCACAGTCATACTGTTGGTCTGAAAAATGGCATCAGGCCAGAGGCAATCTCGCTAAGAGGCTCTGGCTCTCTGCCGTGACACCCTTTGCTGTGCATTGTCCACCAACACCCTTGGCATTGCCTTGTCCTCACTCATCAAAAATCAGTACCAAGGTCTGCCTGAGGTCTTGGCCTTATGCTCTCCCAGAAAGAAAACAAGGACCCAGACCTCTGCATAGAGATCCAACTACAAGGTCCAGGTCTCCCTTCCTGGGAGCTCACCAAGCCAAGACCTGGAGCACAAATACCAGACCTAGGGTATTTCTGTCTGCTTCCACGGCAGCCACGCCATTATAGAACAGTAGGTAACAGAGCAGCCATTACTCCAAGGCTGCTCCCACACATATACCTCACACAAATGGAAAGTTCCTAACAAGCATGTGATGGAAGACCCTGGTCTGTGGAAGCCATGGGTGGTAGAATCTGTGGGAATCTGTGAAGTTGTCCCTCACTCCTACAGTCCCTGGGGAGGCAATGTGCTGGACCTCAGTTCCGATGAGAGCGACGGTATGAGTTTTCACTCATTTTGTTCAGCTTTTCCAAGGAATGTTTTTTTGGAGGATTCATCATCGATCCAAGCACATTTGAAGACACAGGATGACATCTGACACCACAGGCTGGGCAATGCCTGCCTTAAAAATCAGAAAGATACCCACACTCAGCACAAGGGGCAGAAGAATCCTTACCGTCCTGAGCCACCCGCCAGCACAAGGTGCACCACGGATGCCAGGCCACACTGGCTCCATGGCTCCATAGGGACTCCATTGCTCGGAAGAATTGACCACCTGTTGTGGCAGCACGTGGTGGGCCTCTCAAGGCAACTGCCCCTGAGAAGTGCAAACATATCAAATGCACACTTGAGAAATGAGCCCAGGTCCGCTGGTCACGACAATGTCAATCTTGCCAAAGGGGCAACTCGTAGACCTGCTTCTCCTTGGACCTCACTCCTAACAGTCTCCGGGGAGGCAATGTGCTGGACCTCAGTTCCGATGAGAGTGACGGTATGAGTTCTCACTCATTTTGTTCAGCTTTTCCAAGGAATGTTTTTTTGTTGGACTCATCATCGATCCAAGCACATTGCAAAGAGGCAGGACATTTGACCCATCAGGCTGGGCAGTGGGAAAGCTGATGGCCTTAAAGACCTTTGGAACCCTGCAGAACCCAGAGCTATGCCACTAAGCAATGGGCACAAACCATTCACTTTAGGAGTGGAACTCGCCATGCTTTCAGTGGCCTGCTGAGAAACAGCTCCTTGCAAGTCTTGGAATTCCCACAGACACCCCCACTCAGCACACGGAGCAGAGGACTCCTTACCGTCCTGAGCCATCCACCAGCAGGGGGTGCACCATGGATGCCAGGCCATAATGACTCCAGGACTCTGGGGGCCTTTGTGTCCAGAAGAACTGACCATCTTCCTTGCCAGCATGTGGCAGATGTCCCATGATAACTGCCCCTGAGAAGTGTAAAGAAATCAAATGCCCACTTCAGAAATGAGCCCAGATTTACTGGTATCTCAAAGTCATTCTTTCTACAGGGCAACTCACATGCCTGCTTCTTCTTGGCCTCCATAATGGACCTCCATTTTTATGAATATACCTGTTCCATGTATTTGTAGACACCTGGGAAGTCTTGTCACCTAGGAAGCCTGTTGCTATGTCTCTCTGCCTGTGGCTGTGCACATGTGTTTGTGTATGTGTCTGATAGTGTGAGTGTCTGAGTTTCTCTCCCTCATGCACATGTATTTCCCAACACTGCAATAGGTGATCAGAGTCTGCAGCCTCCAGACCTGAAGCCCACCCACAACCCAAAGGCTCAAGACCAATGCTTGCAATCAGTAGATTGTGAATTTTGACTTCAGGGACATGAGGACCTAGGCCTGAGGTCATTCACCTAACAGCTACCTCCCCTGGTCTGAGCACAAATACCTCCTCATGGAGCTTCTGGTACTCTGACCAGACCCCATCTCTGGCAACATTCACAGCTGAGGCTCACCTGGCAGAAAACCAATCATAAACAGCTCTGAATGGCATCTTTGAAATGGCCAACCTGTAGATCTGAAAAATGGCATCAGGCCAGAGGCAGTTTTCCCAACCTAGGTAAAGGACCTCAAGACATGGGCTTCCTCCCTTCCATTCAGTCCACATGCCTACACTGCGCCTTCAGGAAACCCAAAGGGAATGGCTGCTTTCCAACATAATGTCCCTGCCCCAAGGACCAGGCTAACAGGACACACTCCCTTCCCTGGGTCCTTGTACTGGTCACACCCACAGGGCTTCTCTGCACCAAACTCCGATGCAACACCCCATCACACAGCCAACTTGACTACACTACTGCCCACCAGAGCTCCTGAAACACCATCACCAGGTCTACATGTACACGGCTACTCAGGATTGTGATCCGTAGATCCAGCAGTCCTTTCCAACATTCCTAATGGAGCTGTGGGCCCCTCAACATGATATGGCTGTGCTGGATGTGCTGTGACTTCAAACTGTTTAAGGGAGCTGAAAGGCTTCATCAACCTAAGGGAGGGGCGGAATGCAACACTGGAACATCACGAACACGGGAGGTGCACGGGCATCCCTGGAATGCACACAGACCTCCATGGATAGCCCCTTGTGTGACTGATGCCCATGGGAGAAGAGTCCATGGCCAAGGACAGGGTACAATCCCTCTGGATGCCTCTTGGATGGAAGCTACATTCCAAGTGGGAAAGAGGATCCAGAGCAGTATTTCCTCTGGTAATGCCAGCAACAGCAGGTCAAGAGACCATTTCCAGGAAGATGTGCACAGTAGTGGAGCCCACTACACCGTCAGGAAGACCACAAGAGACCCAGGGCCAGAGGCACGAGCCTGACCCTTGTATTCCCTGGGATTTGCCCTCTATGACCCCCACCGGCCACTTGTTCTCCCCAGTAGAGAAATTAATGGAAACCCATCACCACCAAATAGCCCAAGACTTCTGATGACACAGGTATCCACATAAGCCCCCCACCAGCTCTTCCCTCGGGCAGCTTCCAGCCCAGGCCTCCACCATGGCACCAGAGGCATCTCACACCTCAGGGAATGAAGAAATGCATGCCTCTATGACTGAATGCTGGAGTGCCATAGAGCTTCTGACTATCTGCCATGACACCCTTTGCTGCGCACTGTCCCCCATCACCTTAGCACTCCCTGGTCCTCAGCTCTTCAAAAATCAGTGCCAAGTTCTGACTGAGGCCTGGGCATTATGCTCTCCCCAGCAAGAAAAACAAGGATCCAGTCCTGTGCGCAGAGATGTACACCATGAGGTGTGGGTCTCCTTTCCTGGGAGCTCACCAAGCTAGGACCAGGAGCACACTCCCCTTGGCCTGCAACATTTCCGTCCACTTCCATGGCAGCCACACCATTACACAGCAGCCATTCCCCCCGGGACTCTGCCACCTATGTACCTCACCAAGAGGGAATGTTCCTAACTAGCATTTGATGGGAACCTTTGGCCTCTGAATGCCCCGGGTGATGGAACCTATGGGAATCAGTGAAGTTGTCCCTCACTCCTACAGTCCCTGGGGGGAGGCAATGTGCTGGACCTCAGTTGTGATGAGAGCAACGGTATGAGTTTTTACTCATTTTGTTCAGCTTTTCCAAGGAATGTTTTTTTGAGGGACTGATCATCGATCCAAGCACATTCCAAGAGGTAGGACGTTTGACACCACAGGCTGGGCGGTGGGCAAGCCGATGACCCTAAAGACCTTCGGCACGCTGGGGAACCCAGAGCCATGCCACTGAGCAATGGGCACAGACCATCGACTCAGGGAGTGGAACTCGCCATGCCATTAGTGACCTCCTAACAAACAGCTCTTTCTGGGTCTCAGAAATTTGAACGACACCTGTGCACACAGGGCAGAGAAATGATTACCGTCCTGAGCCACCCACCAGCACGGGGTGCACTGCAGACAGCACGCCACACTGAATCAAGGACTCAATGCAGCCTCTATAGGTCAGAAGACTAGATCATCTTCCTTGCCAGCAAGCAGCAGAGCTTTCATGATTAACTGATCCTGAGAAGTGTGAATAAATCAAATGCACACTTGAGAAACAGGCCCAATTAAATTGAAGGTCTGCTGATCACTTCAATTCCATTCAATGTGCTGGACCTCAGTTCCGATGAGAGCGACGGTATGAGTTTTCACTCATTTTGTTCAGCTTTTCCAAGGAATGTTTTTTTGTAGGACTCATCATCGATCCAAGCACATTTGAAAACACAGGATGTTTGACACCACAGGCTGGGCAATGCCTGCCTTGGAAATCGACAAGATACCCTCACTCAGCACTCAGGGGAGGAATGCTTACCATGCTGAGCCACCTGCCAGCATGAGGTGCACCATGGATGCCAGGCCACACTGACTCCACGACTCCATAGGGACTCCACTGCTTGGAAGAATCAACCATGTGTTGCGGCAGCACATGGTGGGCATCTCAAGGCAACTTCCCCTGAGAAGTGCAAAGATATCACATGCACGCTTTAGGAATGATCCCGAGGCCACTGGTCATGTCAATGTCAGTGTTTCCCAAGGGGCAACTTATACACCTGCTTCTCGTTGTCCCTCACTCCTACAGTCCCCAGGGGAGAGAATGTGCTGGACCTCAGTTCCGATGAGAGCGACGGTATGAGTTTTCACTCATTTTGTTCAGCTTTTCCAAGGAATGTTTTTTTAGGGGACTCATCATCGATCCAAGCACATTGCCACAAGGCAGGACGTTTGACACCACAGGCTGGGCAGTGGGCGTGTCAATGACCTTAAAGACCTTCGGCACCCTGTGGAACCCGGAGCTGCACCACTGAGCAATGGTCACAGACTACTCACTTCAGGAGTGGAACTCACCATGCTATCAGTGGCCTGCTGAGAAGCAGCTCCTTGAAGGTCTTAGAAATCCCAACGACACCCCCACCCAGCACGTGGAGCAGAGGAATGCTTACCGTCCTGACCTGTCCACCAGCACGGGGTGCACCGTGGAGGCCACGCCACTCCGAATCCAGGTATCCTCTTCCGATGCTCCGAAAAATTGAGCATCTTCCTTTCAGGACGCGGTGGGCCTCCCATGGCAACTGCCCCTGACCAGTGTAAGGAAATCAAATGCATGCTTGAGAAATGGGCCCAGGTCCGATGCTCAACACTTCTATCCGTCCCTTCACACGGGGCAACTCACACCTCTTATTCCTTGGCTTCCATAACTGACCTCCATCTCCAGGAATATACCTTACACGTGTTACTCTGTGGACATCTAAAAGCGTAAGCGGTCACACAAGCCCACAGCTGCATGTATTTGCATGCCTGTGTGTGTGTGTCTCTCTCTCTCATGCACGTATGTTTCCTAACACATCTTTCCCAACATTACAATAGGCGGTCACAGTCTGCAGCCTCCTGGCCTGACACCGCCAACCCAGCAGCTCAAGACCAAGACCTTCAATCAGAAGGAAGCGAATTCCGACTTGGAGACCATGCGGTCACAGGCCTGAGGTCAGTCGCTTAATAGCCAGGGGAATACATGCTTCTCCTCACAGGACATCTGAGGACACAAACAGACACTGTCTCTCGTCGCCCTCTCAGGTGAGGCGCACCTGGTGGAAAATCAACACAACCTGAGCTGGAGGGTGACTTTGCAATGGCTAGCACATTGGTCTGAAACATGGTGTCAAGGCCAGAGGTGGTCTCCCCAACCTAGCCAAAGGACCTCAAGACAGGGGCTTCCTCCCCTTCACTCAGTCCACATGCCTGCACCGTGTCCTCTGGACACGCAAAGGGAATGGCCGCTTTTCCAATGGGATGTCCCCGCCCACCTCAGGCTCCAAGGACCAGGTGGACAAGACATACCACCTTTCACTTTCCTTGTGTCGGACACACCCACAGGGGGCTTCCCTGCACTGACCTCTGAGGCAACCTCCCACTATGTAGCCAACTTGACTGCAGTAGCACCCGCCCCAACACCTGAAGCTTAACACTGCCTGAGCACTACCACTGGGTATGCATGCTGGCAGCTAGTCAGTGAGCTGCGAGCTCAGAACCACCAATCCCTTTCAATTTCCCTAAGCCACTCGTGTGCCCTTCAACATGGCATGGCTATGCTGGCTGCGCTGAGACTTCAAACCAGGTAAGGGAGCTGAAACAGTTCATCACCCCTAGGGTGTAGAATCCAACACTTAAATTATCGCCAACCCACAGAGGTATGACGCATCCTAAGTCAAGGGACTCCGTGGCAGCACCCCTGGGATTGCACATGTGTTGCCTGGAATGCACATGGACCTCCAAGGACAGCCCCAAGTGTGACTAGTGCCCACGGCAGAGACCTGGGCCAGAGCCAGGGTCGGGGAACATTCACTCTGGATGCTTATAGGATGGAAGCTGCTTTCAAAGCAGGAAAGAGGATCCAGAGACTCATATAAGCTGCAGCTGGTGGGGGTGCCCACCAATGTGGGCCAAAACACCTTTTCTAGGAAGAATTACACAATAGAGGAGCCCACTACTGTGCTGGGAAGACAGGAAGTGACCCAGGGACATGGGCACCAACCTGACCCTCATGCTCCCCAGGACCTGCCCTCGAAGACCCCTGAGGCACCAGAGAAATCCATGGAAAGCCCATCACCACTGAATGACAGCCCAAGCCTGCTGATGACACTCATGTCCATGTGAGTGCTCAACCACCTTTTGTCTGGAATACCTTCCTGCCCAGGATTCCGCCACTGCACCACAGGCATCTCACAGCTTGGGAGGTAAAGAAATCCCTTCCAAGCAGGAGCTCCTGTGACCAATCTGCAGGTGGGCAGAAGAGGCTTTTGCCATTTAGCCTGACATTCATTGCTCAGCACTCTCCCCTATCACTTTGGCACTCTACTGTCCTCAACTAATCCAAAATCAAGGCCAAAGTCTACCTGAGGCCTCGGTCTTGGGTTCTCATCCACATGAAAACAGAGACCTGGTTGTCTGCACTGAGATGACCACTGCGAGTCTGGATCTCCCTTCCTGGGAGCTCACCAGCAGCATACTCCCCTAAGCCAGCGATGTTTCTGCCTGCCCTAGGCCTGCAACATTTCCACCGGCTTCCAATGCCAACACGCCATCACACATCTGCGAAATCCCCTATGACTCTCACAAAAAGAATGTTCCTAACGTGACTGTGACATGAGACTTTCGGCTGTGGATGCCCTGGGTGGGGGATCCTACAGGAATCAATGGAAGCTGTCCCTCACTCCTACAGTCCCAGGGGAGACAATGTGCTGGACCTCAGTTCCGATGAGAGCGACGGTATGAGTTTTCACTCATTTTGTTCAGCTTTCCAAGGAATGTTTTTTTTGGGAATTCATCATCGATCCAAGCACATTTGAAGACAGGACATTTGATACCACAGGCTGGGCAATGCCTGTCTTGGAAATCCGAAAGATACCCTCACTCAGCATGAGGGGAGAGGAATGCTCACCGTCCTGAGACACCCGCCAGCATGAGATGCACCATGGATGCCAGGCCATAATGACTCCACGACTCCGTGGGGACTCCGTTGCTCAGAAGAAACAACCATCTGTCAGGCCAGCATGCGGTGGGCCTCTCAAGCAAGGCAACTGCCCCTGAGAAATGCAAAGGTAACATACACACGCTTGAGGAACAAGCCCAGGTCCATCAGTCACATCAGTGTCAGTCTTTCCCAAGGGACAACTCGTACAGCTGCTTCTCCTTGTCCCTCACTCCTACAGTCCCCAGGGGAGGCAATGTGCTGGACCTCAGTTCCGATGAGAGCGACGGTATGAGTTTTCACTCATTTTGTTCAGCTTTCCAAGGAATGTTTTGTTTGGGAATTCATCATCGATCCAAGCACATTTGAAGACACAGGACATTTGATACCACAGGCTGGGCAATGCCTGTCTTGGAAATCCGTAAGATACCCTCACTCAGCATGAGGGGAGAGGAATGCTCACCATCCTGAGCCACCTGCCAGCATGAGATGCACCATGGATGCCAGGCCATAATGACTCCACGACTCCGTGGGGACTCCATTGCTCAGAAGAAACAACCATCTGTCAGGCCAGCATGCGGTGGGCCTCTCAAGGCAACTGCCCCTGAGAAATGCAAAGGTAACATACACACGCTTGAGGAACAAGCCCAGGTCCACCAGTCACATCAATGTCAGTCTTTCCCAAGGGACAACTCGTACAGCTGCTTCTCCTTGTCCCTCACTCCTACAGTCCCCAGGGGAGGCAATGTGCTGGACCTCAGTTCCGATGAGAGCGACGGTATGAGTTTTCACTCATTTTGTTCAGCTTTCCAAGGAATGTTTTTTTTGGGAACTCATCATCGATCCAAGCACATTTGAAGACACAGGACATTTGATACCACAGGCTGGGCAATGCCTGTCTTGGAAATCCGTAAGATACCCTCACTCAGCATGAGGGGAGAGGAATGCTCACCATCCTGAGACACCGCCAGCATGAGATGCACCATGGATGCCAGGCCATAATGACTCCACGACTCCGTGGGGACTCCATTGCTCAGAAGAAACAACCATCTGTCAAGCCAGCATGCAGCGGGCCTCTCAAGGCAACTGCCCCTGAGAAATGCAAAGATAACATACACACGCTTGAGGAACAAGCCCAGGTCCATCAGTCACATCAATGTTAGTCTGTCCCAAGGGACAACTCGTACAGCTGCTTCTCCTTGTCCCTCACTCCTACAGTCCCCAGGGGAGGCAATGTGCTGGACCTCAGTTCCGATGAGAGCGACGGTATGAGTTCTCACTCATTTTGTTCAGCTTTTCCAAGGAATGTTTTTTTGGGGGACTCATCATCGATCCAAGCACACTTGAAGGGGAGAATGTCTGACACTGTAGGGTGGACAGTGGGCGAGCCGATGACCTTAAAGACCTTCGGCACTCTGGGGGAGCCAGAGCCACCCCACTGACCAATGGACATAGAGCCTCCACTCTGGGAGTGGAACTTATCATGCCATTCGCTGCTAAGAAACAGCTCCGTGCAGGTCTAGGACATTCAAAAGCCAGCTTCATTCAACACACGGGGCAGAGGAATGCTTACCATCCTGAGACATCCATCAGCAGGGGTGTACAGTGGATGCCAGGCCACAGTGGCTGCAGGACTCTGCAGGGCCTCTATTGCTCACAAGAATCGACCATGTTCCTTTCCAGCAAGCAGTGGACCTCCCATGGCAACTTCTCTGGGGAATTGTAAAGAAATAAATACATGCTTAAGAAACAGGCTTGGGTCCATTGCTTACCACTTCCATGCCATTCTCTCCCATGGGTCAACTGATGTACCTTCTTGTCCTTCCCCTCCATGACTGACCTCTCTCTTTATGAATGTACCTTACCTGTGTCACTCTGTGGATACCTAGGGGAGCACGTGTGCCTACACGCGCCCATTTCTGCGTCTATTTGCCTGTTTCTGTGGGCTCCTGTGTGTGTGTGTGTGTAATTCTGTGTCTATGTGTTGTGTTTGTGAGTTTCATTTTGTGTGTGTCTCCCTTCCCGGGTGCACATATGCTTCCCAACACCGCAAAGGGCCCTCATAGTCTGCAGCCTCCAGTCCTGACCCTTGGCAACCTGACAGCTAAAGACCAAGGCCTTCCATCACTAGGGTGTCAACTCTGATGTCAGGCCATGCAACATAGGTCTAAGGTCCCTCACCTAACAGCCGCCACCCCTAGCGTGAGCACACACTCTTCCTCATGGGACATCTGATCTCTTGATCTGACATTGTCTCTTGCTGCTCTCCCTGCTGAAGTGTACTTAGCTGGACACCAACAAAAAGCAGCACTAGAGACTGTCATCGAAATGCCCAGCATGGTCTGAAACTGGGCATCAAGCCCAGAAGCCGTCTTCCCATGTAGCCAAAAGACCTCAAAACATGAGCTTCTACCCTGCCACTCAGTCCTGGTGCCTGCACCATACCTTCAGGACATCCAAACGTAACACCTCCTTTTCCTACACGATGTCCTGCCTGATCCTACAAGTAGCAGGCAGACAGGACACACTATCTTCTATCATGCTTGCCTTGGTCACATCCACAGGACTTTTATGCACTGACCTCTCGGGCAACGTCCTGTCAGGCAGCGAACGCGACCACACTAACACCCACCCCAATGTCTCCAAGTCAACACTGCCTCAACAGCACCACCAGGACTAATATTGCCAACATATCCATACCACCCAAAGTTACTTAAACTCAGTGTAATTACTATCAAAATCACAATCACAGTTTTCCAGAAATAGAGAAAAAATTCATGCAGTTTATCTGGATCCACAAAAGACCCAAAAAAGCTAAATCAATATTGAGCTTGAAAAACACAGAGGTGGAGTCACTTCCTGATTTCCAAGTATATAAAAAAGCTATAGTAATTTGAAATAATATAATATTAGCAAAAACCAGACATAATCTACTGGAAAAGAATGAAGCACATCTCTACTGAAAAATAAAGATTCAAAAACAATTAGCTAGATGTATTGGCACGTGCCCGTGGTCCCAAGAGCCTGGGTGGGAGGATCTGTGGCACCTAGGAAGTTGGGACTGCAGTGAGCCATGATTTTGGCACTGCTCTCCATGCTGAGCAATAGAGCAAGATTTGATTCAAAAAAAAGAAGGAAGGAAGGAAGGAAGGAAACAATTCACAACACAGAAAGAACTCAGATTACTCAACAACAACAAAAACCCTGGTTTTTAAAAAGGGGCAGTGTAATTGAACAGGGTTTTTTATCCCAAAGAAGATAAACATATGGGCCAGGCACAGTGATTCATGCTTGTAATCCCAGCACTTTGGGAGGCTGAGGCAGGTGGATCACAGTGGCAGGAGTTCAAGACCGATCTGGCCAAGATGGTGAAACCCAGTCTCTACTAAAAAAAAAAAAAAATACAAAAATTACCTGGGCATGGTGGCAGGCACCTTTAATCCCAATTACTTGGGAGGCTGAGGCAGGGAACAGCTTGAACCTGGGAGGTGGAGTTTTCAGTGATCCGAGATTGCACCACTACATTTCAACCTGGGTGACAGAGCAAGTATCCATCTCAAGAAAAAAAAAAAAAATAGAAAAGATAAACAAATGGCCAATATGTATATGAAAACATGCTCAGTGTCACTAAGTACTAGACAAATGCAAATCCAATGCATAATGAGATATCACCTCACATGCAAACAACAAGCTGGGCGTGGTAGCTCAGGTCTGTAATCCCAGCACTTTGGGAGGCTCAGGTGAGTGGATCACCTGAGGTGAGGAGTTCAAGACCAGCCTGGCCAACATGGTGAAACCCTGTCTCTACTAAAATACAGAAATTAGCTGGGCGTGGTGGCAGACGCCTGTAATTCCAGCTAGTTGGGGAGGTAGAGGCAGGAGAATCACTTGAACCCAGGACGCAGAGGTTGCAGTGAGCTGAGACCATGCCATTGTACTCAAGCCTCGGCAACAGGAGCAAAATAGGAAACAGCAACTGATGTTCAGGGGACAGGGAATTGGAACCTCTGCATGCTGCTGATGGGAACATAAAATGGTGTAGACACTGGAAAATGTATGGTGGAGGCACCTGCAAAATCACAAACAGCATTACTATATGATCCAGAAATCCCACTTTTGGGTACATATCCAGAGTAATTCGAAGCAGGATCTCAAAGATACACCTGCATATCCACGTTTAGTAGAGCATGATTCACAATACCAAAGAGGCAGAAGCAACCCAAAGGCGCAAAGCAGATACGTAAAGAAAAGGTAGTATATCCACAAAATAGAATTTTATTTTCGTAAAGGAGGCACTTTCTAGGTATAGTACCATATCACTGTCAAACAGATGTCACTAAGAACCTATGCATTTGACTGAGGGCTAATATCCCGAATCTATAGGACACTTAAATAAATTGGCAAGCAAAAATCAACCCCATTAAAAGGCAAATTTCAGAGGAAGACATAGAATGGTCAACAAACATGAAAAAAATGTGCTCATATCACTAATCATCCAGAGAAATTTAAACCAAAACCACAATAAGGGCCAGATGCGGTGGCTCACACCTGAAATCCGAACACTGTGGGAGGCCAAGGTGGTGTATCACTTGGGATCAGGAGTTCGAGATCAGCCTGGCCAACGTGGTGGAACCCAGTCTCTACTAAAAATACAACAATTAGTCAGGTGTGGTGGCACATGTCTGCAGTCCCAGCTACTCAGGAGGCGGAGGCAGGAGAATCACTTGAGCCCAGGAAGTGTAGGCTGCAGTGAGCCGAGATGAGACCACTGTACTCCAGCCTGGGGGACTCTGTCTTTAAAAAAAAACAAAAAAACACAGTAATATAATGTCTGACAGCAATAAGAAGAGTAACTATTATTAAAAGTTAAAAAACAAAAGGTCCTGGCAAGGCTGAAGAAAAAGGGGAATGTTTAAAGGCTGTTGGTGGGAATGTAAATCAGTCTGATCCCTGTGGAAAACAGTCTGAGGATTTCTCAAAGAACTTAAAACAGAGCTACAATTTCACCCAAAATTCCTGTTTCTGGGTATATACCCCAAGAAAAATAAACCATTCTACCAAAAAGACACATGCACTCACATGTTCATCATTGTGGTATGTACAATAGCGAAGACACACAATCAACCCAGGTACCCAGGACTGGTTGTGTTAGTCAGGGTTGTCTAGAGGGACAGGACTAATAGGATCAATGTATATATAAAAGGGAGTTAATTAAAGAGTATTGGCTCACACGATCACAAGCTGAAGTCCCTCTGCAAGCTGAAGAACAAGGAAGCCAGTCCGAGTCCCAAAAACCTCAAAAGCTGGGAAGCCGCAGTGTAACCTTCAGTCTGTGGCTGAAGGCCTAAGAGCCCCTTGCAAACAACTGGTGTAAGTTTAAGAGTACAAAAGATGAAGAACTTGGAGTCCAATGTTCCAGGGCAGGAAGCATCCAGCACAGGTGAAAGACGAAGGCTGGAAGACTCAGCCAGGTAAGTCCTTCCATATTCTTCTGCCTGAGTTATTCTACCAGCACTAGGAGCTGATTAGATTGTGCCCACCCAGATTGAGGGTGAGTCTGGCTCTCCCAGTTCACTGACTCAAATGTTAATCTCCTTTGGCAACACCCTCACAGACATGTCCAGTAAAAACACTTTGTTTCCTTCAATCCAACCAAGTTTGACACTCAATATTAACCATCACACTGGTAGACTGGACATAGAAAATATGGAGCATTTTCACCATGGAATACTATGTAGCCATAAAAAAGAATGAAATAATGTTGTTTGCAGCACATGAATAGAGCTGGAGGCCATAATCCTAAACCCACTTAAATACCACACATTCTCACTTACAAGTGGGAGCTAAATATTGAGCACACATGAACATAAATATGGGAACAAGAGACAAATACTAGAGGGTACCATGTGGGTGATGGATTAAAAAACTACCTATGGGCTAGGTGTGGTGGCTCACATCTGAAATCCCAGCACTTTGGGAGGCCAAAGAAGGTGGTTCCCTTGAGACCAAGAGTTCGAAACCAGCCTGACCAACATGGTGACACCCCATCTGTACAAGAAAGCAAAAACCAAAATTAGCCAGGTGTGGTAATGTACACCTGTAATCCCACCTACTTGGGAGGCTGAGCTACAAGAATTGTTTGAACCTGGAAGGTGGAGGTTGCAGTAAGTATAGAGATTATGCCACTGCACTCCAGCCTGGGTAACAGAGTGAGACTGTCTTGGAAAAAAAAAAAACCCATCTATCAAGTGTCCTTAAAAAAGGAAGAAAGAATATATGAAGATACAGAATCACCTTAAACGCTCATCAGTGATAGACTGGATTAAAAAATATGGTACTTATAACCAAGTAATACTATATAACCATAAAAAAGTAAGATCATGTCCTTTGCAGCAACATAAATGGAGCTGGAGGCCATTATCCTAACGGAACTAAAACAGGAACAGAAAATCTAATAAGCAGGCTCTCAATGTAAGTTGGATCTAAACACTGAGTTCATATGGACATAAAGAAGAAAACAACAAGCACTGGTGCCTACTTGAAGGTAGAAGGCAGGAGAAGGGTGAGGATAAAAAAACTACCTATCAGGTACTATGCTTGTTACCTTGGTGATAAAATAATCTGTACACCAAACCCCCATGACTCAGAATTTACCTATATAACAAACTTGCATGTGTACTCCTAAACCTAACCATTAACATTAAAAAGAGAATGATGTATCATTAACTAGACAATAAAGATAAAGTAAAATAAAACATAAACATTCACTAGAAAAATTCATCACACTATTTGAGCTAGCAGGACAAGGCAATCAGCAAATTTGAATATAGGACAGTTGAGGTGATCCAGTCACCTCAATTGTGAGGCAGAAAGAAAAAGGAAAAACAGAGCTTTAGACAGCTGAGGAGCACAAGCGTATCAACATGTACATAAAAGTCACAGTAGAAAGTGGCAGCAACAGTTTGAAAAACAAAAGCCAAAAATTTCAGCAATAGAAAAACATTTATGAATGTGTACACTGAGTCAAATGAACTTGACTTACTCAAGTGAAATCTATGTAAAGAAATCTATACATAGAGACGTCATAGTAAAAATGTCAAAAAGTCAAAGTCTTCAAAACATGAAGAGAAGAAAAACACGATAGGCACAAGGAATCCTCAATGAGACTAACAGCTGATTTCTCACCAGACACTCTTGAGGCCATAAAAGACTGAGATGACAGATTCAGACTATTTGAAAGAAAAAGAAATAAGACTGTCTACTCATAAATCTTGAAACACCAAAATTGCTCTTCAAAAATAAAAAAGACATTCCTAAATCCACAAAACCTGAGAGAATTTGTTGTCAAAATACCTATTGTACCAGAAAAATTAGATGGAGACTTCGGCCTTAAATAAAATAGCACTAGACATTAACTTTGATCCATGTGAAGAAATGCACAGGACCAGTAAGATAATTATGAGGTAAATATAAAAGATGGTATAAATGTTTGAACAATAACATACAAAAGGTAGGCTGAGAAAGCAACAGAGCTATATTGAAAAATTTCTGTATGCTATTAAAATTAATATTAAATCTAAGCTATGTTATAAAGTAACAAAATAACTATAATCTCACAGGCAACCACTAATAAGTAAATACAAAAAATTCGACAGAAAATTAAAGTAATACACTATTAAATATGCATTTAACATAAAAAAAACAGCAATAAGACTAAGAAAAATGAAACAAATATATGCTATAAATAGAAAACAGAGGTGGGGCGTGGTGGCTCACACCTGTAATATCAGCACTTTGGGAGGCTGAGGTGGGTGGATCACGAGGTCAGCAGTTCAAGATCAGACTGGCCAAGATGGTGAAACCCCGTCTCTACTAAAACCACAAAAATTAGCCAGGAACAGTGGCAGGCACCTGTAATCCCAGCTACTTAAGAGACTGAGGCAGGAAAGTTGCTTGAACCCAGGCAGAGGGGTTGCAGTGAGCCAAGATCATACTACTATACTCTACACTAGCGACAAAGTGAGACTTCATCCCAAAACAACAACAACAACAACAAAAACCAAAATACAAAACTAGACTAGAAAATGGCAGATGCGAATTTTACCTTATCAGCAATTACAATAAATGTTCACGAAGTAAACTCTCCACTTAAAAGGCAGAGATTGACACCATGAATTTTTTTTTTTCTGAGACAGAGTCTTGCTCTGCAATCCAGGCTGGAGTGCAGTGGCACCATCTTGGCTCACATCTTGACTCACTGCAACCTCCGCCTCCCTGGTCCCAGTTCAAGCAATTCTCCTACCTCAGCCTCCCAAGTAGTTGGGATTATAGGCACTAGCCACCATGCCCAGCTAATTTTTGTATTTTTTAGTAGAGACGGGGTCTCACCATGTTGGCCAGTCTGATCTTGAATTCCCGACTTCGTGATCCACCCATCTCAGCCTCCCAAAGTGCTGGGATTATAGGTGTGAGCCACCTCACCTGGCCCACAATGTATTTTTTAAAAAACACATGATACAACTATATGCTCTCTACAATAGACAAACTTTAGATTCAAGGACAAAAAAATAGGTACAAAATAATCATCCTGGGCAACATAGCAAGATCTCATCTCTACAAGAAAAAAAAATACAATAAAAAAAATCAGCCAGGTGTGGTAATGTGAGCCTGTAGTCCCAACTACTCAGGAGGCTGAGGTGGAAGATTTGCTTGAATATAAGAGTTTCAGGTTGCAGTGAGCTATGCTCATGCTATTGCACTCAAGCCTTGTGTGAGAGAGACTCAAAGAAATTTTTTTTAAATTAAAAATAGGTGAATGTAAAAGAATGAATGGAAAAGATAAACTTTACACAGTAACCAAAGAGAGTATAGGGGATATAAGTCAGACAAAAACTGTAATTATCAGGCTAAATAAACTTCAAGACAAAAATTGTTGATAGAGACAAAGAAGAGCATTTCATGATGATAAAACTGACAATCATCAGGAAGACATAACAATAATGAAGACATGTGTATCTAACAACATGGCTCCCAAATTTAATGAAAAAAACTGACAGAATAAACAATATGATAATTGAAAATTTCTATACCTCACTTTTAATAAAGAACATAACCATGAGATAGAAGATCAAGGAAACAGAAAGAAGATCAAGGAAATAGAAGACAAACAACACTATACAGCAATGACATCTAACATCCATCTATGGAACAATCTAACCAGTAGAAAATATATCATTTTCAAGTGGACATGGAACAGTGTCCAGGGTAGGTATTAGACCACACACTGGTCTCAACCAATCTGAAAGTACAAAAGCCAGAAAAGTATGCTGTCTAACCACAATAGAACCAAATGACAAATAAATGAAAAAACTGGGGGGAATACAAAATTTGTGGAAATGAAATAACACATTACTAAGAATCTTTGGGTCATAGAAATAAGAAAATTTATAACATAGAAATAAAAGGAAACAAAACACAACAAAAAGTTGATGTAACTTTATCTGTACTGCTGAAAACAGGAGACTCAATTTTCATAAAATCTGGTATGAAACTCAGACTATTATGAACACCCTTATAGAAACAAGGTACATCAACAAATTAGATAACCTAGACTAAACAGGGATATTCCCAGAAATGTGTAAATTACAGGTAGTCACAAGAATAAAAAACAGAAAATATGAAGACACCTTTAACAAGAGATTGAATTAGTTACTCAACAAGTTACCACAAATAAAATCCCACATAAATGATTTCTCTGATGAATTCGACCAAATCATTAAAGATATAACATCAATCCTTTACCAACTCCTCCAAAAAACAGGAGAGCAGAAAACATTTCCCAACTTATTCCATGATGCTACCACTACCCTAAGCTTATCAAAACCAAATACATCATTAAAAAAGTGAATCGTGGACCTGGCCTTGACAACATAGAGATAACCTATCTCCACAAAATAAAAAGTTTAAAAATTAGCTATGTGTAGTGACACATACCTGTATTCCTAGCTACTTGCGAGGCAGTGGGGAAAGACCACTTGAGCCCAGGCGTTCAGGCCTGCAGAGTCAAGAGCTTAAGTGAGCTATGACTGGGCCACTGTACTCCAGCCTGGGTAACAGAATAAGACTTTGTCTCCCCAAATAAATCAGTGAATAAATAAAATCTATTTGGCAAAATTCTACATTTGCCATTTCATGCAAAATTCAAATAGAATAAAAATGGAAAAGAAAATGATTCAGAAATGAAGGTGGAAAGACTCACCAAAGTAAAATATACATTATTTAGTTATTATCCAGTAATCCACTAAAAAAAAAATCAACAGAAAGACCTCAGGATGTTGAATGGAACACATGGTATATATTAATTCCAAAGGATGTTGGTTTAGCTACTCACCCCTATTTTCTGAAGTGGAGGACCTCATTCCAGTCCTCCTCTACCTCAGCAAAACGAAATAGAAGAAAAAGAAATTGTCTCAGAAAATACTCAACAGTAAAAATAACAAAGCACTAAAATCAGTTCCTTTGTCAATATTTAGTATAGGCATGCAATGTTCCCTTCTTTCGGTATACATCACAGTTGCTTGATCATTCCTAACTGAAACGTTCTAATTTTTTCATTTGTTACTCAAGAGCGTATTTCCTATATACAAGTGTCTATCCACAATTCTTTGTCCAAAATGAACAAAACAAAGCAAATCTTGGGCCACTAAGCTTAAAGTGCACACCTACTCATAAGACAGGACGCTAATGCCCTCTTTGGAGAGGCAGAAGCGGCATGCTCGCACTGAAGGACCATCAAATGGAGCCAGGCTCTGAGAGTCTTATTTGTCCTACTGGAGGGCCGCACATCTGGACCTCAGATTGACATCTGGAATGAGTCCCTCAGCATCCTCAGACAAGTATTCTCATCATCGATCCAAACAAGCACCCTCCCGACAAATAAGCATTTGCATACCAGGCTGGTTTTGGGCATGCTTATCTAGGGCATCATCAGTCAGAACAGCAAATGGACAGTAGACACTTTGTTTAGTATCTGAATAATGGAACTCTTGTATACATAGGATGAAAAAAACATGTACTGAATCGTTCTAATAAATTAGAATAAAATATTTTGGAAAACAATTCTTAAGTCCAGTTAAGACCAATTAAATGAACTAAAATTTTTAGGAATAGGTGAGGCAACAAAATCAATATATACTAAGATTACGTGACAAATATAAACATTTTGAAACATTTGTGTTCAAAATGTGTCAGATACATTTTTTTTTCATTTTTTTAAGATGGAGTTTCACTTGTTGCCTAGACTAGAGTGCAATGGCAGGATCTTGGCTCATTGCAACCTCTGACTTCGGGGTTAAGGCAATTCTCCTGCCTCAGCCTCCCGAGTAGCTGGGATTACAGGCATGTGCCACCATGCTTGGCTAATTTTGTATTTTTAGTAGAGACAGGGTTTCTCCACATTGGACAGACTGTTCTCCAACTCCTGACCTCATGTGATCCGCCTGCCTTGGCCTCCCAAAGTGCTGAGATTACAGGTGTGAGCCACAGCGCCTGGTCAAAAATTTTTAAATAAATATTTAAGCTAGGCATGGCAGCACATGCCTATTCAGGAAGTTGAGGCAAGATGATTACTTGAGCCCAGGAGTTCAAGTGCAACCTGGGGAACACAGCATGATCCCATCTCTATTTTTTAAAAAATAAATATTTAGCACACTGAATTTCATTGTAAGATTATTTTCACCCAACAAAGAATAGTGAGAAATGGAAATATATCAACACTTCCTCCAATTTATTCAGGTTACTACAAAAAAAGATCCCTTTTTTTAAATAAAGGGGAAAAATAATACGGATTCCCTTAAAAAAAAGTACAGACACTCACATAGCAGAAGACTTTATTATGAAAAGAGTCTTCTTTGAGCCTCTAAAATTGTGAAGTCTCAGATCCTGAAGTTCTGACATCACTGGCCACAACACACATCAACAGTTTCAAAAGCACCACGGTAGCTGGTCATCTCTCTTGCTTGAAGTTTTGTAACATCTTCCAGACCTGCAGCAAACTATCAAAAAATAAAAAATAAATCAGATTGGAAAATACACAAAATGCACTAAAAAATCAGATACAAACATGATTTCTGTAACAATAACCACAGAGCCATCTTTGCACAAGTCACAAATCTTTGGTCCTTCTAATAAATTAGAATAAAATATATTGGAAAACAATTCTTAAGTCCAGTTAAGACCAATTAAATGAACTAAATTTTTTAAGAATAGGTGAGGCAACAAACTAGCTTAAATACCAAAAACCTTTGCTATTTATTCATTTCCTACCTCAAATCTTTATTTTTGAGATGGAGTCTAGCTGAGTCACCCAGGCTGCAATGCAGTGTTGCGATTTCAGCTCACT